TTTCTATTGCAGGTAGTATATAAGTCGGAACGAGCCGGATCGGGCGACTATATCATATAGCTGCCATATAACTGAACGATCGGAAAAGCCATAACTTTGGTGTTTGTAAAGTTAGGAAGTTGGGATTTTCTATGGGTTTTATGTTTGGCCAATCAATCCGACCTTTCATAAGGATCGGCCGACTATATCTTATAGCTGCCATATAACTGAACGATTGGAAATGTCATAACTTTGGTGTTTTTAAAGTTAGGAAGTTGGGACTTTTTATGAGTATTAAGAATGCATCATATGAACAATTTTGGAGAATATAATTTACGGAATATTCTGCAAGGGTATATCAACTTCGGCTCCGCCCGAAGTTAGCTTTCCTTTCTTGTTTTCTATATTTTTTTTTTTTTTTGCACCATGCTGGCTTCTTTTGAGACGAGCGACACGTACTTCCGCTCATAAGCCAAAGGCAAACTAGGCGAGAAGCAAAATGGTGGCGAACTAAAATGGTAAAAAGGGAAAAAAAATGAAGCTATGGCAAAAAGTCCACCATACACACACTCTCATACTTTTTAACATTGTAACGAGATAATATTTTTCCAACATATTCGTGTGCGCCTAGGACAAGGCTAAATGATATTACCTGAAGTAACATCAGCCCAACTGACAGACAGGTGCTGCAGTCGAGGGGGCGTGGCACTGGGCGGACCCGGCACAACTAACGGAAACCGGATGTGCTTGGCTTGGCAGTTGTGAAGTGATGTTTAGGCCAGGATGGCAATGCTCGCAGGCAACCAACCACTACTTTATATACGTTCAGCCCGATGTGCGAACTTGCCCATAGGCATCATCGAGTGCCACGTTTTATGTCTTGCCAATGGAAGCCTGGAGCAGACGCAGCGACTCCATCGAGTCACACGCTCCATTGTGACTGACTGGCAACGACTGTGTGGGTCCGACAGGCAGTGCTGCTGGGTTTGGAGGGGCCAAAACTAGCTCATTTTGGTATTTCAATCAAGTAGTTTTAGCATACGCTAAAAAATTATAAAGAAATATAAGAACATAAGACTTTTTATTAATATTCGAGGCGACTAGTTTTAGCAGAAATAATTGTAAGCTAGTAAAATATTAACAATTTCTATTGGCTTCGAATTTAAGAGCTCCAAAAAAATGGTGAGTTAAGGCACTAACTTTTGATTATCATCTGGCCTAGATTTGTTTTATTAGAGTCTTTTAAAAACTGACCAGTATAAAAGACTGATAAATAGCTTAGAGCACACAAAATATTTTAAATATTTTATAAAATGAGATAGGAAAGAATTGTAAGCAATTGCTAGCTTAAATTTAACAGAAAACGATAAAATAAAAACTAATAAACGTTTGAAATGCCTTACAGTATAGAACACAAAAGTGAAACTGATAAATAGCTTAGATCAAAACATCTAAGAAATATTTTAAATATTTTATAAAATTAGGTAAGGAAACACTGTAAGCAATTGATAGCTTTAAATTTGACCGAAAACTATAAAAAAAACCAATAAACGTTGGAAATGCCTGTCAGCCAAATACTGATTTGGCAGCACTATTGCGCTGTGTATGTTTGACTATCAGTAGAGTTGTTATGGCCCCACAGGCGCCGCTCACACTGGCTCCTTGCTTTTGCTTTTGCCCCCTATGAACTCACCCACTAAATGTGACAGCATAAATCGCTGCCACTGGCTGGGGGGCAGGGGAAGTGGGGAAAGGGGACTGAGAACAATAAAGCCATATTGGCAATTTAATGTGCTGCAAAACATTAGAACATTCGATTGGCGCAGAGCGAACGACAACACGCATACGCACCGTATGCCGATGTCGATGCCGATATCGATGGAGTGCATTTTAAGCAGCTGAGCTGAGCACGTAAACAGAAACATTGCCAGTGCACTTGTGCAGCTGAAAAGCTGGGCTAAGTTCACCGTTTACTTATCTTTGGCAATGCCCAACACGTATCCACATTAAGTCACCCAACCGCCCACTGAACACCCCCATCATGATCATCCCTCCTCCCAGAAAACAACTTCATTTTCAGCTGCTGCCTTTGCCAGATGGTAGCTGGCCAAGTACAAAAATTTAAGGAATTTTTTCGGGGCTTGCCATGACCCTCATTCGGCAGCAACATTCTCACAGGGCACCTCCATTGTCATTTGCATATTTTTGCGTTGCAATTTTCGTTGCGAACTTGTAAATTTGACTTTATATATGCAAGGTGCAAATCTGTTTAGCGTCCCTCGTGTGACGGCAACTGCATCAAAATGCATTTATGCAAAGGCCAATGGAACTTACAGCGAAATTAAGTCACCATGGCCGAAACATCCGACTGATGACGGAGTTGAAAGCGTGGGAAAAAAATTGCGCCGTTAAAAGTATATATCAATGGCAGCTGATGCAGAAACTTTGCGGCATTTGCATGGAAAATTCTTGCGGGCATACAAAAATTGTTTTTACTTTATTCGAGGGATTTTTCGTGAATTATGGAAAATATTAACCAATAAAAAACAGGTCAGCCCAATCAGAGAAAAGTTAATTAAATATTTATTAAGGGGCGGGATGAAAAAAACTTTTTCATTTAAAATATACACGTTAAGTTAACATAAAAAGAGAGTGGTACGTAATTTCAATAAAGATTATTCCAAGAAATACAAAATATGAATAAAACGAATATCTTAATAATATATATTTATCGATATCACGACATTTAACCCTTCGATATCATGTCAATGACAATATACATTATCATTTCTTTCATGCCTAGGATTTATATTTATGTAAATAAATAAACCAAACTAGTTTACGACCTATTCATAAATTTCTTATCGTTTTCTCAAAATTACTTTAATTTATAGCTTGTCCCTCTCAGTAGTTGATTCATATTCAAAAGTGTGCCCTAACATTATCTTCACTCACCAAAAAATATGCTCGTAAATGTCAAAACACTCTATAATGAGCTAATCAACCAAACTCTAGCACAACAACATAACAAAGTTGTCTGCGGATAAATGCAAATGGCTTCGGTTTTTGCCACAAACTGAACTTTTACGACGGCATTTCAAAGTCATAAAACATCCGACTTTATTTTGCCCAGCACCTAGATTGGCGGGTGTAAACAAAACGTTGAGCGCAGCGCAAAATAATGAAATCTAAATTACAAATAAAGCTTAGGTTTTCTGCGATTTAGCCATAACGTTTTCACAGGGCTAAATTTTGACAGAGTGTTTTCTAATAAATTATATTAATTATAACACAATTTGTGGTGTTTGCTAATAGTTGGAAAGTCAACGAAGCTAATGCTGTTGACAGAGGAATGGAGGGGAGAGAACCACACCCCAATCGCATTACGTATACGCCACGTTGAGCGCATTTTGGCAGAATGGCAATTGACTTTAATTACTTCGCCTCCTAAAAGTCATGCAGACTTTCGGGTGAGTGTGTGTGTGTGCTTAGCACACGATGTCATCAGATGTGTGAAGGAAACATCAAGAGGTGGACATGGGGGTATAGAGGAAGGAACTTTCATTAGTTTTTGGGTTGCCCGACTGCCATGCCAGAAGCCACTAAAAGTCTTTACATGCCAGCACCTCCTCCTCCTTCCTGCAAATGAAAACAGTTTGTGAAATTTAATTTTCAGCACTCTTGATTTTTAAAAGGCCAGCGCGGGCGACAAGCAGGAAAGGAGTGCAATGAAATTTGCTGTTAATTTGTACAGAAATGTCTCTATTAAATTTTAAATTGGTTTTCTGGCAAATGTTATGAATTGCCTCATAGTGTGGCCACCAAAAGTGGTAAATGCATGTAAGGCGAAAAAATAAAAACCGACGGGTAGAAAAAATTGCCATGTTCTTGCTTGCGGATGCTTTCATCGCTATGCATTCAATGGGAAGGAAGCGGCTGAATGGACAGGGTACGCAGCATATCTGCCAGTGAGAAGAATCAGGTGCACAGAAAGAAATGCTTTAGATTAAATAAATTATCTTAATTATCAATAATTCATACATCAAATTTTGTTTGCTTTCCAATTTCAAGGTCCACAACACACAACGCTTTAATAGCTTTTTTCACACTTGCCCTTGCTTGTTGTAAAAATCAAACAATAGAAATTATTGCTTACTTGCTTAAAAATATTTTTCTGTATTGTAGTTTAATAAATTTAATCTTTATTTAACAAATCTGTGGTAAGTGCATTTCTTATAATTTTTGCATGTGCAGGAAGGTGCCAGTGAATAAAACCAACTGCTGCTGTGGGATGCGTGTGCAATCTGGCAATAAATATTTTATATTTACAATATGCTGCTCTGTTGGGAGCCTGCAGCAAAAGTCGGGCATATTGATTCCTTTCGAACGTTCGCAAATAGTTGGGCAAAAAAAAAGCTGAAATTGTATTGTTATTTAAATCGTTAAAATTCGACAGCTGAATTTTTAATGGTCGTATAGATCCACTTTGAATTTTAGTTTGGTGTGAGGCGCATTCCTCTGGGCACTGTAATTCTTTACCGCTTATGGCATGTTTTCCTTAAATGTTGGTTCACTTTACTCAACGGAAATCGGTTGATGCTCCTGCACAATCGCACCGGAAGTTGTCTGTTTTTTATTTTATATCTTTTATGACGCTGCATTTTGTGGCATGTATGGGCCGGGTCAGCTGGGCCATGGCTTTATGGCTGCCAACTCCTTGGCCAGGGCAATTACACATATATACAGCTGCTTGGGCCTGGCTATTCGGGGACTGAACTGGACCGTGTTGCGCATCGTAAATGAGTGCGGATATTTTAACAGGGCTAATATCTGGCCAAGCGGCTCATTGGAGGTTATGGCCATGGCATAATAAACATTTTCTGTAATTAACATTTTATGTGTTTTCTTTGTTAAATTGTGCAGCATAGTTCAGACAAAGGATCTTCATAGCTAAATTTAAGTTGGAAATTGCATATTATCTTTGTAAGCAAATCAACTTATCATCAATAAAAATAACGAAATATAAAGATGTATATATTTATTTAATTTATTTTAATACATCATATTTACATCAATATTTTAAAAAAGACGTAACGTTCAGCTAATCATTACCAATGGATTTAAGAAGCCCCTACGCAGTCTTTCTTTTCCCTTTGTATGTAATAATAAGTAAACAAAATACATATTAGATTAAATAAACACTTACCAGCGTTTTAAAAAGGTTTTGCAGTTCTTTGGTAGATATTGATTTTAGATTTTCCTCCATGTACAAGTTGATGTTACCCTTCTGGTACTCCCGTAAAAAGTATAAAAATACGCTCTCTTCACAGGATTTGGAGGAGATCATCTGTGTTTGGATAGGGCTTTCATCTTACTGTGCCAGATTTTATTTTTTTGTTCGGCAGCCTGACTTTTCCTGGCGGCGTTCGCCATTTTCTTGGCTCTTATTTCTCGAGGCTTCACCTAAACGACTAGCGATTATTTTAGAATATACAACTAAAAAAACTCACTTCAAAGTGCTTTTTTTGAACGGGCAATAGCTTTCCCCAGGCATTTTCAGCCGACCTGAGGATCTCGTCTTTATCCATGTAGCCACGAGTGCTTCCATAGATTTTCAGAAATTTTGCAAAGGCCTTGGATTCTGCTTCAGAATAGGGCGTTGCTTTAGTGACTCCCATGGCTTTGATTAACTATAGTTGTACAATAAAAATGTCTTGCAAAATGTTGGCTTTAAAAATATAAATTTGGACTTCAAATTATTTATAAAGATTTCTATAAACATGAAAAATATTTAACAAACTTCCAAAAATTTGGGGCTGTTCACTACGTTACAATTTGATCTTAATAAAACGATGTTCATCTGAGTATTGAATGAATTTTCCTAGCCTGCCTTTTTTTTGTTGAATACAAACTTATTTATCTGCTTACTCAGTTGGTGTATATATTATTACATGAAGTAATATTCCAAAACTCGGTTTCCTGTAACAGGCCTCAGGCCAACAATTTGATAATTAAATTTATTTGGAAAACAAACGACTTTGTTGTTCTTTCCCAGTCATCCTTATTATTTTGGGAAGTAATTAAGCAAACTTTCTACTGTCTTTTCTTACGTCTTTGGATTTTGTTTTTATTCCTAGGCCATCACGTTTGACGAGCCTTGACATGCCCAACGAAGAAAAACATTGGGGGGGAAAATGGGAAAAGAAAAACCAGAATGGTCCTCAATTTTCTACGTGCACACCATAAAGTTGATGTGTAATTTGTTTTTATATGCATTCAACAGAACTTGCCAAATTCTATTACAAGTTTACAATTGTATTACTACGGCAGAGAGAGCTTTCCGACTCGTCTTCACCTTAATAAACCATAACTAATGGGGTCGCACAAGCAGAAGTATCAACTTGTGTGTTGAAAACGTTGCAAAATGCTGACAGAAGACGCCTTTAAAGCGTCGAAAGCAGCTTAGCAGCTTTCAATTTTGCACAATAACAACGTCAGGGGAAAATTGAGTGTAGGACGGGGACCAGAATGGAAAAAAAAGCAAACAAGTAAATGAAATTTCCGTTTTCAACAGTGCCGCTTCGATCGTTTAGTGTATCAATAACCGAATAACAGGCTAAGAAGGCTCCGCCCTGAGTGTGTTTGGCTGCTTTGTTTGCTCCTGCAATTTGAAGTGCCGGAAATATGCTTTAGCTTTATGGGATTTCTGCGCTTCTCACAGCCCAGCAGCCATGGGCAATTTTGGCCGAGAAGTTGACTCAAATTATTGCGTCTAGCCACACGGAGAATTATACAGTTGGCGAGGAGATAATATCTTTTGATTAGTGGCAACCGCAAAAACTTTAATTAAATTCGCACACAATTCTCAGCTGAAAAGTTTATGCAGCATTTGCCATGTCACCAGATAAGTTTCCACTCGCATGTAGCCTTTGTTTTTCCGACTTCAGACCGGGGCTTGAAGTTTTACAATTCGGAGTAGAGTAACCTTTACGGAGAAAAGTTTTCCACAAAAGTTATGCAGAGTTCGGAAGGCGAAATCTAATGAATTAATTAGTGGATTTCGGAAGAAGCCAAAAAGCTTCCGCCAACCTAAAAAACCACTTGAAGCTGTAATTCATTGAAAATTCATCGTTTAATTTATTTTGTTTATTTATTTGGCTTTGATAACTTTGGGCATTGTGTAGGGGTCACAGTTGATTTAATACCACATTTCGGCTGAAGTTCTCAAGTTCTGTTGTTAAATTTCTGGTCATCTCTTATTAGCTTTAAAATGTTCATGTTGTTGAATTAAAATAAAAGAAGTATCTCGAAAAATAAACCTTTATTTATTATCTAGATTTATTAGTACCAATAATAAATGTCAAACATGTGTTGTAATGTGATTTTAAGTACTGTAATAATACAAATAATAAATGTATATGGTATGTACCTTTGAATAATAAAGTAAGACGTCGCCAATCCAAAACCCTTTGCAGCTCCGTCTCAGTAGAAACTCATAGTTATATTTTAAATTATTTATTTATTTAGTTCTGGTAACTTTAAAGACACACGAGTATAACCTCTCTCATATTCCTATGCCATAAATTTCAACCAGGGCGAGTTCAGGACAAAGGCAACGGCAGCCAGCGACTCGCAACACTCCCCAGAAATAACTCATATCGAATTGCACCATTTGTTGTTTTGTCTCCCGAGAGAGGATATTGAGTTACGCTGGCCAGGATTGGGATTGGGATTGGGTTGGGGATTGGGTGTTGGAGGGCTGCGGCTCGTTGGCTCCCATTGCCCGATGCCGATGGACCGCCGCTTGGTGGCATTTTAATTCTGTTTCATTTTTTGTTGCTTCGTTTGACACTTTCGATTTTGATAGATTTATCACAGCTTACAAAAATAAGGCAAAAGTAAAACAATAAAACCAAAAAAAGGAACTTTATGCAAATGAAAAATCTAAAATTATGTCCATTATTTGGACAGTGTAATGGCCATCCAGGACATTGGGCCACGCCCACGCACCCGAGCATTAAGTTTATTCTTCGCTCGCACTCTTTGATCGGGGGTCGTGGGCATCGCCATCAATGGGATGCGATTAACATTACACCGCCCTCACATCGTCACCTCTACTAAAGTACAAAAAGCTACAAAATCAAAATGGGAGCTACCCAATTTGTTTGTCATATAAAATACAATTGAAATAGTGTTGCTTAACCTACGACTTAAGTGTTTCTTATTTCGTTGTCGTTTCCACCGACTATTTGGAGCCCTTCTTCTTTTTGCTCTTGGGCAGATCCGCCCACAGCCTGAAGAAGTACTCATCGCGTTGGAGCAGCCTGCCACGGGCATACGAATGAATATCCGCATCCATGTTGTGGTCACGCAGCCACGAGGAGGTGTTGCACGAACTCATCTCCGTGCGTGGCTCGTCGGGCAGGCTCTCATGACCTGAATTGAATGGGAATGAAATATGCATAAGTTTGACAAATTGTTCATCTTCCGCCACCGGAAATTACTCTTTCTAAAGTGAAATTGAGAACTAGCAGAGTTGTGACTGTTTAATTACTTGCTAACTCTGCCATTTAATTCTCAGTATGGAAAGTAGTTATCAATATAATATCAGTATCATTTTAAAAGAGTAATGCTTATAAAAATACACATTTGATATTGTGAAAAATAGGAATAAACACTCACCAGCAGTCATGACCTTGTAGGGCTCCTCCGATTCCAGAGGTTCACTCAGACCAATTTCGTTCTTCGCGAATATGCGAATCATGTACTCGTGGTTCTCCTGCAGATCTCTGATCTGGAATTTCTGGACGCCAGCTGGCACACGACCCACCTCGATCCACATGGTCTTCTTCATGTCCCTAATAGCAATGTGGTAGCCGAGCAGAGGCGCACCTCCATCTGACTCGGGGATACCCCATTCGAATATGTGGGCATTGGCGGCGAGAACGCGCGCCTCCAGTGGAGCGGTCGGTGGTGAGGGTACGGCTATATTAAGGTGGAAATCAGTAAATGATATAGCTAAAAGATACTCGGACTCACTGGCATGTGTCTTGAGCGATATGCTCTCGGTGACGGCTGGTGCACCTAGTCCAACCTCATTCTCCGCTGACACACGGAACCAGTACTCGCACTTCTCCTTCAGGTTGTCAATCGTGTAGTGCAGCTGGTGGGCGTCCAGTGTGATGACCTTCGTCCAGGTAGTAGATGTTGAGGAACGTTTTTCCACGCAGTAGCCTGTATGAAGAATAAAGAGTTGATTTACTTCTTACATTTATTTATAAAACTTGATATATTTTACCTGTGATTTCTGATCCACCATTGCGGGCAGGCACCTCCCAATCCAAAGTAACACTTCGGCTGGTGACATCCGGTGCCCTTAAGTTCTGAGGTGGCGATGGCGGCGCTGAATGTTAAACAATCCCAAAACAATTAGTTTTCAAACTCAACAAACTTTAAAATTATGTTTTTTTTGCTCTTACGTACCTAAAACTTCATTATCATTAGCTGTTGGCGTTTCGGGGTTAGAATTGCGCATGTTTAAGCATTAGTGGCGTATTAAAAAAAGCAATAAGCGAAAGTAATAAGCAATTGGGATCTTAGGGAAACGGATTGACAACTTACTTATCTTGCGACCCACGACAATCTTTTCCGTGGTCTCAAACGCCTCGCTAGTGCCAACCTCATTTCTCGCATAGATGCGGAACAGGTAGCCCTTGTTTCTGACCACCTTTTCGACATGAATATTGGTGACAGTGCCCAGGGTTACGCCTACCGTTCTATAGATAGTTTCAGTCTCTTCCCTAATCTCCACAATGTACTCCACGATCTTTGAGCCGCCATCGTTCTCGGATGGTTCCCAGGCCAGGTTGAAGGAAGTATCGTTCATACCCGACACAGTGGTGGGTCCACGTGGTGGCGATGGTTTCTCTGTGAATTGCATAAATGGATTACCATAATCCCTATCCACTTGCCATGGGAAAGGACTTTTTCTTACCGAATTTCTTAGTTATGGTCACAGGGTCACTTTCCGTTGGCTCTGACTCGCCAATGGGATTAGCGGCCACCACACGGAACATGTATTGCGCATTCATGGATAGTTTTTGAACCGCATACGATTTGATGTCTTTGTCAAAGTCGGAGACCTTCATCCAGACCTGATTTTGGATGTCGCACTTCTCCAACGTGTACTTGTTAATCTCCAGACCGCCATCATCGATGGGCGGGGTCCACTCCAGCACAATCGAGTCCTTCTTTATGTCCTTGATCTCCAGAGACTGGGGTCTGCTGGGCTTGTCGATCACCTGGACAGTGCACTCCACATATGTGGAACCTGATTCATTGGTTGCTGTAACCTTGTACTTGCCGGACTGTTCGCGGGTGACCTTCTTGACCGTATAGGTGGAGGTAATCTCTGTGGTCTCGATGGTGACTGTCTTGGTGGTCTTCTGCTCGACCGTCTCCTTGTGCCAGGTCACGGTGGGTTGTGGATAGCCGCGGACCGTCGCTGGAATGGTGAGAGTGCTGCCGGTGCGCAGTTTCTGAGTCAAATACTTGTCCTCCACCTCGAGGACCGGCTTCTGCTGCAGTTTCAGGCGGCACGAGGTCTCCACGGAGCCCTTCTCATTGGTCGCCACACACGTGTAGGTGGCTTCAGTCTCAATGGTTGTCTTTTCAATGGTGTATTTGGCCACACGGTTCTCGTAGCGAATGCTGCTCGATTCAAGCAACTGGCCGTTCTTCTTCCATATCACCTTTGGCTCTGGAATGCCGCCGAACACGCAGGACAGCGTCACCTCCTTGTCCAGTTCACTGATCACATCCTGCAGTGGCTCCCGCACACTGGGTGCCTCCGTCTCGACCTTGGGCACCAGGCGGATGGGCGGTGACAGCGGCGAGGGCGGTGAAGGTCCCACCTCGTTTACGGCGATGGAACGGAATACGTACTCTGTGTCGATCCTGAGCTTGCTTATGGTGTACGTTGTGTCCTTGATCTTCCTTATTTCAGTCCATCTGCGGATAATTAATAATAGTTTTATAGTTTTTGTATATCTCAAATTGCATTGAACCTTAATTTTTAAGGCACAAAAAACCTTAATTTATTTTTTAAATACCCTAACCAGCAAATCATAAACATATATACCATACAATAAGAATTTTCATTCATATAAAGTATTAATCTCCACTTCCCACGGTGCAAACGTGTAAAACTAAAGACAGTTTCCGAAGTGCTGCCAAAATATATCGGAACAAAATTTTTTAAAATTTTGGTTTGAAATTTTATATATTTAAGCCGATGACCTCAAGGCGGAAAAACATTAAAATAAAGTGCAAATAAGAGTGATAAAAACTGTTTTAATCATTTACGTTAAGCAAACCACAAAAAAAGTTCATTAAATTTTTAAAAAACTCAACCCAAAGGTAATTATTAATAATAATATTTAAATATTTTAATTAATTAAAATCGTAACCGATTTGCTTCGAGTACTTACTTTTCTTCCTTAACATCGTGATACTCCAGAATGTACTCGATAATTTCCGACTTGCCATCGTCCTCCGGCGCCTTCCAGTACAGAGTAATGGAGTCGTGCATTATCTCCAGGGGTTGCGGAGTGCCAGGTGCCGTCGGTTTGCCTATGTATTTGATAAGGGTTTTAGTTCCGCAAAAATTAACAAGCATATAAGCTGGGATACTTACGCATTATGACCAAGTGAAGGCTGGCCTCTGCCTCGCCAACTGGGTTGACGAGCTTGACGGTGTACTCTCCCTCGTCATCGTCGACGACCTTTTTGATGGTTAGCGTGGCCGACTGCTCATCGATGGCCGGGATTGTGCGCTGTGACTTGGGTATGACAACCTTGCGCGTGGTCCAAACGGCCTCAGGCGTTGGTACGCCTGTGTACTTGACGGTGAAGGTGGCATCGTCGTTCTCCTTCACCTTGATGGTCTGCTCCTTGTCAGAAGTAATGACGGGTGGCAGTTTGAGCTCCTCGACGCACAGCTTAGTGCTGCTGGTGACGTTCTCGGCCACGCAGCTGATCTCACCGGCATCGTCGTCGCTGGCATCGTGGATGACCAGTCGCCTGACAGTGCCCTCGACGAAGACCTCATGCTTTTTGTTGGGCTTGATGGGTTTGCCCTTCTTGCACCAGGTCACCTCGACATCGGGCTGTGACAGTTGCACGGTGAATTCGGCATCGGTGGTCTTGGTGGCCAGCGTGACATCCGGCAAGCGAATGACAAAGTCCACCAGTGGCTCCTCTACCGTCAGCTTTCCCTTTGACGTCTGGTCACCCACCTTGACGGAGTATTCACCCACATCTTCGGGCTTGGCCTTTACAATGCGCAGCGATTGCTTCTTGCCATCGATGGCCAGTTGAATGCGCTCGTCGAACACAATCTCCTTGCCGTTCTTGAACCATTTGACCAGGGCGTCGCCCTTGCTGAGCTCAATCTCGAAAATGGCATTCTCACCCTTGGTCACTGAAACGTCCTTCAGCGGTTCAACGATCTCTGGCGGCAACTCGATGACAACCAGCTCACAACTGCACTCTTGTCCTTCGATCTTGCATGTGTACTGGCCCTCATCATGGATGGTGGCATCGCGTATAACTAGGCGACGTGCCTTGCCATCCTTGATGAACTCCACGTTCTTGTTTTCCGGGGTAATCTTCTCGCCGTCCTTGTACCAGGTAACCTCAGTGGACTCTGTGGTAAGTTCCACATCCAAAATGGCGGTATCTTTCTCGGTCACCTCGTAGTCCTCCAGCACCTTGATAAAATCGGGCTTACGCTGCAGAACCTCGACAGTGGACTGAGTCTCTTGCTTTTTGACCTTGCATGTGTAGGTACCGGAGTCACGTAGGTTTGTGTTTCTGATTACCAACTTATGAGTCTTGCCATCTTCAACCACTACACGATGATCCATGCCGCTGAGTTCCTTTCCATTGAAGAACCACTTGGTCGTGACCACGTGAGAGGTCTCGCACTCCAGGGTAAGGGATTGTACCTCCTCAATGGTAATGGTCTTCTTCAGCTTTTTAGTGAAGGTCACTTCATCGACCTCGACAATCACACGGGCACCGTGCGACGTTTTGCCGATTGGGTTACTAGCAATACACTTGTAGTCACCGGAATCGGTTTCTGGGTTGGCATCTTTGATGATCAGCTCGATATTTTCGCCATCGTAAACCTGCTGGATGCGTTCGCTGGGGAACAATGGAGTGTTGTTGAACAACCATTGAACCTCGGGCACCGGATTGCCGGAAACCTTCGCTGGCAAGTGAATCTCGCCCTTTTGTGGTACATTCTGCTCCTCGAAACGTTCCACGAAGAGTGGTGGTTCCGCATTGCCGCTTGTGGCTTCTAGATGCAGAAATAATAACAGTTAGGGCTTCTTCAAAGTACAATTTTTGTTTACTTAAACATGAAACATAGAACTTACCTTCAATTGTTAGATTAGCAGAGGTCTCCACACTGCCCAATGGATTGACAGCCTTGACTGTGTATTCACCCTTCTCAGCCTTTTTGGGTGTGATCAGAGTTAAGGTATGCAAGTCCTTGTCGGACTTAGCATTCTTTATGGGCTTGCCATCCTTATACCAGGTTACCTTTGGTGGTGGGTTGCCCACAATTTGTGTAGAAAGTACCACACTCTCGCCTTCTCGTATGACCATGTTGCGTAAGGGTTCCAAGATTTGCGGGGCCTCCTTGTCGGTGGTTCGCACCTTCAAGGTAATGGGCAGACGTGCCTCGCCCTCGCGATTCGTGGCTATCACCTCGTAGGTACCTTCCTGCGATTTCTTTACCTTGGTGATGTGCACCACACTGCAATACATGTGCATGTCCGATTCCGTAACGATGCGAACGTTCTTAATTTCCTCCTCGTCGATGTCCACGCCATTGAAAGTCCAGACAATGTCCGGTTCTGGTACGGCCACCAGTCGGCACTCAAGAATCACGTTCGTATCTTCGTCCACATACTGAGCCTTTGGCTTTTTGGAGAAGGTTGGAGGAATTCCCTCCAAAATGTCAGCCAGCGACGATTCACGCGACATGCTTCGGCGGGAGAGGGCTGTGGCATCAGAGCCGTGATCAGAAAGCGGACTCTCCACAATCAGTTCCGTTGTGCTGGAAGTAAATCCAGCAGCATTCTTTGCCACAACTGTAAACTGACCGGCATCCTCGGGGAACACCTCACGGATGATCAAAGTTGCCACATTGTCGTCATCGTAGAACATTTGGAAGTCCTGCGAGGGTTTGATAATGGCAGTTTCGCGGAACCAGGCAATCTGTGGTCGCGGGTTGCCCTCGACCTTGCACTCAAACTGTACAGTGTAACCGTCAGGAGTGTGAATTGGCTGCAGTTTCTCAATGAATCTGGGCGCAATGGGCTTGTCTTCCGGTCCAGGACCTTAACAGTTTACAATCACAACAGAACATTAAATAATTTGTTAATAACCAGACTTGGACAGCGACTTAAAAAGTGTTAGGACAAATAGTTTTTCTAAAAAAACATTACTTACGTTCAAATACAGGCAGCTTGTCGATTTTCTCGTGCAATTTGTTTTGCACATACTGCGCATATTCGTCGGGCTCCATCAGATATTGAGCTGGAACCCATCCCTCCTCTTCTGTGATGCTCTTCTTGACATACCACCACTCAGAGCTGTGACGTCCAACGACAATTACCTTCTCACCCTCGACCAGATTTATGGCTTCATCGTTGTCGGCAATGTAATTGCAGATTGAATACATAACATTGGGGTTTTCGGATTCTAAAAGTCATAAACATATTAAATTGGTTACATTACAAAATTCTTTGTTTTAATGGTTACTTACCTTCAACATTCATTTCTCTGGTTATATTAAGCGAAGCTCCATCTGTGCAAAAAATTAACATTATTAATACCTTTTCTCAAATTTTTTTTTAACATTTTTAAGTTGTGAACAATGAATGGTTAAGCGTTAGCAACCGACATTCAAGTTGGGTAATTTTACCTTGCCACTCTGATATCATATAAGCTGATATTTGTTTATGTAAAAGTAAAGCATTTGATTTTAAAAGTTACCGTTATTGGTGACAACAGTCGACTTACCTTCATTGAAAAGTTGTTGAACAACTTTACGCTTCTTCTTAAAGGTGAGAGAATCCTCATCGTATGTGACCGAATCGCGTTTCGGATGACGAATGCCAATCAGGAACTGTTCTTCCTCCTCATCTTGAACGGAGTAGGCTGGCTTCTGCTGTTTCTTGGGCTTCAGCTTGAAGTCTACTTCATCTGGTGGTAATTCCTCCACAAAGTATTCTTCTGGTTCCTCGACCTCATCGATGGTATCCTCATCGTCCCGAATTTCTTCGATGATGGGCTCTTCACCATCGTCATAGTCCTGAATAATCCTAATTCTGGCCTCATCGGCAGCTTCAGAGAAGGTTTTCTTGATGGGCTTCTTAAGCTTGATCTTTCCAGACATGGAAATTTCCTCCTCCGCATAAGAGTCCAACGCAATGTTGAACTCCTGGTCGACATCTTCTTTGGTCTTGGTACTTCTTGCTCGGAATGTGACGTTCTCAACGTCAGCGTATTCGGGAATGTCTACCTGCTTTCGGCGTTTTAGTTTCTTAACCGTGTAAGCCTCCTCATCTTCTTCGGTGATCTGCAGAGGTTTTGGCTTGCGTCGTTGACTGACCACAAACTCTTCGACATCGTCGCCCTCTTCGTATTCCTCTTCTTGGCGCTTGATAGAAAGTTCAGCCGCAGCTTCGTCCAGAGTAGTGGGTTTGACTGGTCGTTTTTTAAGGACGGTAGCGGCCTCCTCCACGCCCTCATTAATAGTGTGTGGCTTTTTGAAGGAGAGACTGAACTCAGTTTCTTCGAGATCTTCAACCGTCGGCTCGAAGGGTTTCTTTGGTTTCTTGCGAATGACGACTGCTTCTTCGACGATCTCTTCTTCTTCAACTTCCACAGTCCTTTCTTCGACAACAGGTTTCTGTAGCTTTAGCTCGTCCGCAGCCTCCTCCACCGGTTTCTGAGGTTTCTTCTTCTTTTTAAGTTGTACAGTTTGGTCAGAAGTTTCCTCAGTAACCTTCTTTTCTATGGGCAGCTTTACATCCACGGCGAATTCCTCTTCAGTTACCTCCTTTGGTGCCTTGGGCTTCAGAGTGACTTCAGCCACCACTTCTTCAGCCTCTACGGGCTCTGGTTTTTTTAGTTTCACAACTGCAGCATCTACAATGTCCTCTGGTTCCGGTTTTTTGGGCTTCTTTTTAAATTTGACTTCTTCAATCACCTCTTCTTCAACTATGGGCTCAGGTATGACTTCTTCTTCAACCTTAACCGTAAGCTCCTCCTCTTCAACAGGCTTCTTGGGCTTTTTCTTTACTATCTTTGCCTCTTCCCGAACTTCTTCCACCTCTGGCTTTGGTTTTAGAGTAACTTCAGCCTCTGGTTCTTCGACCACCTGAGGAGCAATTGGTTTCTTTTTCGGTAAGCTGACTTCTTGTTCCTCCGGAGCTTCTGGCTGAGTTTCTGTAACGGCAATCTTATACTCAGTGGGCTTTTCTTCGGGAACTTCCTCGATTTCCTCAATGATTTCTTGAACCTCTGGTTCTGCGGGAACTTCCTCGGTAATAGTTACCTTAAGCTCTGCAGCTGCCTCTTCTTGGGCCACAGGTTTTTTAGGCTTCTTCTTAATCTTGGCTTCCTCAGAAACTTCTTGTACTGGCTGCTTTGGTTTAATCGAGAACTCAGCTTCGGGCTCTTCAACCACCTCCGCAACTGGCGCCTTCTTTTTCTTCTTCTGAATCGTCACCTGTTCCTCAGGCAACTCTTCAACAGTAGGCTCCTTTTTATCGTCCTTAATAGCAAACTTAAAGTCCTCTGGTTTTTCTTCGGGGGCTTCTGGTTCTTCGACGATTTCTTCAATCTCTTGGACAAGTTCTTGTGGAGGTGCCTCTTCCTCAATGATTGTTATCTTGAGATCAGCGGCCTCTTCTTCAGTCGGTTGTTCTGGAACAATGGCAATGCTGGTCGTAGCTTCTACTTCTTCGACAGGCTTTGGAGCAGTGACAGTCACTTGCGCCTCTGGTTCCTCCTTAACTTCTGGCTTAGGCTTCTTTTTGCGAATAACCTTGACCTCTTCTTCTATGACTTCTTCGACCAGTTCACGGGGAGTTTCCTCAATGACTCTAACCTTATGTTCTTCGAAGATTTCAGGTTGGGGCTCTTCCACTATTGGCTCAGTTACCACCGGTTCTTCCTCGACAATCACTTCGGCCGGCTTTTCTGGCATGGTCTCCTTGATGCCAATTCTGTACGTCTTTTCTTCAACCACAGGCACTTCTTCCTTGACTTCTGTGATCACCTCTTCCTCCTCGACTTCCTCAATTATCGGAACTTCCTGTGGAATCTCCTCGGTGATTTGGATCTTTAGTTCTTCAGCCTCCACATCCTTAACCTTCTTTTTAGGCTTCTTGGTCTTGATTTGCGCTTCCTCAGTAACTTCTTCAACGGGCTTACTCTCCTTGAGAATGATTTCAGTGGCAGGTTCGTCGGCAAAAGTAACAGAAGGCTTGCGTTTTTTCACAGTAAACTGCGCTTCACTTGGTTCTTCGGGCTTGGCCTCAGTTTCGGAAACGCGAATCGAGTACTCTTCTGGCTTTTCTTCGACAATAATTTTCTTCTCCTCCACAATCTCAGCCTTGGGAGCTTCAATAACTAATTCCTCGGGAACAGGGGCTTCGGTGTCGACAACCTTGATTTCTAATTCTGCTTCCTCTACAGTTTTCTTTGGCTTTTTAGTCTTCTTTTGCTTGATTGCAGTTTCCACGGTCGTTTCTTCTGTAATCTTTGGTTCAGATATTACAAACTCGGCCTCAACTGCCTCAGGTTCCTTTGGAGTTTTCTTGAAGAAAACCTCTTGAGGAATTTCTTCCTCGGGTTGTTCCTCAACTGCGGTCACCTTTTCGGCTTCAGTTTCTTTAAGAGAGATTTTATAGGTATCAAACTTCTCGACAACCTTTTCTTCAACAGTCTCTGGAATTTCCTCAGGAATTTCTTCAACAACATCGGCTGGTATTTTTTCGGCAGCCTCGGTTTCTGTCATTGTAAACTCGTAGGATTTTGGCTTCTTGTTCTTCTTCTTTTCTTCTTGTTTTTCGACCTCCACATATTTCTCCTCAACTGGTTGAGCCTTCTCTTCTTCCTCCACCACTGTGATCTTCTCCTCCTTGACTTCTTTCACAGGTTTCTTTTTGGTCTTTTCCTTGACAGTGATTTCTTGCTGAACTGGCTCCTCTGGGATAGATTCAGTCAGTTTAAGTTCAACTTCAAACTCTTCTGGCTTCTCTTCGGGTTGCTCAACTGGCAGCGCGATTTCAACCGAAACTTCCTCGACTTGAATCTCTTCCTTCTTTGGCTCCTTTAATGTGACCTCGAACTCTTCCGGCTGCTGTGGCTTTGGTTTCTTCTTGCGCGTCACCACCTTTTCTTCAATTACTTCCTCGGTAGTTTCTTTGCGCTCATCGAAATCAATGACTCTGACTTGATGTTCCTTCGGTATCTCCTCTGGTTCCAGGACAGTAGTTGTTATCTTGTATTCTACAGGTATTTCCTCTGGCACTTCTTCAGGCTGCGGAACTTCTTCGGAAACTAACACTTCCGCTACAGGTGCTTCTTTGGGTTTCTTTTGTTTAACCTTTACTTCTTTTGGCTTTTCGATTTCCTCGGGTTTTTCCTCTGGAGCTTCTTCTTCTTTCACAGAGACCTCAAACTCTTCTGGCTTAGGCTTAGCAATCTCTTCCTCTTTTGGTTGAACCTTCTTGGCCTTTGGTTTCTTTGGTTTCTTACCCTCATCGTCAGATTTAATCTGAGTTTCTTCGGGCTGTGGTTTCTCTGCCTTGGGCTTAACTATCGCTTGCTCGACAGGCTCTTCAGTCTCAGGAGACTTAGGGACAGGACGCAGCTTAATTTCTGAGTCAGTCTCTTCTGGAGCCTCTCTTTCGGGCTTACGGAACTTCACTTCCAGTTCAGGCGATTCCTCTTCTTCCTTTGGAACTCCAGGAACGATCTCAGAGATTATTGTTTCAGGTTCGGGCTTCGATTTTTCTTTGGGCTGGTATTTCGTCTTAGAGGGCTTCTTGGGCTTGACAGGCTTGTCTGGATGTTCTATTGGCTCAAGCTCTTCGGGAACATATTCAGGACGATCGAAATCAGAGGGCTCGAAGGGCTCAACAATAAACTCTCCTTCCTTAGGCTGCTTTGGTTGTTCCTCAACAACAATAACCTCCTTTGGTTTTGATTTAACTTCAACCAATTCTTCAACTTCTTGTGGCTTTTGTGGAATCTTTTTAAGAGTAACATTTTCGGGCTCCTCTTCCTCCTTTGGTTTCTTCTTACCCTTGCCCAGCTTAAGCTTTACTTCTTCTTGTTTATCCTCTGGCTTTGGTGCCTTTTCGGGTTTCTTATACGGTGCTTTTTCCTCAGGCTCTTCTTCGCTACTGACATATTTTTCATACTTTTCCAGCTCCACCTTTTCCAAATCGTCCTTGATTTTCTTTATTTTTTTGGTCTTTCGCGGCTTGAACTTCAGAACTTCTTCAGCCTCTTCGATGTTGCGAGATAGTTCACCATTTTCCTTAGAGGCTCCAATATCGGTTATTTTCGGAATAAGCGGAGCCGGAGGGTATTCAACCATGACCATGCGGGCCTTCAGCCTGAACTTAGGTAGTTGAACAGTTTGCTCTTCGGCAGGCTTTTCCTTACGTTTGCCGGGCTTAAGCTTGACCGTTTTGGGAACATCAGTAGCGTCGACAATGTTCACCTTGGTCGGCTTCTGTTCCTTCCGTTCGATTTTGATTGGCTCAAGAGTGGCGAATTCTGGTTTAAGTTTCTTAGGAACATCGAAATCAATTTTCTCGTATTTCTCCAGTTCCGTCTTCTCAATTTCTTGCTCCAACATCTTTCTAATGAGTTCATCATGATCATCGGTCTTCTTTTTGACAACCTTCTTCTTCTTAGACTTTGGCTTGGTGACGTCCTCGGCAATTTCTTCTGTAACGGGCTGTTCCTCCTCCTCTTCAACCTCTTCCACTATGGGCTGTGATTCCTGGACCTCGGCGACTTCATCGATGACTCGGACCTCCAAAATCTTTTGAGGCTGCTCATCTTCGACAGGCTCTTCGTGAATTATGCGTATTTGATAGTTTTGAACCTCTGGTAGTTCACCTGTTACAAAAAATGCATTAAGAATTAAATAATTTGTTCTTGATATTGTAAATAAACTCGGTGAACCGTATATTGCTTTTGCAAAGCAAGCATATCGGTGAACTGGACAGAAGACATAATTTGATGCTATATTTACACAGGTAGCGATTGAAGGAAAACATTTATAAACTTAACCTTAAAAATTAAATAATTCCAATATTTTAAAATAAAAACAGGTGAATTGTTAGCTTTTTAATAAGGTGTTTTTTTAAGTAAACGGTTTAAGTATGAAGGAATATTTAGGTGGATAACAGTTTATGAAAAGAATTAACGATTAGTGTGAACAAATTTCTATACTACTTAAAGGTTAGGAATGTTATTCATGCATAGAATATTATTGTGGAGTTACTGTGTTGGGAGGCTTTAAAGTTGAACTGGAAGAGATTAGGACCGCAATAAAATTGACTCAAATGAAGTGAGCCGGATTTCAATAGCGAGAGAAAAGAAGATAAACATAGGTGGAGATAGGCGCAACAATTGGAAAACAACGTGGCTTCAAGGGGAATAAACAAATGCGAAAGACACAGACTAAGGAGCAGAAGGTGCTGCAAGGGCGGCAGGATTTTTTTAGGCTCCAAGAACTCTCTTCTGATAACTTACTTGTTTCAACGCTTTTTTGTGTGTCTGGTTTTGTTTTCTTATGTTTAACTGTTTTCTGAATTGTATCTTTAGTGTCATCTTGAGTAGATTTCTCTTCTTGTGCGCTTGGTGTAATTTGTGCAGTGGCTGTGTCCTCGGGTTGTGCAATTTGGGTTGGTGTGATCTCTGCTGTGTCAGTGGTGTCTAAAGTGGTCTCTGTCGGTACGTCAGGTTTTTGTTCGTCTGCGACTATTGTCTTTGGCTTTGGTGTCTTGGTTTTCTTTGGTTTGGGTAAGTCTTCTACTATTTCTATGGGTTCAGTTGTCTCATGTTTTTCCTCTTCCGGAATAATTTCGGAAGAATCTTCCTTGCCAGGCTTAGTTGGCATTTCTACCTTTTCATACTGTTCAAGCTTAACCTTCGGAATTTCTTCCTCGATTAATTTCTTTACATAATCGTCTAAGTCGTCCTTTTTAACCTTCTTTATTGTTTTCTTCGGCTTTGGCTTAGATTTCTCTTCAGCCTGTTCTGGTTGTTCTTCGATAAGCTGTACTGGAGCTATCTCTGGTTCTTCATCGACGATAACTGTAACTGAATCGTTGTCCTCGCTTTCAATAGTTGTAATTTTGAAAGTCGTTTCTTCTTGAGGTGCCTTCTTTTTCAAAACCCGTTTAGTGGTCTTTTCCTGAACTGGCTTGCCTTCTTCAGTAATAACCTCTTGGATTTGTATCTCTACAGGTTGAACTTCTACAACTTCAACTGGTACTTCAGGTTGTTTAGGAGCTTCTTCTTCGACCACTTTGATCTCAGCGAATTGTTCCGGAACAGTTCCTTCGTCTTTCTGGACTACTTTGGGCTTAGTCTTCTTTTCTTTTTTGGACTTATCAGAAGGGGATTCTTCAACGACATCAATCAGGTTATCTAATGGCTTGTCTTTAACGACTGTCTCAAATTCCATTTTCTCATACTTTTCAAGCTCAGTCTTGGGCGTTTCCATGTCAATTAGTTTTTGAATGTAGTCATGTATATCGTCCTTCTTAACCTTTTTGGTTTTCTTTTTGGGTTCTTTGGGCTTTTCGTCCTGCTTGACTGGTTCTGGTTCATACTCCAAAATAGTTATTTCCGCCTCAGGCTGATCATCCCTAACAACTTCAATAATCTCCATTTCCCCCTTACCATCAGGTCGTTTTAACTTGCGTTTGGTAGTAACCTGCTTATGAATTTCACCCGTGTCGTCTTTAGTTTCTTCGACCTTTGTTTCACTTTCAATAACTTTAACTGTAAGCGGCTCTTCTTCTTCAGGTTCCAAAACACTTTCCTTAATAGAAATTTCGTATTTTTGCTCAGAAGATTGGTCAACATCTTCATGCAATTTTTTAGAAGATTTCTTCTTTTCAGGTTTAGGTGCAGTTTTTTCTTCTTCCTTTATAGACACGCTGAATTCCTGAACATCTGGGCTTTCTACATTAGATTCCTTTACTTCAACCTCCAAAGGCTTTTCGACAACGTCTTCTACCGGCTGTTCCTCGTGAACTTTAATTGAAGCCTTTGGTGCTTTCTTTTTATCTGGTTTCTTAGCCTCTTTCACCTGGTCAATTTTGTGTTCAGGTTCGTCTTCGCTTGGAACTAATTCCTGGACAGTTATAAGATCATCACTAACTGGAGAATCTTCCGGAACGGTCTCTTTAACAGACACTTCTTCATCTTGTGGCTTTTGCTCTTCAATGGAAGGCTGCTTTTCTTTCTTTGGCTTCTTCTTTGCCTTCTCAGAGGTCGGCTTAGAAGTAGAATCTTCAATAACTCCCACAACGCCTTCGGGTTCAATCGGCTTTGGTACCTCCTCCTCAATTACTGCCTTGATAAAGTCTTCTACTTCATCCTTCTTAATCTTTTTCGTCCGTTTCTGTTTAATTACAGGCTGTTCCTGATCAGGAGTTTCTTCTGGAGTGGTGGTTGTGATGGTTATTTCAGATTCGTTTGTATCTTTATCAGTTACCTCGACTATGTCGTGAACTATTTCTTTAGGACCCTTCTTTAGCTTTATCTGTTTAGTCTTAACCACCTTTTCTTTTACTTTTCCCTCTTCGTCAGGAACCTGCTGGATTTCTACGGTTTCTTCTAGAACTGATATTTCTAAAGGTTTTTCTTCTGGCTGTTCTGGAATAAATTCCTTGAGGGTAAACGTAAGTTTTGGTTCGTCCTTGTCGACTTCAGAAACTTTCACAATCTCCTCTAGAGGCTTTTCTTCTATCCGCTCTTCAGTATCTTCTACTGGCTGCTCTTCAATTTGCTTGACCTTTTTGATGGGTTTCTTCTTCATTTTGATAGGTTCGTCTATGTCGATCTTTTCATACTTTTCCAGTTCGGTTTTCGGTATATCCTGCTCAATAAGCTTCTGAATATAGTCATGAAGATCGTCTTTCGGAACCTTTTTAGTTTTGCGAATCTTCTTTGGCGTTTCCTCCTGAGGAACTTCATCGCTAACTGTTTCGGCCTCCTCAGTGGTTACAATGACTTCGTACTCTGGAGTGTCTCCGGTCTTGGTTTCCACAATTTCAATAATTTCTTCCTTGGGGCCAATCTGCTTTTTGATTTTTCGTTTAGTTACAGTTTGCTTTGTCGTTTCGCCTTCAGCGTCGGTTACTTCTTTTTCCACTGTCTGGGTTTCGATTTCTTCTACCTGGAAAGCCGGTTCCTCCGATGGTTTATTTTCTTCATCTTCAATCACAACTGCTTCATGTTCAGGAATCGGCTCTTCACTTAATTTTTCTTCGGATTTTACCCTAACAAGATAGTCTTGATTTTCATTCAATGCAGGTTGTTTTTTAGTTTTGGGCTTGGTTATCTTTTTGGGCTTGGGTTGTTCCTGTTCGGTAGCCACAATTTCTTCCTTGACACCAAAGACATATTCAACTGAATCTAATGGTTTTTCTGGAACGGATTCAATCGGTTGCTCTAAATCTTCCTCAACATCTGTAGGTACCTTGCTATCTGTGTGTTCTTCCTCAGTGACTGTGTAAGTTTTCTGAGGTTTCTGTGACTTTTTCGGTTTTTTCTCCACAACTTCTTCTATTTCACTTTCAAGTGTGTCAAATGGAACAGGCTGTACGAATTCTTCAATAATATTAATGACGTATTCCTCAACTTCGTCCTTCTTTAATTGCTTCGGCTTCTTAACGATTTTCCTTTCAGGCTTTGGCTTTTCTTGAGAAACAAGGACATCATCACTGGTTAACTCCACGACAGTAACTTCGGCAACAGGCTGATCTTCACTTGTTGTTTCTGTAATTTCAAAGATATGCTCCTTAGATCCCTTTCTACGCGATACCTTGCGTTTCTTGACAGTTACTTCTTTTACAGTTCCTTCCTCAGTGGGTTGCTCAACGACTTCGACAGTTTGTTCAATTTCTTCTAATGGTGCGGGAATCTCAACGATCTTCTTCTTTTTCAATGATTTCTCCTTCTTAATGGGTTTTGTTTCTTCCTCAGGAGTCTTTTCGATTGCCTGATCAGGTTCAACAAATTCGTCAGAAATGTTTACGATGTAACTTGATGAATCGTCTGGCTGTGATGGTAACTCCTCGACTTCTTGTAGTGTAGTATCTGGTATTTTTAGGTCCTCAGATTCGGGAACGATTTCTTCAACATCGAACTCGTGAATGGTTACGGGAAGCCCATCAGAATCTTGAATTATCTTTTTGTGGTGAGACTTTACTTTCTTTTTGACTTGCTTAGGCTTGGCATCCATTTCGGTAGGCTCGTATTCTTCGAGAGGTGTTTTTGTGATTTCCTGTTCGATTAACTGTTGTATATATTTGTCAAGATCGTCCTTAACAGCCTTCTTCTTCTTAACCTTTTTAATAACATTGGCTGGTTGATCATCAGCGACATCTGTTGAGTCCCCTGTTGGTAACTCTGTTGTAGTGAATTCGATGTCGGCCTCCGGCTTGTTCTCTTGATAGGTTTCTGTTATTTCGATGAGATACTCCTTTGGACCTTCCTTTTTCTTAAGTTTCTTTATTGTCTTAACTTGTTTTACATCCTCTCCCTTTTCGTTTACACTATTCTCTATAATAATTTCAGGAGCCAATTCTTCAATAAGGATCGTCTCTTCGAGTGGACTTTCGGTCGACTTCTTTGGCTTCTTGGTTTTTATCTTTGTTTCAAGTGGTTCTTCCTCATCGGTGAGCTTAAGCTCTTCAAACTGCTGTGGCTCGCTATATTCCTCTAAAACATTAACTACATAGCTTTCCACTTCTTCAGGCTTCAGTTTTTTCGGTTTTTTAATTGGTTTCTTTTCGTTAGGTACGTCTTCTTTAGGCTGTTCATCTGTAACCTCGACAATTGTAACTTCAGCTAAAGGTTCATCGCTCGTTTTTGTCTGGGTAATTTCAAAGATTTGTTCCATTGGACCTTGTTTGCGGGACACCTTTTTCTTCTTAACTTCAACTTGCTTGGTTACACCATCTTCTTCAGTAATCTTTACAGTTTCCACAGACTCTGTAATTTCAGCAATGACTGGTTCTGTGGTCTCTTCAAGCCTCTGCGGTTCGTTGAACTCTTCCAGAATATTAACTATATAGCTTTGGACGTCTTCAGGTTTTAGTTTTTTCGGTTTCTTAATTGGTTTCTTTTCCTTAGGTAGAGGAATGTCTTCTTTAAGCTCTTCGTCCGTAACCTCGACAATTGAAACTTCAGCTAAAGGTTCATCGCTAGTTTTTGTCTCAGTGATTTCAAAGATTTGTTCCTTGGGACCTTGTTTGCGGGAAATCTTTTTCTTCCTAATTTCAACCGCCTTCGTTACACCATCATCGTTAGTAACTTGTACAACTTCCACAGCCTCCGAAATATCTTGAATAAATGGTTGCGGTTTGTCCTCCTTATATCGAGTAGGTTCCGTAAACTCTTCTAAAACATTGATCACGTAGTTCTTGACATCTTCAGGTTTTAATTTCTTAGATTTTTTAATTGGTTTCTTCTCCTTTACCTCTGGAACCTCTTCTTGAATCTGTTCGTCAGTAATATCAACGATCGTTACTTCAGCTAGAGGTTCATCGCTGGCTTTTGTCTCAGTGATCTCAAAGATTTTTTCGATAGGACCTTGTTTACGAGAAATCTTTTTCTTCTTAATTTCAACCTGTTTTGGTGTGCCATCTTCTTCCGTGACTTGTACCACTTCCACAACCTTCGAGATATCTTTGAACTCTGGTTGTGGCTTGTCCTCCTCGTTCTCTTTAAGTTCCTCAAAGCGTACGGGTTCATTGAACTCTTCTAGCACATTGATCACAAAGCTCTTGACATCTTCAGGCTTCAATTTCTTTGATTTTTTAATTGGTTTCTTTTCTTTAACTTCTTGTACTTCCATTTCAGGGTGTTCCTCTGTAACCTCAATAATAGTTACCTCAGCCAAAGGTTCATCACTAGTTTTTGTCTCTGTGATTTCAAAGATTTGCTCCTTAGAACCTTTCCTGCGGGAAACCTTCTTTTTCTTAATTTCAACCTTTTTGGGTATACCATCTTCTTCCGTAACGTGCACAACTTCTACAATCTCCGAAATATCTTCAATAACTGATTTCGGCTGTTCCTCATCTACGATCTTGGCCTTAAACGATTTTTTAGTTTTTGGCTTAGGCTTATCCTCAACGACACTTATTTGTAGATCCTTAGGTGCTTCCTCTGTATCATCTCGATCACTTTCCTGCAGGATGACCTCTTCAGGCTTAAAGTCTTCTTGCTCAAACTCGAACTCTTGTACTTCTACCTCATGCACGGTAATCGGAGTGCCGTCAATAATATCAGTATATTTCTTATGTTGCTTTTTGATTTTCTTAGGCTTCTTTACCTCGGGAGATGTATCTAAGACAGTTATTTCAAAGTCTTCAAGATCTTCTTTGGGAATTTCTTGATCTATTAGTTCTTGAATATAATTGTCCAAGCTTTTGGTCTTTGGCTTCTTTTCCTTCACAATCTTTATCTTGTGCTGTTCTTCAGGTTTAGAGTCAATGGATGGCGATATGTCAGTGGTCATGATCACAATATCTGCTTCAGGATTATTTTCTTCATATGTTTCAACCACTTCAATTAGATATTCCTTTGGCCCCTGTTTCTTTTTGAGTTTTCGCGTATTAATGACTCGTTCAACTTCCTTACCTTCCTCATTTTCAATTTTTTCAGTAATAGTTTCCGGTGTAAGCTCCTCAATACGAATCGTATATTGGGAGGTAGGCTCGGCGGGAGATTCCTGCTTCGGTTTCTTCGGCGTTTTCTTTTTAGACTTTGGCACACTGTCTTTTACTTCTATCGAATATTCATCCGGTTTCTGAATATCATCAGATTCTAGGACCTCCGTTGTAAATTCTAAGATCGTCGAATCTTCAGTAGTCGGAGTAGGTGCTGATTCGGATATTTTAACCTTCTTCTGTTTTTCAGTTTTCTTTTTCTTAACATCAGGCACGGTTAGAACTCCTTCTGGTTTCTTTTGTTCGGGTAGAACAGGTTCATCCATTTCCTCTTCTACTACTGTAGTGGTAAAGGTACCAATATCTTCTTCCACTGAGCTTTCTCTAACAGGAGCAGTTGTAATATCCTCAGATATTTCAGCGATGTGTTCCAATGGGGCTTCCTCGACAATATTGACAATGAACTCTTTAAGCTTCTCCTTCTTCACCTTTTTAACGGATTTCTTTGGTGCTTCCGGCTTATGCAGAGCAGGTCCATCCGTTGTATCTTCAGAAATTTCAGTAGTTATAACTATAACCTCTGCTTCATTTGGCTGATCATCTGGAGCGTCAGTTTCGATTATTTCGATTTCGTAATGTTTTGAGCCCTTTCTAGTTTTCAACTTGCGTTTCTTTATGATTTTCTCATCTCTTGTTTGAATTACTTCAGGGGCTAACGAAACACTCTCAACATCTTCCTCTACTACCAGAATGGGCAGGCTTTCTCCTAAGTCTGCTAGGATTTCATCCAAAGCTGGCAAGATTTCTTCTTCTGTTTGTTCAGTATATTGCTCTGGAGTACGTTCCGAGTCAACCGTTTTTATAAGGAACTCATCATAAACAGGAACAGGCTCGGTTTCAACCGATTCTTCCTCCTTAATTTCTTTCTTTGGCTTTAGTTTCTTTGCTTTTGGTTTTTCGATTGGCTCATGCTCTGAGATGCCAACATTAAGAGTTTCGCCTTCATCTATAATTGGTTTTTCCAGCTTGGCCTTCTTCTTCTTGAGTTTTTTCGGCTTGCCATCAACATCGATTTTCTCATACTTTTCCAATTCTGTTATGGGAATTTCCGCATTAATAAGTTGTTGAATATAATCATCGAGCTCATCCTTTTTCATTTTTCGTGTTTTCGTTTTAAGTTTTTCAGCTGGTCTTGTGCTATCTTCTTCTTCCTTAGCTTCAGAAGATGTCACAATGACTTCATAAAGGGGCTCTTCACCGGAAGCGTCAATCGTTTCGACAATTTCCAAAACTTCAACCTCATCTCCCTTTTCATGCAGAATCCTTCGCTTCTTGGGTTTCTCTGTATCTGACGGCAATTCGGTCAATTTTACCTCATAGAAATCTTGCATGCTGGTCTCATAAAAGTTTTGATCTGGCTCTTCTCTTAACTCTGTGACAAAATCATCTAATTCCTTTTTGTTCATTCGCTTGACCTTCTTTTTAAGTATTTTGTTTGGCTTACTATCATCTTGAACAATTTCTGAGCTAGTGACTGTAACTTCATAGATTTTGTCATCGGAATCTTCGGGAGAAACTTCAATTATTTCAACGGTGTTTTCTTCTTGTCCAGTCTTAAGCTTTAGCTTGCGCTTTTTCTTTTGTTCCTTTGCAGGTTTTCCACTGGTAGGGGCCTTCGTTGGGACATCTTCAGTCTCAGATTCCAGAACCTCGAACTTGTAAAATGGTTTGAGCTTGACCTCTTCCTTTTCATCATCAGGTTTTTCTCCCTGGCGCTTCCGCAGTTTAAGGTCATCTTCTGGGATTTCATCAAGTTCCTTTGGTTTTCCGGGAGTTATTTCGAACTGCAGCGTCTCTGGCGTAGGAGTCGGCTTCTTCTTCCTCTTGTATTTTTTACTTTTCTGTGTAGAATCCTCCTCAGCTGGCGATGAGTCCGACTCTTCTGGGAACCCGGAGGTACTTTCAAGATCCTTAAATTCAATCGGTTCAAACTGAAGTGCTTCGTCAGGCTTGTCGGCCTTTCTGGTCTTCTTCTTTTTGCTTACTTTCTCTTCTTCTATTTTAACTGGCTTCTCCACAAGCTCTTCCTCTTTGACATCTATCTTAACCGGCTTTAGCGAAACCTCCTCCATCGCCTCAACATTTTGGGGAATTTTACCCTTTCCGAGCTTTAGTTTCCTAGATTCTTCCAAAGTTTCGGCCTTTAACTTTTTGGGGCGTTTGTATTTTGGCTTTGGTTGGTCCTCATCAAAAGGTTCTCCGCTTTCAGATTCGAGTGCCTCTAGATCGACTTCCTCCAGTTCAGCCTTCTCGGTCTTTGTAGGCTTGAACTTTCTTGGACGCAATTTCAAAACCTTTTCAGCTTCTTCAACATTGCGAGAAAGTTCTCCAGTTTCGCGGTTAGTTTCCAATTCGGTAACCACATATGGGAAGCAGTATGGAGCATATGGTATAAACCTAATCCAGCTCTTCAACTTTTTGTTCTTGAAGGATGCTTCGTTCTTCTTCTTTTTCTCTTCCTGAGGTCTTTGCTTAGGAGCTTTAAGCTTAAGCATTTGTGGGAATTCTGCCACTGAGCTTATTTCAATCATTTTAGGCTTCTTAAACTCAACTTTCTCTATTTTCATAGGAGTCAGCTTTGCAGGTTGTTTGAAAGACGAGTCACGACGAGCCCTTTGGGGAACTTCCATTTCTGTTCGTTTGTACCCTTGGATAACAGTCTTTGGGATTTCTTGGTGTATGAGGAATTGGATGTAGTCGTCCATTTCATCACGTTTCGATTTCACTACCTTCTTTTTCTTCGGCTTTTCCTTTGTTTCAACAGATTTTACATCAGTAAGAATCTCCTCAACCTTACCATCAACCTTTTTCGGCTTTCGTTTCTTAGCTGTCTTGTCAGTCAGTTCCCCTGTACCCTCTTCATCAACAACAGTCTCGTCAACTTCCTCAATAGGAGTTCCTAGTGTCTTTTTCTGTTTTAGTTTTTTGTCTTTAGGCGGTTTTTGTATGGCGTCTGCGCTTGCCTCTTCAGGTTCTGTGATTGTGTACTCTTTGTTGTATTGGTCTGTTTAAGAAAGAATTATGTGTTTTGTGTTAGCACTAAACTAATTTGTACACTTATATTTGCATTTTTTATAATGCTTTAAAACACACAAACTTTGTACGAACCACAAAGTTTTGCGTTTATACTTGCATGTGTTAAGGAATGACTTAAATTTAAATTGTGGATAATCTTTTACTAACCAAAACCATTCAACGCAAAACGAATTTTTTAAAAAATGATAGACCAATTAAAACTCAGTACTTTGTCAAATAGAATGTGTTCAATTTGTAAAAGATTGACCCATGTACGTATTAGGCTTCTTGTGTATATTTTTAAATCAGGTCCCACGTACTTAAATGTGAATTAGATAAGTTTGTTAGTAAATGTATTTTCAACAAAATATCGATCATGTTTTTGTGTATGCAGTTTTTGTAATGAATAATCTTTATATATATAAATGTGTAACATTTGGAATAGAGATATACCGTGCCTAACTTTATCAATTGGGAATTTAATATGTATGGACCTTAAATTGGTTAATACTTTAAAAATTGCTAAAATGTAAAATTTTTATGTATATATATGTGTTTAGTAAGAAAAAATCACCTGTTGGCTCGTTGACTTCGGTAATTTCAAGGTGTGATTGTGTTGTGTCTTCTGGAATGAGTTCTGTATCACTGAGGACTTCCTCAACAACTATGCCTTCCTCCTGAGAAACTCGTTTGTTTTCAGTTTGTATTGTTGTTTCTCCATCTTCGTTTTGAACAGATTTAAATGTTGTGATGTAAACTGGGTGTTCCTTTTCTGTGTTATCGGCCTTTGGTTTCTCCACTGTATTCGTGTTTGTGTTTTGTGGATTGATCAGAAAAATATGTTAATAAATGCCCGTATCAAATATTATTATTTTATTAAAATATAACATTAATGAAATTAATGGCCGAAAAAAAAAATTTTTTTTGCGTATACTTTAATTTGAGACGTTTATGTGGACTGTGTGTTTGAATAGTGTGTTTGTTTGTGTTCTTACCCTTCTGTTTGTGTGGCTTTTGTTTGTGTTTGGGAACTTTTTCGTCTTCAAGTTTACTAATATCTATAATATCCGCAATATTTTCATCGCTCACAACTCGTATAAGGGAGTATGGTTCCTGGCCCTCTTCTTCAATCGTTTGTATTTGGAAATATTCGTCGTCTTCCGGACCTGACTTTTTAAATGTTCGCGTTTTGGTAGTCTTCTTCTTTGGCTTCTTATTGTCGTCTAATTCTTCGGTAAATACAGTTTCCTCAGGGAGCTCCTCAATCGGTATAGGCGTAATGGAGGTCTCGTCAGAAGGCACAACTTCTATTTTTACTGTAGTTAGTGGCTCCTTGTTTTCCTCCTCTATGATATTAACGGTGGTAACTTCATCAAGATCTTCGTCGATGTTCTTCTTGAAAGCTCTGGACTTAACGGTCTTCTTCTTTTTTGTCCCGTCGGGTGAAACAACTTCCAACTCTGTCACATGTTCAGGCAACTCAACCAGCTTACTGTCGTCCGGCTTTGAATCGGTAGAAGGCTGATTTTTAACTGATATTGAATAAATGGGCTCAGTATTGTCTTCTTCAATAATGTTAATTTCAGTAATTTCTTCGGTATTACCAAGCGAAGGCTTTTTAATTACACGCTTCTTGGTTTTAATTATTTTTGGAAAACCTTTTCCATCAACTATTTCAGATTCGGTCACCTCATCAGGCAAAAGGACTGCTTCAGAAATCTTTTCTTCTGGAAGTTCCGGGAATGGCAGCTCAAACTTTTCAACCCATACTTTAGTTTGTGGAGCCTTTTCATATTCCTCGACCGTTTGAACCTTTGTCACTTCCATGTTGGGTCCTTGAATCTTTTTGATAATTCTTGTTTTAATAACGGTTTTTGTTGGAGTACCATCTTCCTTTTCTGAAAGTATAACCGACTTCCGCTCAGGCAATTCAAATACAGTAACTTCGTCTTCAGGTTTTTGCACAACCACTTTCTTCTTAAGCTTAATTTTGCTAGGAGTGCTTAAATCTGTTTCTTGAACAGTAACAGTGGTTTCCGGATTCTTGTCGTCTTCCTCAACGGTTTCGATCTTTGTCACTTCTTGCTTATCGCCCTTAACCTTCTTTATAACTCGCGTACGAATCTTTTTCTGCTTAGGAGTCCCATCTTCGTCAATGGTTTCAATGACACGCAACTCCTCTGGAAGCTCTTGAATTTCCACCGGTTGTTCTTCTCCAATTGGAAATTCTTCGACTGTGACCGTTGTTTCCGGTTTCTTATCATCCTCTTCGATGGTTTCTATCTTGGTAACTTCCTGTTTGTCACCCTTGACCTTTTTGATTACCCGTGTGCGGACCTTCTTCTTCTGTGGCTTGCCATCTTCGGTAACAGTTTCAACCACGCGAACTTCCTCTGGAAGTTCTTGAATATCTTCGGGTACTTCTTCCTCGAATGGAAGCTCCTCTACGGTAACTGTCGTTTCTGGTTGCTTATCATCCTCCTCGACGGTTTCAATCTTGGTAACTTCCTGTTTGTCACCCTTAACCTTTTTGATTACCCGAGTACGGATCTTCTTCTTCTTTGGCTTACCATCTTCGGTAACAGTTTCAACCACGCGAACTTCCTCTGGAAGTTCTTGAATCTCTTCAAGTACATTTTCCTCGAATGGAAGCTCCTCTACGGTAACTGTCGTTTCTGGTTGCTTATCATCCTCCTCGACGGTTTCAATCTTGGTAACTTCCTGTTTGTCACCCTTGACCTTTTTGATTACCCGAGTGCGGATCTTCTTCTTCTTTGGCTTGCCATCTTCGGTTACAGTTTCAACCACGCGAACCTCTTCTGGAAGTTCTTGAATCTCTTCGGGTACTTCTGCCTCGAATGGAAGCTCCTCTACAGTAACTGTCGTTTCTGGTTGCTTATCATCCTCCTCGACGGTTTCAATCTTGGTAACTTCCTGTTTGTCACCCTTGACCTTTTTGATTACCCGAGTGCGGATCTTCTTCTTCTTTGGCTTGCCATCTTCGGTAACAGTTTCAACCACGCGAACTTCCTCTGGAAGTTCTTGAATCTCTTCAGGTACTTCTTCCTCGAATGGAAGCTCCTCTACGGTAACTGTCGTTTCTGGTTGCTTATCATCCTCTTCGACGGTTTCAATCTTGGTAACTTCCTGTTTGTCACCCTTGACCTTTTTGATTACCCGAGTGCGGATCTTCTTCTTCTTTGGCTTGCCATCTTCGGTAACAGTTTCAACCACGCGAACTTCTTCTGGAAGTTCTTGAATCTCTTCGGGTACTTCTTCCTCGAATGGAAGCTCTTCTACCGTAACTGTCGTTTCAGGATGCTTATCATCCTCCTCGACGGTTTCAATCTTGGTAACTTCCTGTTTGTCACCCTTGACCTTTTTGATTACCCGAGTGCGGATCTTCTTCTTCTTTGGCTTGCCATCTTCGGTTTCAGTTTCAACCACGCGAACTTCCTCTGGAAGTTCTTGAATCTCTTCGGGTACTTCTTCCTCGAATGGAAGCTCTTCTACCGTAACTGTCGTTTCAGGTTGCTTATCATCCTCCTCGACGGTTTCAATCTTGGTAACTTCCTGTTTGTCACCCTTGACCTTTTTGATTACCCGAGTGCGGATCTTCTTCTTCTTTGGCTTGCCATCTTCGGTAAGAGTTTCAACCACGCGAACCTCCTCTGGAAGTTCTTGAATCTCTTCGGGTACTTCTGCCTCGAATGGAAGCTCCTCTACGGTAACTGTCGTTTCTGGTTGCTTATCATCCTCTTCGACGGTTTCAATCTTGGTAACTTCCTGTTTGTCACCCTTGACCTTTTTGATTACCCGAGTGCGGATCTTCTTCTTCTTTGGCTTGCCATCTTCGCTAACAGTTTCAACCACGCGAACTTCTTCTGGAAGTTCTTGAATCTCTTCAGGTACTTCTTCCTCGAATGGAAGCTCCTCTACGGTAACTGTCGTTTCAGGATGCTTATCATCCTCCTCGACGGTTTCAATCTTGGTAACTTCTTGTTTGTCACCCTTGACCTTTTTGATTACCCGAGTGCGGATCTTCTTCTTCTTTGGCTTGCCATCTTCGGTAACAGTTTCAACCACGCGAACTTCCTCTGGAAGTTCTTGAATCTCTTCAGGTACTTCTTCCTCGAATGGAAGCTCCTCTACGGTAACTGTCGTTTCAGGATGCTTATCATCCTCCTCGACGGTTTCAATCTTGGTAACTTCCTGTTTGTCACCCTTGACCTTTTTGATTACCCGAGTGCGGATCTTCTTCTTCTTTGGCTTGCCATCTTCGGTAACAGTTTCAACCACGCGAACTTCCTCTGGAAGTTCTTGAATCTCTTCGGGTATTTCTTCCTCGAATGGAAGCTCTTCTACCGTAACTGTCGTTTCAGGTTGCCTATCATCCTCCTCGACGGTTTCAATCTTGGTAACTTCCTGTTTGTCACCCTTGACCTTTTTGATTACCCGAGTGCGGATCTTCTTCTTCTTTGGCTTGCCATCTTCAGTAAGAGTTTCAACCACGCGAACTTCCTCTGGAAGTTCTTGAATCTCTTCAGGTACTTCTTCCTCGAATGGAAGCTCCTCTACGGTAACTGTCGTTTCTGGTTGCTTATCATCCTCCTCGACGGTTTCAATCTTGGTAACTTCCTGTTTGTCACCCTTGACTTTTTTGATTACCCGAGTGCGGATCTTCTTCTTCTTTGGCTTGCCATCTTCGGAAACAGTTTCAACCACGCGAACTTCCTCTGGAAGTTCTTGAATCTCTTCGGGTACTTCTTCCTCAAATGGAAGCTCTTCTACCGTAACTGTCGTTTCAGGTTGCTTATCATCCTCCTCGACGGTTTCAATCTTGGTAACTTCCTGTTTGTCACCCTTGACCTTTTTGATTACCCGAGTGCGGATCTTCTTCTTCTTTGGCTTGCCATCTTCGGTAACAGTTTCAACCACGCGAACTTCCTCTGGAAGTTCTTGAATCTCTTCAGGTACATCTTCCTCGAATGGAAGCTCCTCTACAGTAACTGTCGTTTCTGGTTGCTTATCATCTTCCTCGACGGTTTCAATCTTGGTAACTTCCTGTTTGTCACCCTTGACCTTTTTGATTACCCGAGTGCGGATCTTCTTCTTCTTTGGCTTGCCATCTTCGGTAACAGTTTCAACCACGCGAACTTCTTCTGGAAGTTCTTGAATCTCTTCAGGTACATCTTCCTCGAATGGAAGCTCCTCTACAGTAACTGTCGTTTCTGGTTGCTTATCATCTTCCTCGACGGTTTCAATCTTGGTAACTTCCTGTTTGTCACCCTTGACTTTTTTGATTACACGAGTGCGGATCTTCTTCTTCTTTGGCTTGCCATCTTCGCTAACAGTTTCAACCACGCGAACTTCCTCTGGAAGTTCTTGAATCTCTTCGGGTACTTCTTCCTCAAATGGAAGCTCTTCTACCGTAACTGTCGTTTCAGGTTGCTTATCATCTTCCTCGACGGTTTCAATCTTGGTAACTTCCTGTTTGTCACCCTTGACTTTTTGATTACCCGAGTGCGGATCTTCTTCTTCTTTGGCTTGCCATCTTCGGTAACAGTTTCAACCACGCGAACTTCCTCTGGAAGCTCTTGAATCTCTTCAGGTACATCTTCCTCGAATGGAAGCTCCTCTACGGTAACTGTCGTTTCTGGTTGCTTATCATCCTCCTCGACGGTTTCAATCTTGGTAACTTCCTGTTTGTCACCCTTGACCTTTTTGATTACCCGAGTGCGGATCTTCTTTTTCTTTGGCTTGCCATCTTCGGTAACAGTTTCAACCACGCGAACTTCCTCTGGAAGTTCTTGAATCTCTTCGGGTACTTCTTCCTCAAATGGAAGTTCTTCTACCGTAACTGTTGTTTCAGGTTGCTTATCATCCTCCTCGACGGTTTCAATCTTGGTAACTTCCTGTTTGTCACCCTTGACCTTTTTGATTACCCGAGTGCGGATCTTCTTCTTCTTTGGCTTGCCATCTTCGGTAACAGTTTCAACCACGCGAACTTCCTCTGGAAGTTCTTGAATCTCTTCAGGTACTTCTTCCTCGAATGGAAGCTCCTCTACGGTAACTGTCGTTTCTGGTTGCTTATCATCCTCCTCGACGGTTTCAATCTTGGTAACTTCCTGTTTGTCACCCTTGACCTTTTTGATTACCCGAGTGCGGATCTTCTTCTTCTTTGGCTTGCCATCTTCGGTAACAGTTTCAACCACGCGAACTTCCTCTGGAAGTTCTTGAATCTCTTCAGGTACTTCTTCCTCGAATGGAAGCTCCTCAACGGTAACTGTCGTTTCTGGTTGCTTATCATCCTCCTCGACGGTTTCAATCTTGGTAACTTCCTGTTTGTCACCCTTGACCTTTTTGATTACCCGAGTGCGGATCTTCTTCTTCTTTGGCTTGCCATCTTCGGTAACAGTTTCAACCACGCGAACCTCTTCTGGAAGTTCTTGAATCTCTTCGGGTACTTCTTCCTCAAATGGAAGCTCTTCTACCGTAACTGTCGTTTCAGGTTGCTTATCATCCTCCTCGACGGTTTCAATCTTGGTAACTTCCTGTTTGTCACCCTTGACCTTTTTGATTACCCGAGTGCGGATCTTCTTCTTCTTTGGCTTGCCATCTTCGGTAACAGTTTCAACCACGCGAACTTCCTCTGGAAGTTCTTGAATCTCTTCGGGTACTTCTTCCTCGAATGGAAGCTCCTCTACAGTAACTGTCGTTTCTGGTTGCTTATCATCTTCCTCGACGGTTTCAATCTTGGTAACTTCCTGTTTGTCACCCTTGACCTTTTTGATTACCCGAGTGCGGATCTTCTTCTTCTTTGGCTTGCCATCTTCGGTTACAGTTTCAACCACGCGAACTTCCTCTGGAAGTTCTTGAATCTCTTCGGGTACTTCTTCCTCGAATGGAAGCTCCTCTACAGTAACTGTCGTTTCTGGTTGCTTATCATCTTCCTCGACGGTTTCAATCTTGGTAACTTCCTGTTTGTCACCCTTGACCTTTTTGATTACCCGAGTACGGATCTTCTTCTTCTTTGGTTTGCCATCTTCGGTAACAGTTTCAACCACGCGAACTTCCTCTGGAAGTTCTTGAATCTCTTCAGATACTTCTTCCTCGAATGGAAGCTCCTCTACAGTAACTGTCGTTTCTGGTTGCTTATCATCCTCCTCGACGGTTTCAATCTTGGTAACTTCCTGTTTGTCACCCTTGACCTTTTTGATTACCCGAGTGCGGATCTTCTTCTTCTTTGGCTTGCCATCTTCGGTAACAGTTTCAACCACGCGAACTTCCTCTGGAAGTTCTTGAATCTCTTCGGGTACTTCTTCCTCGAATGGAAGCTCCTCTACGGTAACTGTCGTTTCTGGTTGCTTATCATCCTCCTCGACGGTTTCAATCTTGGTAACTTCCTGTTTGTCACCCTTGACTTTTTTGATTAACCGAGTGCGGATCTTCTTCTTCTTTGGCTTACCATCTTCGGTAACAGTTTCAACCACGCGAACTTCCTCTGGAAGTTCTTGAATCTCTTCAGTTACTTCTTCCTCGAATGGAAGCTCCTCTACGGAAACTGTCGTTTCTGGTTGCTTATCATCCTCCTCGACGGTTTCAATCTTGGTAATTTCCTGTTTGTCACCCTTGACCTTTTTGATTACCCGAGTGCGGATCTTCTTCTTCTTTGGCTTGCCATCTTCGGTAACAGTTTCAACCACGCGAACTTCCTCTGGAAGTTCTTGAATCTCTTCAGGTACATCTTCCTCGAATGGAAGCTCCTCTACGGTAACTGTCGTTTCTGGTTGCTTATCATCCTCCTCGACGGTTTCAATCTTGGTAACTTCCTGTTTGTCACCCTTGACCTTTTTGATTACCCGAGTGCGGATCTTCTTCTTCTTTGGCTTGCCATCTTCGGTAACAGTTTCAACCACGCGAACTTCCTCTGGAAGTTCTTGAATCTCTTCGGGTACTTCTTCCTCGAATGGAAGCTCCTGTACGGTAACTGTCGTTTCTGGTTGCTTATCATCCTCCTCGACGGTTTCAATCTTGGTAACTTCCTGTTTGTCACCCTTGACTTTTTTGATTACCCGAGTGCGGATCTTCTTCTTCTTTGGCTTACCATCTTCGGTAACAGTTTCAACCACGCGAACTTCCTCTGGAAGTTCTTGAATCTCTTCAGGTACATCTTCCTCGAATGGAAGCTCCTCTACGGTAACTGTCGTTTCTGGTTGCTTATCATCCTCCTCGACGGTTTCAATCTTGGTAACTTCCTGTTTGTCACCCTTGACCTTTTTGATTACCCGAGTGCGGATCTTCTTCTTCTTTGGCTTGCCATCTTCGGTAACAGTTTCAACCACGCGAACTTCCTCTGGAAGTTCTAGAATCTCTTCGGGTACTTCTTCCTCGAATGGAAGCTCCTCTACAGTAACTGTCATTTCTGGTTGCTTATCATCCTCCTCGACAGTTTCAATCTTGGTAACTTCCTGTTTGTCACCCTTGACCTTTTTGATTACCCGAGTGCGGATCTTCTTTTTCTTTGGCTTGCCATCTTCAGTAATGGTTTCAACCACGCGAACTTCCTCTGGAAGCTCTTGAATCTCTTCCGGTTTTTCTTCTTCAAATGGAAGCTCCTCTACAGTAACAGTCGTTTCTGGTTGCTTATCATCCTCCTCGACGGTTTCAATCTTGGTAACTTCCCTTTTGTCACCCTTGACCTTTTTGATTACCCGAGTACGGATCTTCCTCTTCTTTGGTTTGCCATCTTCGGTAACAGTTTCAACCACGCGAACTTCCTCTGGAAGTTCTTGAATCTCTTCGGGTATTTCTTCCTCGAATGGAAGCTCCTCTACAGTAATTGTCGTTTCTGGTTGCTTATCATCCTCCTCGACGGTTTCAATCTTGGTAACTTCCTGTTTGTCACCCTTGACCTTCTTGATTACGCGAGTGCGGATCTTCTTCTTCTTTGGCTTGCCATCTTCGGTAACAGTTTCAACCACGCGAACTTCCTCTGGAAGTTCTTGAATCTCTTCGGGTACTTCTTCCTCGAATGGAAGCTCCTCTACGGTAACTGTCGTTTCTGGTTGCTTATCATCCTCCTCGACGGTTTCAATCTTGGTAACTTCCTGTTTGTCACCCTTGACCTTTTTGATTACCCTAGTGCGGATCTTCTTCTTCTTTGGCTTGCCATCTTCGGTAACAGTTTCAACCACGCGAACTTCCTCTGGAAGTTCTTGAATCTCTTCGGGTACTTCTTCCTCGAATGGAAGCTCCTCTACGGTAACTGTCGTTTCTGGTTGCTTATCATCCTCCTCGACGGTTTCAATCTTGGTAACTTCCTGTTTGTCACCCTTGACCTTCTTGATTACGCGAGTGCGGATCTTCTTCTTCTTTGGCTTCCCGTCTTCGGTAATAGTTTCAACCACGCGAACCTCCTCTGGAAGTTCCTTGATTTCTTCTGGCTGCTCCTCCTCTAGCGGAAGTTCCTCGACGGTGACAGTTGTTTCGGGTTGTTTGTCATCCTCTTCGACAATTTCAATCTTGGTAACTTCCTGCTTGCCACCCTTGACCTTCTTGATTACGCGAGTACGGATCTTCTTCTTCTTTGGCTTGCCGTCTTCGGTAATAGATTCAACTACGCGAACCTCCTCTGGAAGTTCCTTGATTTCTTCTGGCTGCTCCTCCTCTACAGGAAGTTCTTCGACGGTGACAGTTGTTTCGGGTTGTTTGTCATCCTCCTCGACAATTTCAATCTTGGTAACTTCTTGCTTGTCACCCTTGACCTTCTTGATTACGCGAGTGCGGATCTTTTTCTTCTTTGGCTTGCCGTCTTCGGTAATAGTTTCCACCACGCGAACCTCCTCTGGAAGTTCCTTGATTTCTTCTGGCTGCTCCTCCTCTACCGGAAGTTCTTCGACGGTGACAGTTGTTTCGGGTTGTTTGTCATCCTCCTCGACAATTTCAATCTTGGTAACTTCTTGCTTGTCACCCTTGACCTTCTTGATTACGCGAGTGCGGATCTTCTTCTTCTTTGGCTTGCCGTCTTTGGTAATAGTTTCAACAACGCGAACCTCCTCTGGAAGTTCCTTGATTTCTTCAGGCTGCTCCTCCTCTACAGGAAGTTCTTCGACGGTGACAGTTGTTTCGGGTTGTTTGTCATCCTCCTCGACGATTTCAATCTTGGTAACTTCTTGCTTGTCACCCTTGACCTTCTTGATTACGCGAGTACGGATCTTCTTCTTCTTTGGCTTGTCGTCTTCGGTAATAGTTTCAACCACGCGAACCTCCTCTGGAAGTTCCTTGATTTCTTCAGGCTGCTCCTCCTTTACAGGAAGTTCTTCGACGGTGACAGTTGTTTCGGGTTGTTTGTCATCCTCCTCGACAATTTCAATCTTGGTAACTTCTTGCTTGTCACCCTTGACCTTCTTGATTACGCGAGTGCGGATCTTCTTCTTCTTTGGCTTGCCGTCTTCGGTAATAGTTTCAACCACGCGAACCTCCTCTGGAAGTTCCTTGATTTCTTCTGGCTGCTCCTCCTCTACCGGAAGTTCCTCGACGGTGACAGTTGTTTCGGGTTGTTTGTCATCCTCTTCAACAATTTCAATCTTGGTAACTTCTTGCTTGTCACCCTTGACCTTCTTGATTACGCGAGTGCGGATCTTCTTCTTCTTTGGCTTGCCGTCTTCGGTAATAGTTTCCACCACGCGAACCTCCTCTGGAAGTTCCTTGATTTCTTCTGGCTGCTCCTCCTCTACCGGAAGTTCTTCGACGGTGACAGTTGTTTCGGGTTGTTTGTCATCCTCCTCGACAATTTCAATCTTGGTAACTTCTTGCTTGTCACCCTTGACCTTCTTGATTACGCGAGTGCAGATCTTCTTCTTCTTTGGCTTGCCGTCTTCGGTAATAGTTTCAACCACGCGAACCTCCTCTGGAAGTTCCTTGATTTCTTCTGGCTGCTCCTCCTCCACCAGAAGTTCCTCGACGGTGACAGTTGTTTCGGGTTGTTTGTCATCCTCTTCGACAATTTTAATCTTTGTAACTTCTTGCTTGTCACCCTTGACCTTCTTGATTACGCGAGTGCGGATCTTCTTCTTCTTTGGCTTGCCGTCTTCGGTAATAGTTTCAACCACGCGAACCTCCTCTGGAAGTTCCTTGATTTCTTCAGGCTGCTCCTCCTCTACAGGAAGTTCTTCGACGGTGACAGTTGTTTCGGGTTGTTTGTCATCCTCCTCGACAATTTCAATCTTTGTAACTTCTTGCTTGTCACCCTTGACCTTCTTGATTACGCGAGTGCGGATCTTCTTCTTCTTTGGCTTGCCGTCTTCGGTAATAGTTTCAACCACGCGAACCTCCTCTGGAAGTTCCTTAATTTCTTCTGGCTGCTCCTCCTCTACAGGAAGTTCTTCGACGGTGACAGTTGTTTCGGGTTGTTTATCATTCTCCTCGACAATTTCAATCTTGGTAACTTCTTGCTTGTCACCCTTGACCTTCTTGATTACGCGAGTGCGGATCTTCTTCTTCTTTGGCTTCCCGTCTTCGGTAATAGTTTCAACCACGCGAACCTCCTCTGGAAGTTCCTTGATTTCTTCAGGCTGCTCCTCCTCTATAGGAAGTTCTTCGACGATGACAGTTGTTTCGGGTTGTTTGTCATCCTCCTCGACAATTTCAATCTTGGTAACTTCTTGCTTGTCACCCTTGACCTTCTTGATTACGCGAGTACGGATCTTCTTCTTCTTTGGCTTGCCGTCTTCGGTAATAGTTTCAACCACGCGAACCTCCTCTGGAAGTTCCTTGATTTCTTCTGGCTGCTCCTCGTCTACCGGAAGTTCCTCGACGGTGACAGTTGTTTCGGGTTGTTTGTCATCCTCTTCGACAATTTCAATCTTAGTAACTTCTTGCTTGTCACCCTTGACCTTCTTGATTACGCGAGTGCGGATCTTCTTCTTCTTTGGCTTGCCGTCTTCGGTAATAGTTTCAACCACGCGAACCTCCTCTGGAAGTTCCTTGATTTCTTCTGGCTGCTCCTCCTCTACAGGAAGTTCTTCGACGGTGACAGTTGTTTCGGGTTGTTTGTCATCCTCCTCGACAATTTCAATCTTGGTAACTTCTTGCTTGTCACCCTTGACCTTCTTGATTACGCGAGTGCGGATCTTCTTCTTCTTTGGCTTCCCGTCTTCGGTAATAGTTTCAACAACGCGAACCTCCTCTGGAAGTTCCTTGATTTCTTCAGGCTGCTCCTCCTCTATAGGAAGTTCTTCGACGGTGACAGTTGTTTCGGGTTGTTTGTCATCCTCCTCGACAATTTCAATCTTGGTAACTTCTTGCTTGTCACCCTTGACCTTCTTGATTACGCGAGTGCGGATCTTCTTCTTCTTTGGCTTGCCGTCTTCGGTAATAGTTTCAACCACGCGAACCTCCTCTGGAAGTTCCTTGATTTCTTCTGGCTGCTCCTCGTCTACCGGAAGTTCCTCGACGGTGACAGTTGTTTCGGGTTGTTTGTCATCCTCTTCGACAATTTCAATCTTGGTAACTTCTTGCTTGTCACCCTTGACCTTCTTGATTACACGAGTGCGGATCTTCTTCTTCTTTGGCTTGCCGTCTTCGGTAATAGTTTCCACCACGCGAACCTCCTCTGGAAGTTCCTTGATTTCTTCAGGCTGCTCCTCCTCTACAGGAAGTTCTTCGACGGTGACAGTTGTTTCGGGTTGTTTGTCATCCTCCTCGACAATTTCAATCTTTGTAACTTCTTGCTTGTCACCCTTGACCTTCTTGATTACGCGAGTGCGGATCTTCTTCTTCTTTGGCTTGCCGTCTTCGGTAATAGTTTCAACCACGCGAACCTCCTCTGGAAGTTCCTTGATTTCTTCAGGCTGCTCCTCCTCTATAGGAAGTTCCTCGACGGTGACAGTTGTTTCAGGTTGTTTGTCATCCTCCTCGACAATTTCAATCTTGGTAACTTCTTGCTTGTCACCCTTGACCTTCTTGATTACGCGAGTGCGGATCTTCTTCTTCTTTGGCTTGCCGTCTTCGGTAATAGTTTCAACCACGCGAACCTCCTCTGGAAGTTCCTTGATTTCTTCTGGCTGCTCCTCCTCTACAGGAAGTTCTTCGACGGTGACAGTTGTTTCGGGTTGTTTGTCATCCTCCTCGACAATTTCAATCTTGGTAACTTCTTGCTTGTCACCCTTGACCTTCTTGATTACGCGAGTGCGGATCTTCTTCTTCTTTGGCTTCCCGTCTTCGGTAATAGTTTCAATAACGCGAACCTCCTCTGGAAGTTCCTTGATTTCTTCAGGCTGCTCCTCCTCTACAGGAAGTTCTTCGACGGTGACAGTTGTTTCGGGTTGTTTGTCATCCTCCTCGACAATTTCAATCTTGGTAACTTCTTGCTTGTCACCCTTGACCTTCTTGATTACGCGAGTACGGATCTTCTTCTTCTTTGGCTTGCCGTCTTCGGTAATAGTTTCAACATCGCGAACCTCCTCTGGAAGTTCCTTGATTTCTTCTGGCTGCTCCTCGTCTACCGGAAGTTCCTCGACAGTGACAGTTGTTTCGGGTTGTTTGTCATCCTCTTCGACAATTTCAATCTTGGTAACTTCTTGCTTGTCACCCTTGACCTTCTTGATTACGCGAGTGCGGATCTTCTTCTTCTTTGGCTTGCCGTCTTCGGTAATAGTTTCAACAACGCGAACCTCCTCTGGAAGTTCCTTGATTTCTTCAGGCTGCTCCTCCTCTACAGGAAGTTCTTCGACGGTGACAGTTGTTTCGGGTTGTTTGTCATCCTCCTCGACAATTTCAATCTTGGTAACTTCTTGCTTGTCACCCTTGACCTTCTTGATTACGCGAGTGCGGATCTTCTTCTTCTTTGGCTTGCCGTCTTCGGTAATAGTTTCAACCACGCGAACCTCCTCTGGAAGTTCCTTAATTTCTTCTGGCTGCTCCTCCTCTACAGGAAGTTCTTCGACGGTGACAGTTGTTTCGGGTTGTTTATCATCCTCCTCGACAATTTCAATCTTGGTAACTTCTTGCTTGTCACCCTTTACCTTCTTGATTACGCGAGTGCGGATCTTCTTCTTCTTTGGCTTCCCGTCTTCGGTAATAGTTTTAACCACGCGAACCTCCTCTGGAAGTTCCTTGATTTCTTCTGGCTGCTCCTCCTCTACCGGAAGTTCCTCGACGGTGACAGTTGTTTCGGGTTGTTTGTCATCCTCTTCGACAATTTCAATCTTGGTAACTTCTTGTTTGTCACCCTTGACCTTCTTGATTACGCGAGTGCGGATCTTCTTCTTCTTTGGCTTGCCGTCTTCGGTAATAGTTTCAACAACGCGAACCTCCTCTGGAAGTTCCTTGATTTCTTCAGGCTGCTCCTCCTCTACAGGAAGTTCTTCGACGGTGACAGTTGTTTCGGGTTGTTTGTCATCCTCCTCGACAATTTCAATCTTGGTAACTTCTTGCTTGTCACCCTTGACCTTCTTGATTACGCGAGTGCGGATCTTCTTCTTCTTTGGCTTGCCGTCTTCGGTAATAGTTTCAACCACGCGAACCTCCTCTGGAAGTTCCTTGATTTCTTCAGGCTGCTCCTCCTCTACAGGAAGTTCCTCGACGGTGACAGTTGTTTCAGGTTGTTTGTCATCCTCCTCGACAATTTCAATCTTGGTAACTTCTTGCTTGTCACCCTTGACCTTCTTGATTACGCGAGTACGGATCTTCTTCTTCTTTGGCTTGCCGTCTTCGGTAACAGTTTCAACCACGCGAACCTCCTCTGGAAGTTCCTTGATTTCTTCTGGCTGCTCCTCCTCTACAGGAAGTTCCTCGACGGTGACAGTTGTTTCGGGTTGTTTGTCATCCTCCTCGACAATTTCAATCTTGGTAACTTCTTGCTTGTCACCCTTGACCTTCTTGATTACGCGAGTGCGGATCTTCTTCTTCTTTGGCTTGCCGTCTTCGGTAATAGTTTCAACCACGCGAACCTCCTCTGGAAGTTCCTTGATTTCTTCAGGCTGCTCCTCCTCTACAGGAAGTTCCTCGACGGTGACAGTTGTTTCAGGTTGTTTGTCATCCTCCTCGACAATTTCAATCTTGGTAACTTCTTGCTTGTCACCCTTGACCTTCTTGATTACGCGAGTACGGATCTTCTTCTTCTTTGGCTTGCCGTCTTCGGTAACAGTTTCAACCACGCGAACCTCCTCTGGAAGTTCCTTGATTTCTTCTGGCTGCTCCTCCTCTACAGGAAGTTCCTCGACGGTGACAGTTGTTTCAGGTTGTTTGTCATCCTCCTCGACAATTTCAATCTTGGTAACTTCTTGCTTGTCACCCTTGACCTTCTTGATTACGCGAGTACGGATCTTCTTCTTCTTTGGTTTGCCATCTTCAGTAATAGTTTCAACCACGCGAATGTTTTCAGTTATTTTCACATTTTCTGGTGTTTCTGTGATTTCGGTCTCACGGGTTTCTGGTTTTTGTGTTGGTGTCATTTGTTGTGTGTGTGTTGTGTCTGTGCTTTGTTCTGTATCTGTGTAAAAAATGTGCATTTAGAATATTGGTATGTATGGACATTGTGGAATTGTTTTGTTTTGTGTAATATGTGCTTAGGGACTGGAGGGTCGAGAGGTAGTGAAAGTAATACGCCTTTTTCGTTGAACTTCTTAAGGTATACCTATATATATACTTACCCGGTTTATTTTTTACCGTTTTGTCTAAACTCTTCTTCTTTAAGCTCGCTAACTCAATAATTTCCTGTGTCTGTTTCTTCTGATTGCTATCAGTATCATCTTTTGATATGTGTATTGGTGCTTGCAACTTTGTTGCTTCATGTGTGGTCGTTTCAAAGTGTGCATTTTTAGATATCAGTGGCGGAATGTCAAAAGTGGACTCTGATAAAACTTGTGTAGCTTGTAAAGCATTTTTTAGGCAACTTTCTACTAAAGTTGGCTTTAAAGTATCCTCAGGACAAGTCCGACTTGATGTTGTGCTAAATATGTTAAGCTGTTCTGTTGTTACTGAAGTGTTTGTTTCAAAGTTAATGTTTGCATTTTCCTGGGTATTGTGTACCTTCTCTTTTAATAATTCGACCTGCTCGTGTGCCATTGTTTGTTGGTTAAGATACGTACTCTGCGTGGTGATTGTTGGTTGCGCATTTTTCTCGTCATCTTGAAACTCAATAATATTTTGAACAGTCCCCTTCTCATTTTGCTCGCTTGTCAAAGGTGCAACTCTCATACCAGATATTTGCATTTTTGCATGCTCGAATGGATGCTTCTTGTTTTCCAAAAAAGGACTTACTCCTTCACAAGGAAGCTCCTCGCTGTAAACAATGTTTTTGTGTAAAACTATTTCTGGCATTGCTTTCAGCTCCTCAGGTACGTCCTTTGGAAGACTACCCATGGATGGTATTACCATGAACTCTTCTACCACCGAAACCTTTAACTCTGAAGTTACAGTTGCGTCTGATGAGAGGTTTGCAATATTTGGCCTAAAATCACCATGACCCTCAATATTTTCGTAGACAATTACAGAAGAACTTTCCGCTGGCCTAAGACTTGTTATTACAGAGCTGGTTGTAGTACAGGTTTTTTCGCCCGGCTCAAGCACAATATCAGGAGTTTGTTCGTATGTATTTTGTTCACTAACTTTTGCAGCTTCATGTGGAGCTTGATGAGATACGTTGGCATTTTCCGAGGCTGGTACGTGAAGTTCATATGTTTCTTGAATAGAGCTCATACCGACAACCTCTTCGGTAACTAATGATTTTAGTTCAACATTAGACATTTTAGCTTTATCGTCAAGAATGTTAAGTGTGGGTAGGGTGTCCTCTTTTAGGAATGTGGATTGAATTGTTGTCAAATGAGCCTTGCTCACGTCTACATCCTTTACAACCCTTACAAATAAACCCTTGTTATTTTCAGCTTGAATGTCCTTAGTTATTTCGTAGGCATTGACTTCAGATACGGTTGTATGTTCGTTGACTTCATCTGATTTGACCTTAGCTTGAACTATTTTGTCGTGAACCACTTGGACATCACTTTCCAGTTCTAATGGCAATTGTGTTTCCACCATAGGCGATTGAGTGATCCTGTCGTTAGTTGTTAAACTGGCAAGGACTTTATTAGCCTCTTGGGGTAAATCAATACCACTCACATTTTCACTTGGTACAACCTCAGTTACAAGCGTTTCCCGCTGCGTGCCTTCAATGAAAGGTTTTCCAAAATACTCCCTTTGCGTATTTTCTAATACATCTTCCTTTTGCATGATTAGGTTATCAATTTGAACCTGAACCTTATTTGACCCTGAAACAGTGACAAACTCTTCTTGGGCCTCCTGCGTAGTAACCTTAATATTATCAATATGTGCCGTAGATTCCAAAGTAAGCGTATCAATTATGTTGGTACCCTGAAGCAGATCTACAGCTGATTGCCTTGCTTTGTCCTCCTGGGATGTAAATAATGGAATAGTTGTCTCCTTTTGGAAAACTCGAGGCTGTTGTGATTCTGGTGTGGCCTTAAACATTATATCAATAGACTTTACAGCAGAAACGGGAGCCAAGTCTGGTTTTATGAGTTCTTCAGATTCCTCTAGCGCACGGACTTCACTGATATTTACTTCTTGCTGCCTTCCTTCATAATTTGTCTGAGCAATTTTTGCGTCTGGGGTCGAAGATAATAGATCTCCCATTCCTTCCATAGGGTGCGTTTTTGTAGTTACAGCCAAACCGAGGCGTGACGGTATCTTATCGGATGTTGCTACTGCATAAGATTGTTCATCACTGTTTAGTTTCTCTTCAGCTTCAATAGTTTGTTGCATTTCGGTTGAATGAACCTGAGCGAGCTCGAGAGTGAAATTTGCTTGCTGTACACTATACTTATCTACTTCGTGGGCTTGCCCTATGGCTTCATAGGCTGTGGCTTCGTCCACGAGCTTAGCATGAAGATTTTGAACACCCTCTATTACCTTGGCTTGTTGATTTGAGATAGTTTCATTCTCAAGAGTTTTTTCAGACTCCAATATTTTTTGATCCTCGGCGATTATCGAATGACTTAGGCTATCCTGGATCTTCGTTGCGGTTCGCTGATCGGCAGGTATGTTCGCGAAATTTTCAGCTGCATCAAAAGCAATGCTACCGGTAACCACGGTGTGCTCATGGGGTACTAGTGACTTTTGTGGCACTACGTTCTCTGGCACCACTGATGCGGGTGATTTTGTTACAGAGTCGTACACAATCGTTTCAGTTGACTTTGTTTCACTTAAAAGATCAATTTTGAGTGCCCCGAATTGGTTTGATACGCCAAGTTCCTCCAACTCACCGGTGCTTTGGTTTTCTTGGATGCTTTCCGTAACAGGCAACCGAAGCAGCTCTGTAGAAATAAGTCTTCCCTTTTCCGCTTGCATTGTGGGAACTGTAAGATCCTGCTCTTGCTCAAGAGTATCTTCTTGTCGAATTAGTCCTACAACCGACGTGGAGTCCAAAGCTATTTTAATGAGTTGTTCACTTGGCTGGGCAACACCTTCAAGGAGCTCCTCCTTCTCAAGAGCTTGAGTTTCTCTTACATTGATCTCGAAGAAACTATTCATTGAAGATTGACCCGTTGCCTGGGTGGGTAAAATGTTCTTTAAGTCCGCAACCTGTTCAATAATATTTGTTTGCTCTGACAGAGGGATTTTTTGGGTTAAATCATTCAGGTCGGGCTTAACGTGAACTTGCTGAGGAGTATCTTGGTCCTTTAAGTCGGTCGTGTGTTCACTTACAATAGCTGTAGTTGTCTTTACCGATGTATTGCTTTCTATTATTTCTACACTGGTAAGAGATGACTTGTCAACCGTTGGTGTTTTGTAGTCGTTTAACACATCCAGTGGGAGAATTTCCTCAACGTTGGGTAAAGTGATTTCCCCAATATTGAAATGTGCATGCTGCTTAGGCTCCTTCTCTTCGTCTAGTCTTTCCAATGCCTCCATGTGCTGAGGTCTCATGGTGTTGGCTACTTGTAGGGCTGCTGAAGTTCCAATAGCAGCGCTTATCAAAGTGTGGGGCTCTTCAGTTGACAGAATCGTTTCTCCCTCTAAGGTTACACATGAGCTGGTTTCAAGGGGTTGCAACAAACCGAAGTGGCTTTCTATTGTTTGGGACTCAGGCTTTACTTCCTCCTCTCGTGGGATAGTGCCTTCCAACGCTGCCTGCTCTCTAACATCTGTTCCAAATTGACGCGGTATGCTAATATCTGCAATTACTAAGTTCGGTTTGCTGTCTTCCGGATTATCCATAGTCGATTCCATCGCAATTATTTCTAGGCCCTCGGCATGCTTGAATGGTTCGGTCACAGCTTGGGCTTTGGAAAGCTTCTGATTTAAAATAATATTATCGAGCTCTGTACTAGTCTCGGTTATCTGTACATTGGTAACCTCCAAAGATTGTTGGTCCTCTTCTAATATAATATTACCAGTTTTAAGTTCAGGCTGTTGCGGATGTTCCATACGGCTAGTACTCTCTAACAGTTCAGGCTTACTGACAACTCCAATCGGCATCACCTCGAAGACTGGCTTCGCGGATTCAGATTTTGTTTCGTCAGCTATAATATCAGAAGATGTCACGCCTGGTTGAACCTCAAACACGCTTGTTACCCTAAGTTCAGTAGGAATAATCTTTTCTGTAGCTAACTGCGATTTCAGTTCTACATCGCAGGACAGAATCTCCTCCTTTTCTACAGTTGTGTCCTGCTTGACCTGCAAAGCAGCTTGCTCGACGAAATCTAGTTTGGCATCGACCATTTTTGGAACCTCAGAAAATAGTTCGCCTTCTGTGTCAATCACGGTTGGGGCCTGAACTTCGGCAACGATTTCACCTTCAGAGATAATTAATTTTCCTTTCTCAGTTTTGTGATCTTCATCTGGAACCAATCCAAGTGCATCGAAAAGGGACTCTTCCTTACTTTCTGCTGTTCCATAAGCTTTGGTCAAGGTGGCCTTTGCAGGTTTCGTTGATTCCACAATTGGTTCGATAAGCTTGTCTGCCATTTCTGCCACGTTAGTCTCCTGAGTTTCGCCAATGGTCAATGGCATCGTTTGCCCCGGCGTTCCCTCAGCAATTTTCGCAATATCTTGCACTGGCAATTCCATTGTGGTCTGTTCACTTGAAACTGTTTCCTGAGTAACAAAATGATAATTTGTTTGCATATCCATACTGGCTTCTTCCGTGTTTGCCTTAAATGTAGGCATCGTTTCATCAATCGGACTCTGAGAATCTGCTGTGATATTGACAAGTCCCTCAGCTAACTCAAACAATTCCAAAGCTTCTACTTGGCCAGTTCGTACTTTGGGTACTTCGGCTTCTGCCAAATTATCAAAAGGTTCAATTTCTTGCACCTGAACTGGAACTTCCTCGGTTTTAATGGTGTAGTCTGCCAAACGCTTAGTCGGTTGACTTTCCAATGGTAGTTGGTCTAGACTTTCAAAAACTTCTAGTGCCCCTTCACTAACTGCCTTGTGTTCGACTACTGATGTCGTATATGACTCCGGACGTCCCTTGGCAGCTGGTGTCAGTTGTCCCAAAGAGTCCTCCGGTTGGCACTCGCTAATGCCAAGGCTTATGTTGGGGGTTACTTGTGGAGCGATATTTTCTTCAATTGGCTTTACCTGAGTAACGTCCTTTCCTACTGTTTCGGTGCTCATTATTTCGGTAACAATAACCTCTTCTTGACTCAGCAGTTTCTGCTGAACTGTTTCTTCAATTGTTGTAATGGGTGTTAGTTGTTCAATACTCTCCAGGGTCGGTTGCTGTTCAGCGGTTAACTCATGTGACAATAGTATGTCACCATGAGCCTGTTGAGTTACGGTTTTTGTTGGGCTTAGATCTTCGATAGCTTCTTCCACACTTGGAGCTTCAACCAGCAAAGGACGCGACTCCTTCATTTTACGTTGGGCCCTTACGGATTTGGGTATTTTTGAAGGCAAAAGTTCCTTTGAAAACTCATCCGTCTTAGTTTCGGCCACATTTACTGCATGCTTTTGCCTAACTTCAACAGTTTCGCTAAGCTTACTTTCTTCGGGCTTGGGGAATTCCTTATGTACGCCAACCTCGTCGAGTGTTAAACTCTCCTCTCTGATGGCCAATACCTTCTGGGGCAATATGTCATCCTGTACTTGAGCTGGAATCGGTTTCGGAGTAGAAAGTTCTGTGGTGACTGCAGCTGCAACGAATTCGAGCGTGTCTTTTGGTAGATTTTGCATGGGTAGTGTCTCGAATGTGGGCAGAAGCTCTTCAATGTTCTCAAGAGTTTCTGCCTGCGGTGATCCCGAGCTTGTTTCATGAGCCAGTGTCTCGATTTGTTCGTATTCTTCTTGTTGTTGTTGTTCAATGTGTTTTTTATGCTTTTTGGTTTGCGTTTTCTTCAGAACAACTTGTTCAGCCTTAACTTGTGTCTGCACTTGTTCTGATTGTTCTTGTATTTGCACATGTTCTTGTTGTTGCTGTATGAATTGTTTTTCCACTTTAGTGGTTGCTGTTTCTGTGAATGTAATGTAATTAAACAATGACAATGTCGACCTCTCTTTGTGTTTATGTTAAAAACAATTTACTAACAATGATATTAAGAGCTGAAAGCCGTGCAAGTATCATTCATTTAGAGTCTGCGGTAAAATATATATACAGCGAGCGATAAAGCAAAATGAGTTGCACAGTAAACGAAAGGATGGATAACTCTTCGCTCTATAAGTGGTATGCAAACAGACAGAAATTGGAGATAGATCTTACCTCATTGGTCATCGGGAAGTCGTCCAGTTTGACGAGCAAGGGAATAAAGCTCTTCTACTCTTGAAAGTGAATTTATATTGCAAAAGCATTAGAGTGTGCAAAAGTAAATATAAGTTAAAGCTTATATGGTATATAGTAGCAAGATATTGAACTTATAATCAGGTGAATATAGCTTTTAGTGGTGGTGATTAGCGGTTAATGGGTAATTTTAATATTCGGTGGCGTCTTTTTAGAATATACACATGATTTGTTTGGTTTGACTTAACAAGATTTAATTGTTATATTTGTAAAGACAATATTTATTATTGTTTTTGCAGTATATTCTTTTTTAATAATATTAATTAGACTGTAGTTGAGTAGTTCGTGGGATGGTACATCGTTACTGGTGGGATTTATTTAACTGGTGGTTTGTATTTTTTTACAGGACATCTGTGTTTATGTTCAAACCTTCTTGGACAATTATCGTTCGTTCCTCGACAAATGTTTCCTCTGTCGAATATGGTATGGGATTTTATTGGCCGTGGTTTGGGAGTGGCACGAAAAGCGTAGGTAAGTTTTACAAAGCAGATTTACATATTAAAAAAAAGAAATAAATAAAAACCTCTTTCAGTATGCAAATTACAGAAGATTCGTTGTAAAAATAAAGGTAAGCTAAACTTTAAATAAAACTCCTCTTCTTGTGATCACACTCACCTATTTTCACATGTGTGATGGCCTCGTGACTTTCAATTATTTGCGATGTCTCTACTATTCTCTAGATTTCCGTGAATCAAAGTAGATAAAAATGTTTGATACGTGTAAATATTGATCTGCCCGTTATTATCTATTTTTTTCAATCTTATTAAACTTTAGTTGAAATGCAAAAAGTAACCCCAATTAAGGAAATACAAATTAAATTTCGAATATATGTTTTTTAGCATTTCAACTGTCTGGACAACAGAAATTCAAAAAACGAACAAAACACATTGAACAGAATTCAAACCTCCTTTCCACATATCTTCCAGTCCTGTGATATGAAGTCCTCCCTAACAAACTTTCGAATGACGATTTCAATGGTTATTTCGTACGTCTGAATCATACGGATGAAAGCCTTGAAGCCGACAGTAGCTGCCAGGATGGTCTCGTCCTCATTCGAAGACTCGCTCAGTATTTGAGAGATCAGCTCTTCGTGGCCCTCTCGCTCTACGAGTTGCACCAGAGCTGATTGGGACTCGGGTTTCTTCAGGGATATGAAAATGTTTTGCTCATACATATACGTAATCTCGTAATGTTCACAGCCGTAGCGCAAAAGCAGTCCAATCGTGGCCAAATCTCTTAGGGCTGACTCTCCGATTTGTCCAAAGGACTCTGCCTCAATGGACTCGAGCAACCATTGGACTTCCTCGTGATGCGATAAGACTTGAATATCCTCAATGGTTATGATCTTCTGGCTGATTTTCGTGCGTATAAGCTCCACAGTTTTGGTTATCTCTATTCTCTTGCTAGATGTATAGGTTTCTTTCTGTTCTACTTCAACCTTAACTTCTTCTTTCTCATCTTGTTGTTCCACTTTTTCTTCGATCTCTTCCACCTCTTCGATTTCTTCAATCTCTTCGACCTCTTCGATTATCTGACTGCTGCGCTTTTCGGCATCGGCAATTTTTCGATCTTTTACATCTAAAACCTCGGAGACTTCGCTCTTTTCCACCAGAATGGATACGGGTTGCCTCACTTTAATCACATTCATGGTGGTTTCTGTCGTGCTGGCTGGAATAATTCGAATTTCTGTCTTTTGCACGGTCTGCGATTCCGAGGCCCCCGATCTCTTCATCACGGTTTTCTTTCCAGCCTTCTTTTTGAAGGTACTCTTGGCCGTGGTTTTCTCCTCGACTATGGTGCTCGTGGATGATATGTCAAACTTGGCCCGCGTCATGGTCATGCCAATCTCATTGATGAGCTTGCAGTTATAGTAGCCGCAGTCCTCATTTGTTATTTTCATAATTTCTAGAGTAGCCTCCTGTTCCTGCACTACCATGCGATACTTTTCAGATGCCCTAAGCTGAACGTTGTTGAAATACCATTGAATATCTAAAGTCATAGGGTTAGAAACCAAGCTACATCAGACCCCGAAACTATAACTCTTCGACATATAGTACAATACCTGGTATGGGGTTGCCTGCAAACTGTATCAAGAACTTGGCTGTTTCGCCTATGGCAGCACGGCAGTCACGCATTTCGTTTAGTAGTGATGGCGAGCATTTAGCAGCTATAAGCACAAAGATGGCATAATATCTATGGATTAGTGACTACCCGGATAATCTAAAAGCGGGAGGGATTGGTGCGTGTTTACATTGTGTACTTACACAGCTTGGCTAACAACAAATTGGTTTTCGTGTGGCTTAAAGTGCATAAATTGTTTGTCTGTTTGTTTTTTAAAAATAGAGCTATGATTACGTGAGGAGTAACACTTAAACGAGTTTTAGATACATGCATAATCGGATTATTGGACACGTTGTGAAGTGTTGAGCAAGCAGCGTTCTGGGAATGTTATAACATTTCTTTGGATTGAATTGAACACTTTTCATAAAATAATGGGTTAGTTTAAATTTAGAATAATTGCGAATTCAATGAACCAATTACTTGCAGATGATATACTTGTATTGTCACTGTCAAAGATACAGTTGATATACGAACGATAGATAATTTGTAATTTACACTAAAAGTTCTATATTGGCGTTTACTTTTGGATAATTTTATTCATAATAGGTAGGGTGGGTTGGGGAAGGGGTCAAGCCTTAGAGCTGTAGGGGACCGAGACAATCACAAAGCTACAATTTCTTGGGGAAGGGCACTTCACAGGTTCACATATTTGTTGGTTTTGTACGATACATTGTATTATACATAGACAAATACAAAATAGAGACAGAAAATAGAATAAGACAGGAGACAGAGGACAGACTTTGTGAATATTTGTAGTTTTGTGGTTTAAGACGAAGGCACAGAAGACATTTGTGTGTTGGTAACACGAAATTAAAACACATATACACATAACAGTGGTAACAGAGCTGGTATTAATCGAGAATACATACCTTTGAGAGCCACCTGCATTTCCTCCATCTGAGATACCCATTCCGGCTTGCGGTAGTCCTTCGATCCAACGATGCCTTTTCGTATAGATGTGAACATAGTGAAAGTAATAAATAACAAACCATTATTATATCTGCTTGAAAAAATTACACAAAGAGCTGGAAAAGTTTTCACATTATCCTTAAACTAAAAAGTGTTTCCTTTTTGTAATTTTTTGTGTACAGTTCTGCAAGTGTTCAACATTTAAGTGTGAGGGGAAATTTGGGTTGAAAATTGGGTTGGGGAGGGATTTTATAAAATTCAGCTCCAGAAACCTGAAAAAAATGTTTACTAACAAATCCAAATGTTGATTCATTATAGAGTGAACTAAATGCGGAATAAACTTTAATAGTACCTTCGACCGCAAAGAGTGCCGTGGTCACTGCCACGCCCAGTGGATTGTATGCCTCGAAACTAATTGTACCCAAATCATCGGGATAGACGTGGTTGATAACCAACACTGAGGTGCCGTCTTCGAAATTTTCGATCTGATATTCCTCGGAGGCGAATATCTGCTCGTCGTCACGCAGCCATTTGACCTTCGGTTTTGGCTTACCAATGACCTTAACCTCCAGCTTCGCTTGCTCGCCCTCTTTGGGCTCGATTTTCTCTGGTAGTTTTTTAATTATTTTCGGAGCTTGTTCGTCGATTGAGAGGGTCTAGAATGGTTTGCGTTATAAAATTTTATAACATTAGCTTGGTATCCTTTGTTTGAAATCTCAAGTACAAGAATTACGCTTACTCTATCAAGTAGATCCTCCTCAGATCCTGTGAGTCCAGTGATTTCAGAATCGGGGATATATTCAAATGCTAAAAAAATACACATTCGAAAGCGATATCAATATAAGCGTGTCTCCACACGGATTTTCGTTGCAACGAACTCAAAAAAAAAACGGAAAATTATTTACAAAGAAAGGTGTCAGGAGTGACCGGAAAATAGGAGAAAAGGATTTTATGGACTTGATAGACAGTAAGACTTTCAAAACAGTGGAATCACATGCAGGCTCACCAAGCCAGTTAGTAGAAAAGGGGATTTAAAGAACTCAGTTGTCAGGGAATAGTGTAGTTATTGGAAAACCTTTCTAGGTGTGGGATGCATGTAGTGTGTAGAGTGGCACTACTTCCAGCTGGTTAACTAGTTAACTACCGATAGATACCATCACAAGTACCTTGAATTTTAACGTTTGTCTTGCTCGAGCTCTTCCCAATCTTGTTTGTGGCCACGCACTCGTATTGGCCCTCGTTTTCGGGGAAAACTTCCGTAATCTGCAGCTGGCAATTGCCTTGCAAGTCTTGCGATATCGTAGTTTCCTTATTTTCAGTGATCTTCTCCGCATTGTGGTACCACTCCACTTTGGGCGTGGGTTTGCCCGTAACTTGGCAGGTCAGCAGCAATGCCTCGCCATCCATTACCTCTACGGGTTGAATAAGTTCCTCAACAAAACGTGGCGACTCGAATTCCACTGCCTCTTCTTGGGGCAGAGACTCAATCAGACTGACTGTGGCTGTTGACGTCACCGAACCACCCACATTCTCCGCCCGGCAAGTAAAGGGTCCGACGAATTGCTTCTGGAAGTCCTCGATTAGCAACGTTGACTTGTTGGCCTGGCTAACGATGCGCACTTCGTTGGAGCTTTTGATGACTTCATTGTGAACAAACCACTGGAAGGACGATAATGGCTCAGAGTCCACAACCGCCTCAATAATGGCAACTTCGTGTTCGCCAAAGTATTTCGGCTCAAGGGGCTGAATAAATCTTGGTGGCCTTATTTGCTCATCGGGCTTCTGGTCTGAAACCACCACTGATCCAGATGACTTGGCCTCGCCTACCTTGTTCTTGGCCCAGACCTCGTATTTGCCAGTGCGCTTGCGCGTCATATTGATAACCTTAATAGTGGTTGTGGTTTCGGTGGTTTCTATGATGATCTCCTCATTCTCAATCACCTCCCGACCATTGCGCATCCATTTAATCTCTGGCCTGGGCAGACCATCGTACTTGGCCTCAAAGAACAGAGTACCTCCAGTGGGTACAACTACGGCGTTTAATGGAGTTACGGTGGGTGCCTTGAGTATCTCCCGGGGTACTTCATCAACCCGACTGATGATATTGGCATTGCCAATGGCACGTCCAAACTGATTCTGTGCCTGCACAGAGTAAATAACAGCTTCATTGGGAGTGGGGTTGATAACCTCCAGGGCCACATCGCCGGTTTTCTCATCATAAAACACTTGAACGGTTTCGCTGGGAATAACCTCCTCTATACCTCTGAACCATTTGACTTTGGGATTTGGTTTTCCCGTCACTTGACAGGTAACCGTAACTTTAAGTTGCTCGGGCTGCTTCTCCTCAGTAAACTCAATCTTAAGTGGCTTGGTAAACTGTGGGGCAACTCCTTGTTCTTTTTCTGTATTCAATGTGAATAAGTAGTATTTAAATATTGTGCGTGTTTTTGGTGTAATGTTAGGAAATTATATACATGTAGGTTTCGGATCAAGGTAATATAAATTTAAAGGATTGAACTTTAAAAAATCTTCAAAATAGCTCACAAGAAATTCGTGAGTATTACATGGGATTGGAACTATTGGAATTTGAAGGGGACACTTACCTAATATAATGTTGGTACGACTCGTTGCCACTCCAGCCTCGTTCTTGGCCTCACATGTATAAACGCCAACGTCGCTGGGTGTGACCTTGGCAATCTTTAACTTTGCCACCTGCTCGACGACTGTGATCTCGTACTTCTCCGAAGCAAAGAGCAGGATATCATTAAAGTACCAGTTGATCTCGGGGAATGGTACGCCCTCCACCTTGCACTCAAGCACCGTGGGCTCCTCGGGAACGCATTGACGAGGACGCAGTTTCTCGGTGATCCTCGGGGGCTTGATCTCCTTCTTCTTCTTCTTGACCAGCTTGCGCTCCTGACCGATTACCTCTGAGGTGGTCGTCTCCTGTTGATTTTGCGTAAGCTGCTGGTCCTCGATAAGCTCCTCGTCGGCTACCTTGTCAATGCCCTCTTGGATTCGCTTCTGCGTGATCAGTTCCAGCTCGGGCAGCGGTTGGCTGTCATCCAGCACCACGCGACGTTTCTCCTTCTTAATGATGTTCGAGGTGACCTTCATTTCAAGATCACGTCGGACGTCTTCAACATCCAGCTCGATGAGCTGTTCAGTCGTGATGAATTGAGGTCTTGTGTCTTCAGTCTTCTTTAGTAGGGTTATAGTCTTTTGTGAGATCTCATGGGTTATTTCGTCCACTTTCTCGATTTCAGCAATAGCGGCTTCCAGTAGCTGAGGCTGACCCTCGATGGAGGCCTCCTTAAGTCGTTTCGTGCGCTTCTTGTGCGCCTTCTGCTTCGTCTCAGGCGTCTCTTCTGTGGGCACGACTTCTTCTTCAGGCAATACGTCTTCCGAAACTGCCACAACCTTAACATCGTCCACTGGCAACTCTTCCACTTGATCCTCCTCAGCAATGGGTTCGTCGAAGGGTTCAGCCACTTCTTCGGACACCTCGTCCACTGAAGGTGTGGCCTTCTTCAACTTGGGCTTCTTCTTCTTCTCCTTCTTGACCTTAGGCTCCTTAGGCTGAATATCCTCGGGCAGCTTAAGAGGTTCAAGCTCGAGCTCCTCCTCTTCGCTTTCTGGTTTTTCTTCGGGCACAAGCTGTGGACCGGGTATGGATTTTTCTGGCTTTTGCGGCACTTCCACTGGCTTCGACGGAATGGGCTTGAGCGTAACTTCTTCTGGCTGTTCTTCCGGCAAAGGACGGCGTTTACCTGTGGGCATTTTCTTTTCCTCCAAGACTTCCTCGACCGGCTTCTTCTTTTCTCCTCGCTTCCATGGTACCTGCGGCTTCTCCTCCTCAGGCTTCGGCTCCCTCTCTAGGTCAATGTGCTCGGCCTCTTCCAGTTGGGTTGGCTCTGCATCGGAAATTTCTGGAAGGTCCTCGTGTTTTGGCTTCTTCACCTTCTTTGTCTTACGCTTCTCCTCCTGAATGATTTCTTCCTCCTTTCGTTCGACATGCTGCAAGTCAACTTCCTCCAGCTTGACTTCTTCGGGCTTGATGGATTTGCGTTGAGTTGGTTTCAAGCGCACTTCTTCGATGACCGCTTCTTGGGGCAGCTCCTTCTTTGGCCGAGTGACCCGCTTAAGGGCAACCTCTTCAACCTTCTCGACGATTTCTTCTCTTTTCGGCTTCGGCTTTGGTGCCAATTTTTGTTCGGGGGTAACTTCCTCAACAGGTTGTTCCTCTGAAATACTTTCAACAGGCTCTACCTCTTCCGGCTGAGTTTCCTGTTCCTCAAGCTCTTCGATTTCCTCAACCGGTTCTTCCGTTGATTCTTCGGTGCCACTCTTTGTCTTGGGCTTCTTCTTTTTAACGCGCTTCTTCGTCACATCCACTATTTGGTCCTCAGTGGTGATTACGAACTCCTTTACCTCGAATTCCGTTTCAGGTGTTTCGGGTTGTGTGGCTTCCGAGACTACTGCAGTCTTTTTCACAGGCTTCAGCGAGACTTCCTCAATTTGTTCTTTCTCGGGCAAGGGCCGTTGTTTTCTTGGAGCAGGCTTTAGTGAAACCTTTTCAACTTGCTCTTGGGCAACGGGAACAGGTTTGGGTTTTTTGACTTCCTCAGAGATGGTTTCTTCAACCTCTTCAACTACGTCCTCTTGTGGCTCTTCGGTTTCTTCTGGAAGCTCTTCCGCCTCCTCTTCAGTGACCTTTTTCTTGGGCTTCTTGACCTTTTTCACCTTGCGTTGTTGCTCTACAATCTCTTCCTGCTCTTCGATTACTTCTTCTTCTAGAGGAGCTTCCTCTTCTGGTTGATCCTCTTCCACTTCAATCTTTTCTACAGTCTTCTTGGGCCTCTTTGTCTTCTTAACCACTTTCTTCTCTTCCAAGATTTCTTCTTGTTCTACGATCTCTTCTTGCTCGTCGATGACCTCTTCTTCTGGAATTTCCTCTACAAGCTGTTCTTCAACATCAGTCTTTTCAACGGGTTGCTTTGGTTTCTTTACTTTTTTGACCTTCTTCTTCTCTTCAACAACCTCTTCCTCTACGATCTCTTCCTGTACGACTTCCTCTTCGGGTTGCTCTTCTGGAGCCTCAGTCTCTTCGACAGTAGTCTTCGCCTTCTTGACCTTCTTGACCTTCCGTTTTTCCTCCACGACAACATCTTCTTGTTCTTGAACAATCTCTTCTTGCTCTTCGATAATTTCTTCCACGGGTTGTTCTTCCTCGGCCACTTCTGGCTTAGGCTTCTTTGTTTTCTTGACCTTGTGTTTTTCTTCAGTAATTTCAGCGAGCTCTTCAATAACTATTTCTTCAGTTTCTTTCTCTTCTGGAATAATTTCTTCATCCGGCTGCTCTTCAAACACCTCTTCTGGAGCTTCTTTCGTGGGCTTCGGCTTCTTCGTTTTCTTGACCCGACGCTTTTCTTCAACAATGACTTGCTCTTCCTCAACCACTGCCTGTATTTGGGCATCGACCTCATCGGGATGCACTTCTTCAACGGGCTCTGGCTTGGGAACTTTCTTCTTGCCACGCTGCCACAAGACAGGCTCTGGCTTTTCTTCCACCTTTTTCTCGTCGGGCAGAACATCGACTGCCTCTTCGTAGGTCTTGCCCTCATCAACCTTCTGTTCCACAACTTCTTGTGGCTCCGGCTTCTTCTTCTTGCCGCGTTCCCACAGCACAGGTTGCGCTTCAGGTTGAACAGGCTTAATAACCTCCTCTTCCAAAGTGTCGACTGCAACCTCCAGGGTTTTGGGTGCTTCCTCGACAACCCGCTGTTCTGGCTTCACCTTCTTACCACGCTCCCACAAAACAGGCTGCGGTTGAGGTTCAGTGGGTTTAGGCACTTCCTCTTCCAGCGTGTCGACTGCAACCTCGAGGGTCTTTGGAATCTCTGGTGCTTGCTCTTCGGGTTTCTGGGGCTTCTTCTTGCCGCGTTCCCACAAGACAGGCTGCGGTTCCTCCTGCACTTGAGGTGTAGGTTCTTCGGGTAGCTCATCAGTGGCTTCTTCATAAGCTTTTTGCGTTGGCTGCTCCACCGCTTGTTCAACAGGCCTGGTGCTTCTAAACGGCTTCAATTGGATCTCTTCGGTCTTTTGTGCTTCCTTAGGACGTGGTCGCGGCGTTGGTTTCAACGTTACTTGCTCCATCTTCTTTTCCGGCTCCCTTGGTGGAATCACTCGGCGTACAGCCGTCTTCTTTGTTTCCTCAACGATTTGCTGTTCGACCACTTGCGAAGTTTGCACAACTTCCTGGGATGTGATGGTTTCCTGCTCAGCAACCTTTTTCTTGCCGCGTTCCCACAGGACTGGCACCTGTTCTGGTTGCTGGACAGGAGTGGGTTCCACCAACTCGTCGTGGGCCTCTTCGTAGGTCTTCTCCTGGGGCTGCGGTTTTTTCTTGCCCCGCTCCCACATAACTGGCACTGGTTGAGGCTGTTGAACTGGAGTCGGTTCAACCAGCTCGTCATGCATTTCCTCGTACGTCCTTGGCTTCTCCACGTATTCCTCTTGAACTGGCGCCGTCTGAGGTTGCACATATTGAGGTTGTTGCGGCTTCGGCTTACCACGATCCCACATGACAGGCTGTTGCTGCAGCAACTGCTGCTCTTGCGTATCCTGACGTTCCTGCAGATGAAGCAAAGAGGAATCTTCCACCTGGATAAACTTTTGAGCCTCTCGTGGCTGACGCCAGCTAAAGGCCTCTTGCTGGGTGCGCTGGTTCACAATCTTTTGGTGCTCGTACTGCTCCAGACTCATCATCTGCGAGTCCTCCACATGCACAAATTGCTGGCGCTGAGCCTCCTCGATGAGGCTCTGCTGTTGGACAATCTTTTGCCTATCGGTGGACTGGGAGATGATCGTATCTTCAACTGAAGTCAGAGGTTGCAGTTGTGGGCGCTGTTGCTGTTGACGCCAATTAATAGCCTGCTGTTCGCGTATCAATCTCTGAGCTTCCAGTTTCTCGCGCTCCGAAACATGCATAATGTTCACATCCTCGGTGGTGATGAACTGCTGCTTGTAGATGTTGGACTGATCTTCGTATTGCTGCAGCTCATCACGACGCATCACCTTTGAGATCGAACCCTTGGAGCTCTCGTCAATCAGAACGACAGTCTCCTCGGACGTGCCCGTTTGGTACTCCTCAGTTATGGCCTGCTGAGCCTGCAGGTGTCGCAGCTCAACTTCCTCGATCTTGAACTTGTCGATTTGCTTGGTCACCTTCTGGACACTCTTAAGCTGCTGACGCATCTCCTTCCAGGGAATGAGATCCTTGGCGTTTTGCTGCTGGGTAATAAGCTTGTCGATCTGATCGGTCATTTCCATAATTTCAACACTCTCCATGCTCTTCAGTCGCTGGATTTCCTTGGTGCGCTGCACCTGTTCCACTTGAGCCTGCTGTGGTAGATCTGTGGCTTCTGTTTCAATTTGCCCCTCAAGGGGTCGCAGGTAGACCTCATCCAAATCGAATTTATTAAGCTGCTCCTGGACACTCTCCACTGCCTTGAGCTTCTCCCGCATGGTGATCCAAGGAACCGCTTCCTTTTCAGTCTTGCCAGCAATAATCTGTTCGAGCGTAGCGCCCAGACTCATGATGCCCTGATCGCGTTCACTCTTTATGGACTTCAGCACAACTGTAGCTGCCTCCAACTTGGGTGTGGGCTTCTTCTTTTCAATTGGAGTTGCCTTCAAGCTAATGGTCTCCTCGGTCCACGATTTGACCGGCTCAGGCTTAAAGCCCGGCAGAAAGACTCCCTTGTCCAGGGATCGTCCACGAGTGGGACGTGATGACTTGCGCCACGGAATTACCTTGGTTGCCGGCTGCAGTGACTTACTGCGCACCTTGGGTTTCTTCTGGCGCGACCTTCCCTGATGCTGACCCTGCCCGTTGACGCCCAGGAATTGACCAAACTGCTGGCCGGGTTGCTGGCCAGGTTGGAAAGCGTGGGGCGACTCGGGGGCACTGTCCTCCCGACCAGAGGAAGAGGACTCATCCTCGGCGGAATCAATCGTTCGCAATTGAAAGGCCGAGATGCGTCGTTCTAGAAGGGATCAAGGGGATATTCCATTTAGTATACCCATCGGAATACGTAAAACAGTTAGCAAAGGACATCCAGAGTTCGATTGGGGCAAGGAAATCTATTAAATATCAAACGCTTACCTTTAACTATAAGTTAAAGCTTAAATTTAAAATTGTACTCAATTAAATGATAGATGTTAATTATTAGCTAAAACATTTAATGCAGTTAATATGGGAAAAATATCTTAAAACAATTCATTTAAATTTTAAATTTAGCTGGATTAGTTGTAACTATAGAATTTCCGTAGCGAAAAGACTAGTTTTAAATGAATAGCCCAATTTACGTTCTCCCTATCAGAAATATTAATAAAATAACAGCCTGATAAATTGATATGTAATTATATACTTATTACAACCACAGGCGCAAAAAAAAAAAACTGTGAGAGGATTATAATTATTACTTTGTATTTGTATGAAGGGCAGTTTTATAGCCAAATTTTATGAAACACAATTTTACAAAATTAGTCATTCTTAGTCCTTGTTGTCGCATACATAAATAACAATCTTTAATATGAACTCTCTGAGTCGTGAAATAATAAAATTCTTTATTTAAATTTAGTTGTTCAATGAAAAGAAAAAATAACTTTTTTAATAGTTTTAAGTGTTTATAAAAATAAGTTGCAACTATCCCCTTAACAAGAAGTGTTTTCAAAGTTTTTCGATACTTCCTTCCAGTTGCTTTAACTTATCTATCAACTTAGGTTAAGTCATCAAGATTTTAAGTGGGCTCCCAATTCTACCACTTACCTGTTTTTCTCCATGCTACATTTAATGGTTCGCCTGAGCGGCACTTAAAAATAAATCATAATTCCTTGGCATATGCGAACAATGAACTTGAATATTTAAAATTAGGATGCCAAATATCAGAGCAGAACTTGGGCAATAAATAAGGCAGCTCGGACTCATCGAGGAAACCCAAAACCCTCCACTCTAGATCTCAAATGTGGGTGCGTGTGTGGAGCACAAATCAAATTTGAAAAGCTGACAGCTCATCTGCGCTGACCGTGAATGAAGCATAAATGGGATTGGGCCCTAGGTCACTACATATTTTTGATAATTGGCATTGATAAAAATAGGTGCGAATAGTCAGTGCCGTAGTTTATCTGAGTTGCGTGATTCACTAATCGCTTGTGACGAATCCAATTGGGGATGATTAGAACTGCATTAGCCTGCACCTAAATCTGGCACATTGTCATGACAGCAATTGGGCAAGTCTTAACACATGGTGACATTCGTTTGACTTGAACTCATCGTCATCGTGGTTATTGAATGCGGCTGAGGGGGAGGGGGGATGTTGGCCAGGCAAGTGTACAATTGAGAGCGAACAATTCAAATGGCTGTGTATACATTAAGGCCAAAAATAGATATCTGATTAGTGGCGGCTACGTCACCAGGTGGGGCTGCGGAACAACAACAGCGGCAGCAGAAGAGGCAGCAGCAATTCGGCAGAGCTCCTACAGATTTATGGGCGGGGTGTGTCTGCTCCGATATTTTCGGGGCCCATATAGCCCCCATCGCCAGAGCGCAGTGCGGCGCACTCCAACGATCTCAGTCGGATGTAGACAACAATCGGCCGCAGAACAGAACAAATCAGAAGGTAGACGGATCTCGGATGGGGCAAGATGTACCGCTTGCATCGGCATCGACCTACCTGTGTGGTTCAGTTCCTGATTTTGGATGACGGGAAGCAAGCAACAGCGGTGCAATGGCAGCGATAGCGCGGCAAAGTGGCAAGGTGTGGCATTCGGCAGTTATCAAAAACAAGTTTCCAGTTATTATGCATTTTGCTTGGATTTATTTATAGACGCGGTATTGGTTTTAAGTATTAAATACATGAGAGATACAATTAAACAACAAAAGAGAGTACGCGAGTGTTGGCATATTTAAATGGAAACAAATCAATTAGAGTTCAAAGTCATCGTAAAGTGATCGAACATAAAAAACATATCGAGTAAAGTAAACATAAACATGAATCAAAGGACTGGCAGATAATCGGAATTCTAGATACAGTAGATAAGACTTAAAACGAAGGTCGCATGAGTTTTTATGATTAATTTTTTAGTAAAGCTTCTCGCCACAAAAGGAAAACATGTAACAAAAAGTAGTCAAAATATTGGCGGCACAAGCGGCAAATACTATCGAGATTCGTTTGGTTTTTGTACACGAAATGGATGATTGTTGGTGAACGAGAGAGTGTGTGACAAACAAAATGGTAACGAAACGAATTAGTAAAAAGCGGTAATAAAAAATGAATAATAAAATCTCATGCAACATCACTACAAAATAAATAAAGTTTAATTAAATTAAATAAACAATATAAGTTCATCGTCATTTTAGCGTCGCTATTATCAACATCATCGATGGACTGAAGGACTGGAGCGTACGACATTCGGTTCGGAGTTGTTTGGTAAAAGTCAGAGCATGAAGTAGAGTATCTTAAAGCTTCCTATCGAACCCTTTCTAATATGCATTTTTCTTTTAGACTGGGACTACCAAAACTAAACCATCGCTTGGAGACAACAATCTGTTTCGGCCTGGCAACTAAATATAAAACTAAGTGCAGCCATGAATCACAGATGCCTAAGACTCGATGACTGAACAGCCGTAACTGATTAATATAATTAAATTTGTTTCTGCACCATAAACAGAATCATCAATTCATGTTCCTCTCTAATGACCAAGTGACCAGGTGTATGAGTCGCCGGACTAACATCGGTATAAATCTCATCTCTGCATGATCCACCTTATAGACAGCAGCAACAACAACAGGTAATTTATCATTCTATTTTTCGCTAGCACTAAGAAAGCAAATATATTTTTTTGTCGGTTTCGGTGTTTTTGTTTTATTGAAAGAAAATTGAAATAAATTTCAAGATTTACTTGAGAAAATACATAAATGTTTTTCATTGTAGCTGAAAGCCAGAAATCCAGACAGCACCGCCTGACTAAAAATAGCGGAACGGATTTTTTAACGCTAATCTATTGGAAATTAGTTCTCGAAAGCCAAACATTCTCCAAAAAAGAAATTGAAAATAGAACTGCCGCTGGGCGTACATATGTCTCTATATGTCTGAGTATTATGGCAGTTGAAGGCCCACAGCTGAACGGCTTTCGATATTTTCAGGTTTTTTTTCTCAGTTTGTGCTAGTTTTTGCGCACGTTCAAAGGGGGGAAATGGAAAATGGGAAATGGGCAAATGTGTATCTGGCAGATACAAGATACGCGCACCACTGGCATCGCTGCGCTAGATGTGTCATCCATAATATTTTATGCTAATATTCAAATGAAAAATAAAACTTTCACGCTCGAGCGGAGGCGGGACAAATGTGCGTTTTGCACACGGCCCCAAAACTATCCTACTCATGGATGAGGCACATAATATATCTATGGGTATATCTATATGGACGGTACCGAACGGGTACCGAAAAATATTATTATGTATTCTTAAAGTGGACTGCTGCTGCTTGATGGTAAATGCTTATTTATAACTCAACTCAAGGGGCTAGAGATCTATATTCTACATTTGGCTTTGAGTCATTTCCACTTTCACTCAACTCGCTGCTGAATTTGAAAATATTCACCTAATAGCTGGTGTTGCTTCTGCTGTCTTGGCCGTGCCAAAAAAGAAAAATGGTCTATAAATATTTATGTTGCAAAATACTTGTAATTATTTTTATTATTTTTCAATTAAAAATTGATTTAATTTTTTTTTTGTGGTTCTTTTTCGGTTACGTTTACGTGTTAGACATCTTTAAATTAAATATTTTTGCTGCGTTTTTTTTGTTGTTGTTGACATTTTGCAATGGTTAGTAAAAATAACTCGTTCGTTTGATAGTTTAGAAAAAAATCCTTGCTGAAAGTTTCGACAGGTTCGCTTTAAAATATTCTTCACTCAAACTTTTACGACTAGTAGTTGATCATATATATAGGTAGGTTGTGGGGTAGTAGTAACTGTATGTAATACGTCAGTAACTTGGGGATATATAGTAAAAGTTCTTCACGTTCGTTGTTTTGTTTTTGTTTTTTGTTCTTTTTTGTTTTACTTTTTTGAGCATTCTTTGGAGTTGGTTTGTTGATGTTGGTTGGTTTTTTTTTTTGTTTGAACACGGTTCGCTTACGTTTGGTTTTACTTGGTTTCGAACTCTGGTTTCGGGTTTGGCTTAGTTTTAGTTTAATCCTTACTTTTAACAGTCAGTTTGGCTGAGGATTCGACCTGGCCGGTGGACGAGGTTACGCGTACAGTAAAGATGCCCGAATCCTCCTCGTAGGTGGTGCCAATAAGGAGCACAGCGCTGTTGCCATCGAAGATCATCTGAAAGTGTGAAAGGATATTGTTAGATATTGGTCTTCGTTATTTCAAGACCTAGCAAATCTATTTTAAAGTCTAAGGACCTCAGATTAAAATCATAAAGTCAAAACATAGTTTAAAAAAAAAAAAGTATTAACTTGCTGCTCAAGCCTATTTGGAATTTTGTATTTATACCCGTTACTCGTAGAGTAAAAGGGTATATTGTATTCGTGCAAAAGTATGTAACAGCTAGAAGGAAGCGTTTCCGACCCTATAAAGTATATATATTCTTGATCAGGGTCACTAGCCGAGTCGATATAGCCATGTCCGTCTGTCCGTCTGTCTGTCCGTCTGTCCGTCTGTCCGTCTGTCCGTCTGTCTGTCCGTCTGTCTGTCCGTATGAACGCTGAGATCTCGGAAACTATAAAAGCTAGAAGATTGGCATTTTGCATGCAGATTCTAGGAGTTCCTACGCAGCGCAAGTTTGTTTCAAAAAAGGTGCCACGCCCCCTTTAACGCCCACAATCGCATATATACGATTTTAAAAATTTAAATATTTCGGAAAAGTAAAAATGCAGTTTTATTGTGTTTATCAATACCTTTCGAAATGTAGAAGAAATTTTTCAAATCGGACCATTCGTTAAAAAGTTATGCGTGATCAAAGTTTCTATCACCATCTCCCTCGCACTCCCTTTACCTGAGTAACGGGTATCTGATAGTCGGGGCACCCGACTATAGCGTTCTCTCTTGTTTTTTCTCGTTATGGCTAATGTTATTTAGTAATCAAACCCACCTGGAAATCTGGGGTTTCGGGGATCAGCTGACCCTCGCGGAACCACTGAACGCTGGTGGCCTTCACTTTGCCGGTCACCGTCGTCTTGAATTGGGCGGGCATGCCCTCGGTGACAGAGACGTCCTTGAGGGCGGTGATGGTGGGCGGGGCGTCCAGGTTCTCGATGGGACGCACCTTCAGCTGGGCGCTGGTCTGAATGCTGCCCAGTTTGTTCTCGGCCACGCACTTGTAGGTGCCCTCGTCCTCGGGGAAGGCCTCCGAGATGACCAGCTGGTAGTACTCGCCTTGGCGGCTCATCTGGAAGTAGCGCGATGGCTTCACAAAGTTCTCACCTCGCATCCAGCGGGCGGTGGGCGTGGGCTTGCCGTCCACGCGGCAGCGGAAGATGACCTTGCTGCCCTCCTCCACCGACTGGCTCTTCAGCTGCTCCACAATATGTGGGGCCTTCTCGCTGCCCGGAGTAGTTGGTTTCTCCGGCTTGGTGGGGGATTGCACGACGCAATCACCATCGCAACGGGCCTCTCCGGCGGCATTGACGGCCACACACTCATAGCGACCGGAATCCTCGGCGAAAGGTTCGATGATGAGCAGGGTGTGCACACTGTCCTCCTCCAGCATCTTGAACTTGATGCTCGGCTGAATCTTCATGCCGTTCTTAAGCCAGTAAACATCCAGGGGACGAGTGCCAGTTACCTTGGCATCGAAGCGAGCCAGTTGTCCTGTGGCCACCGTGGTGCTCTGGATGGTGGTCACAAAGCTGGGCGGCTGAATGCCACCCTTTCCAGCACGACGACGTTCCTCCACCACCAGATTGGCACTGCATTTGGCGGTTCCTCCACGATTCTCGGCCACGCACGAGAACACAGCCGAGTCCTCGACAAACACCTGGCGGATAATCAGAATCGACTTGCCGCTGAAGGTGTGGATCTGCAAATCGGGCGAGTTCTGAATGGGGAAGCTCTCACGGTACCATTTAACTGCGGGATTTGGCTCGCCATCGAATTCCACTTCGAATTTGGCCTGTTCGTTTTCAAACACGCGGCAGGGCTGGATCTTCTTGGTGAAGACTGGAGCCTTGGCCGGTGCCACAGGTCCTTGGACGACGCGCTCCTGAATGGTGCCCTTGTGCTCCACCTCGGTGGTCTCGGTGGCGGTGATCTTGCGGGTGATCTCTAGGTCACCCTGGATCTCCTTCTGCACCTGCTGCTGCTTGTTCATATGAACCTCGCGACCGTGGACGGAGGATTCTGAGGGATCGGCGGTGCCCTTGGGTGGAGCAGCCACCACTTGAGTGGTGCTTGTTTTCTCTTGACTACAGAGAGAGAAATTATAGTTATTTGGTTTGTCTTTTTGTAATTCATATTTCTCTACTACTCACAGATTTTCTTCATAAGATTGAGCCATTCCCTTAGCCTGGGAGCTGCTGACAACCTTCTCGCCGGGGATGGCGTACTGATGAGTGTCCCTACGCAGGTTGGTCTCCTTCAGCAACTGCTCCGTTTCCAGGGTCTGCAACTTGTTGTAGTAGTCCTCGCTCTTCTTGGCCTTGACATTCTGCTGCCAGTCGGGCGTGGGTGGCTTGTATTGCTTGGGCTTCAGGTGCTCCACGCCCTTCAGGGTGTGGGAGCTCTGCTCGGAAAGGACCTGCTTACGCTCGTCGAACACCTTCTCTAGTTCATTCTCCTGGCGCTCCTTTTGGTAGGCGGCTAGTTCGTAATCATACCAGGCTAAACATTGAATGGATCGGGGGATTATTTAGTGCTGCACTGAATTTTTCTAAACAGCAATTCTTCGTAAAGCCAGTTATAGCTCAACCACATGCATTTTCTAGATGATCTTTGAGCGTTAAAAAAACTAAATTGGCATGCCATAAGATCTTAAGAATTATTCACAAGTAGACGACTTAGTGGAAATTATGATTTAAAGGTTTAGATTTCAATGGGGTTTTCACAGAGGCTCACTAGCTCTTTTCGTTTCCTTTTTTTGGAGGGCATAGCAAATGATTATAGACAAAGAGGGGGTCAATGATCAGCTGGATGATAACCACAGTTTAGAACAGACGGAAAGCTCACACGCAAAACTACGTTATAACCATATTACCCCGGATCCGGCAATACTTAGGGACTCCCTTTCCTTGGATTCCTCTGCGCGATTTCCTCTTCTGAAGTCTGAAGTCGCTGATTGAAGTACAACAAACGGTTCTTTGGGGGATTTTTGGGGGACTTGGGAAGCATATTTTGTTGGGACTTTGGGTAAATTTGTGCTTGTTGTATAAACTGTTTAAACTACTTGGAAAGTGGCTGGAGAGCAATTAACTTGGGTGCTACGGCTACGTAAACTTTTGTGGCATGTTGTATGTAGGAATGTATATATTTACAATGAGTTTCTTTTTGTGATATAGCATGTGGTGTCCATATTTAGTTTGGTCAGCTAAAGTCTACTGCATTTGAAAACTGTTAACATTCTAATAGCTGTTATATAAGTAGATTCTCCAGATGTTCTGGCGTGTGTTGTAAACTAAACTTACGACGTGGCGAGTTCTTCAGCACATTGCGATAATCGTCCGAACGGGCAACAACCTTCAGTTCAGTGGTGGCAATCGATTCGCCCACAGAGTTACGGGCAATCACTTCCACCTTGCCGGTATCATACTGACGTGTCTTGGGGACATCCAGATGGAACATACCATCGTTGGTCAGCTTGTAGCGAGAACCCTGAAAAATTCCATTCCTAAGTTAGGAGATCTTTAAAGAGGAATCTTCGTTGAACTTACATGTACAACAGTGTGTCCATTGATCAGCCACATAACCCTTGGACGTGGGTGTCCGGTGACACGGACACAGAATCTAGCTGAGTCGCCCTCCTCCACAGTCTGGGGCTCCAGTTTGCTCACAAAGACCGGCTTGGTTCTGGGCTTGGCATCGGGATCAACCTCGTCGGGCACCCTGAAAAAGCAATCAATATTCAAATGAAACTAATGATATAATTAATTCTGAATCTGATACTTACACCTGCCATGAGGCTTCCATCTCACGAATGCGGTCAATGCTCTGCATGTGAGCGGGCAGTTGGGAATCGTAGACAATGCCTGGCTTGCCAGAAACCTTAATGAAGGCACGAGTCTCGTCCTTGCCATACAAGTTGGTGGCACGGCACACGTACTCTCCACTGTCTTCGGGATAAACCCAGCCGAAGTTCATGGCCACATAACCGAAATCATAGATGGGCAGGAAGCGGTTCTCTGCAGAGGAAAACAAATTCATAAGAAATTCTTGAACATAAATACATTTTCTTGAAACTTACTGTGCAGCAAGGGCTTGCCATTGAAGAACCACTCGACCTTCATGTTGGGATCTCCTACAGGAGCCAACTGGCATTCGAATTTGGTCACGGCCATCTCGGTTAGGGTGAGTTGCTCCTTGATCTGGGTGACAAAGCGAGGAGGCTGCTTGCGATCGGGATCGAAGAGATCGTCCTCGGTCAAGTGGACCTCGGAGGTGTACTTCTTGATGGTAGCCTCCATTTGGGTCAGTGCGTCCGAGCGCTTCATGCCGCGAGGCACTTGGTTTTGCAGCAAGATGGTGGGAAGTTCTTAAGGAAAAGAATAAATATGTAAGAATGAAGTGAAAGGGATTGGTACCGAAACTTACTCTTGCAGGAAACAGTGGCCTTGGTGCGATCTTCGCCATGGTTGTTAATGGCACGGCACACGTATTCTCCGGAGTCCTCTCCATAGACATACAGAATGTCCAGAGAAACGAAGCCCATGTCGAAGATGTTCCTGTAGCGATGTCCAGAGGGCAGGGGTTTGCCATTGCGGTACCATTCCACGCGCAAGCTGGGATCGGTCTTGGGTTCCACCTGGCACTCAAATCGCACGGCCTCTGCTTCATCAACGGTCACCGAAGTGATTTGCGTGGTGAATTTCGGTGGTCCGAACTCCTCTTCAACGACCTTCGGGGCCTCTGGGATGCGACCGCGCTCCAACTCCTTCAACTTCTCGGAGGTCATTCCCTCGGGCAGTTGTGATTCGTACACAATATTATGCTTGCCCTTGCAGGTGACCTTGGCGGTGGTGGTGGCAGTGCCCCACTTGTTGGTAGCCCGACAAGTGTACTCTCCCGAGTCCCTGGCATAGATGTAGTCAACATCCAAGGCAATAAAACCGAAGTCATTGAGCTGGTGGACCCTTGATCCCGTGGCCATGACATGACCATTATAGAACCACTCAATACGCATGGTGGGATCGCCCACAGGCTCCACACGGCAGTCAAAGTGGACTGGACCACCCTCTGGCACATCCAGATTATCCTTGATGTCCTCGGTGAACTTCGGTGGGTTGGGCTGCTCCTCGTCGATCACAATCTCCTCACGCTTGTGCATGCTCTCCTCCAGCTTCTGTAGGCTTTCGGTGCCAGTGCGGAAGTTGGAGGGCAGCTGGGGCTCCATGACGATGCCCTGGCGACCCTTGACTTGCAACTTGCAAGAGACCGTAGCCTCGCCATGCTTGTTCGTGGCCTTGCAAGTGTACAATCCCGAGTCGCGCTGATAGCAACCGGCGATCTCAAGGATTACGAAACCGAAATCGTTGATGGTCTTGATGCGGGAGCCAGCCCACAAGGCCTTACCATTGTGGAACCAATCCACACGCATCGAAGGATCGTTGATCGGCTGGAGGCGGCACTCGAAGTGCGCCAGCGCGTTCTCCCCGATGACCATGTCGAAGGGTGTGGTGATGAACTCTGGCGGCTTGCCAGTATCATCATCCGGCACAAATTCAGTGCTGCGGGAGCCCAAGCCCTCCAGTTCGGCGATGCGATCGATTGTTCCCTCCATGCCCTTGGGCAGCTGGGATTCCATGATGATGCTGCGCTTACCCTGGATCTTCATGGTGGCAGTGGTCACTGCCTCACCGTATTCGTTGATAGCACGGCAAGAGTACTCGCCGGAATCCTCAGGATAGACAGGGGAAATCTCCAGGATGACAAAGCCAAAGTCGCAGAAAGTGCGGAAGCGGGAACCGGCCTTCAATGGACGTCCGTTCCAGTACCACTCGACCTTCAGCTTGGGATCATCGGCAGGGGTAATCCTAGCCTCAAAGTGGGCATTCTCACCCTCGCGCAGATTGTCGATGTTCTCCAGCGGTACAGTGAAGACAGGGGCCTTGCCCTTGGTCTCCTCGGTAGTCTCTTCGCGAGTGCGCACCATGCTGTACTCCAGGTTGGCGATCTTCTCCAGACCACCCTCCATGCCTCGCGGCAGCTGGGAGTCCAGAATGAGGCTGGCCTTCGAGGCGCACTTAAGCGAGGCACGAGTCGTATCCTCACCGTACTTATTGTAGGCCCTGGCCTCGTATACTCCGGAGTTCTCTTCGTAGCAGTACAGAATGTCCAGGATGACGATTCCAAAGTCGTGGAAGGTACGGAAGCGGTGACCATGTGGCAGCTTCTTGCCGTTGAAGTACCATTCCACCACCAAATCGGGATCGGTTATGGGAGTCAAACGTGCCTCAAAGTGAGCGGACTGTCCCTCCACAAGTTTGGTGACATCCACGATCTGGGTGATGAACTTGGGTGGCTCAGCGACCAGAGGAGCGGAAGTATCGCCCTGCTGTCCTTGCGGGCACTCCAGCTCCCTGATCCTCTGCAGCGAATCCGGCTGCAAGCTGTCATAGAACACTCCACCACGGCCTCCACAATTGAGGGTGGTGCGGGTGAAGTCCTCGCCGTACTTGTTCCAAGCCCTGCACACATACTCTCCACTGTCATGATCCTGCAGATAGGAAATATCCAGGACGACATAGCCAAAGTCGGATACGGTCTTGATGCGGTTTGAGTGACGCATCAGCTTGCCATTGTGGTACCACTCCACCTTCAGTTCCGGATCGTTGACTGGGATCAGAGTGCACTCGAAGTGAGCGGACTGACCGTCCTTCAGGCCCTCCAACGGCTGGATGTGGGAGGTGAAGCGCGGCTTCTGGCCCTTCGGCTTGTCCACGCACTCCAGGTTGCAGCTGATCTCAGCGGTTCCATGCTTGTTCGTGGCGCGGCAAGTGTAGGTGCCGGTGTCCTCGATCTTGGTGCCGAGAACCTCCAATGCAACCGTGCCAAAGGCGTAGATGGTACGCACACGATGACTGGCTTCCAGCACCTTGCTGTTGTAGAACCACTCGATGACCATGCTCTGATCTCCAACAGGAATGAGATTGGCCTCAAAGTGAGCCAGCTCACCCTCTCCAATGTCTGCGATGTTGACAAACTCGGTGGTGAAGCGTGGTGGGATGCCCAGATCGGGTTGCTCTGGCTTAGAGCCATCCTTTCGGAGAGAGTCCTCCAGGTCCTGGATCTGTTCCAGACCCTCGGCTCCCTTCGGGTGCTGAGTAGACTCGATGATGCTCTCCTTGCTCGAACAGAAGATGGTGGTCGAAGTGAAGGCCTCACCCGCCTTGTTATAAGCCTTGCAGGTGTAGATGCCCTGATCGCGGGCATAGACCTCGATCATGTCCATGGTGACAAAGCCGAATTCGCTGGTCATCTTGAAACGAGAGCCATGCTGAAGCATCTTGCCGTTGAAGTACCACTCGATGAACAAGTTGGGATCCTCCTTGGGCTCCACATTGGCCTCCAGATGGATGGGTTGAGCCTCCGACAGATGGAACTCGGCCTGCAGTGGCTTAGTCCATACGGGTGGTGGATATTGGGTCTCGGGCTTGGAGGACTTGCTGGTGTAGCGGTTGGCCAGCTCCTCCTCGGTTTCTTGAACGGCCTCAAGACCTGCCTCACCCTGCGGATGCTGGGTGTCCAGGAACATGGTCTTTCCGCCAGTGCACTTCAGGGTACCCGAGGTAGTCGCGGATCCCTTGCTGTTGGTGGCCTTGCAGGTGTAAACACCGCTGTTCTCGGCATAGGAGTTGGTCAGATCCAAAGCGCAGTAGCCAAAGTCGTAAATGGACTTGAACTTGGCGGCAGCCTGCAGGGGCTGACCATTGTAGAACCATTCGATGGACATGGTGGGATCACGAGCCGGCTCCACGTTGCACTCGAAGCGCACGTTGTCGCTCTCCTTGCACTCGATGTTGTTCAGATGGGTAATGAACACTGGGGTCTCGTAAGTGGGCTCCGGAGCCTCTGGACGACCCTCCTTGGGCGCCTCCAACTCTCCAATGCGAGGCAGCGAATCCGGATGCAGTGATTCGGCCTGCAGCCAGTGACGATCTTCGATCTTGAGGGAGGAAGTCGAAACGGCCTCGCCCACCTGGTTGGTGGCCTTGCAGGTGTAAATGGCCGAGTCATCCGCACGCAGTCCGTTAATGGACAGAGTAACCAGTCCGAAATCGAAGGTGCTGCGGATGCGAGAGCCAGTGGTTAGAGAAATACCATTCTTAAACCACTCAATGCGGAGGTTGGGATCCGCACGAGGCTCCACCTGAGCCTCCAGGAGGACATGCTGACCCTCGTGCAGCTTGTCGTAGCTCTGTAGATGGGTGGTGAATACCGGAGCCTGCTGGGGAGTTGAATCCACAAACATCTCTGGCACACGGTTCATGGCCGCCTCCTTCAGACGAATTGCCTCCCATGACTCTGGGATCAACGGCTGACCATCGATGTTGGACTTGGTCTTGACCTTCATGGCAGTGGAGGACACAGCCTCACCAGCGGCATTATAAGCACGGCACATGTAGACACCGGCATCCTCGGGCACCACAGCTGTGATGTCCAAGGTGACGAAGCCGAAGTCGTGGGTGGTGCGCAGACGAGAGCCCATTTGCAGCTCAACTCCGTTGATGAACCACTCGAACTTAAGCGAAGGATCACCCACTGGCACAACACGTGCCTCGAAGTGGGCATGAGCACCCTCCCACAGCTCCGACGGTCCAGTGAGCAGTTGGGTGAAGATGGGCTTCTCAAACAAGCGCTCCGGCTCGCTGGGACGTGGAGCCACAGGTTTCTCCAACTGGTGGATGCGACTGATGCTGTCCGGATGCTGGGTATCCATCTGGATGCTGGCCTCGGAAACCACACGCATGGAGGCGGTGGTCACAGCCTCACCCAGAGGATTGACAGCGCGGCACATGTACACGCCCTCATCCTCCTTCCGGATGTGCGAGATATCCAACGAAACGAAACCGAAGTCGTGAGTCTTGGTGATACGGGAACTGTCCTCGATGATCTTCTCATTGCGGTACCACTCCACCTTCAGGTTGGGGTCTCCCACGGGAATCAGGCGTGCCTCGAAGTGGGCCGTCTGGTGCTCGTTGATTCTATCGATGTTCTGAAGTGGCTGAGTGAACACTGGCCGCTGGCGGGTGCCAGGGGTCTCGGGCTCCTGGCGCTGATGGGGCGCCATCGACTCCAGCTTGCGGATCTTCTCCAGACCCTCGGGATGCTGAGTGTCCGAAATGATGGTGCCGCGTGGAATTACACGCAGACTGGTGGAGGACACAGCCTGTCCCAAAGCGTTGACAGCACGCACGGAATATTCTCCGGCGTCTTCGGCCACAGCGTGGGTGATGTCCAAAGACACATATCCAAAATCAAAGGTTATGTGGAAACGAGAAGCCGAGGGCAGAGGCTTGCCATTGTGATAGAATTCAATGCGCAAGTTGGGATCGTGAACTGGAGCGACCTGGGCCTCAAAGTGAGCCGTCTGACCTTCGTAGATTTCGGTTGAGCCGCGCAGTTCGGCGGTGAAATGAGGAGGACTGATGGGAGTATCTCCAACCTCGGTACGGGCATTGGGCACCTTCGACTCCAGCTTCTGGATCTTCTCCAAAGCATCGGGATGCTGGGTATCCAGGATCATGCTGCGACGGTTCAACACGCGCACATTGCAGGTGTTTACAGCCTCACCCAGTTGATTGGTGGCCTTGCAGATGTAGGTGCCGGTATCCTCGCCATAGACATACAGAATGTCCAAAGCAACGTAGCCAAAATCGTGGGTGGTGCGGTATCTGTGACCGGTGGGCAGCTGCTTTCCATTGCAGAACCACTCAATCTTCAGGTTGGGGTCGTTGATCGGTTCCACTCGGCACTCCAAGTGACCGTGTTCGCCCTCCTTCAGATGTTCCAGGTTGCTCAGCGGAGTCAGGAAGATGGGCTTCTGGCCCTTCTCCTCCACCACGGGCTTGGTGGGTGGCGCATAGCTCTCCAGCTGGCGAATCTTCTCCAAACGCTGAGCATCCAAAGTGTCCAGGTCGAGTGTCTTGTTTGCTGTTGGTGAGAGATGGTTTGGGGATTAGTTAGTTGCATTATGTGTAATACATTAAGATTTATTTAAGTTATATTAGTTTACCTGTTACGTTTACAGCACAAGTCGTGACAGCTTCTCCAATGGCGTTCTTGGCCTTGCACATGTAGGTGCCGGTGTCCTCGGCATGGGCGTAAAGGATATCCAGCGCCACGAAGCCAAAATCGTAGGTGGTCTTGAAGCGGTGACCCGTCTGTATGGGCCTGCCGTTGCAGTACCACTCCACCTTCATGGTGGGATCATTCACAGGGATCAAAGTGGCCTCCAGATGGACGGGAGTTCCCTCGTTGACCTTGGCATTACGCAATGGGCGTCCGAACTGAGGGCGTTCGGCATGGAACTGCTCCTCGTCGGTTTTCCTCTGGAAGCGCGAAGTATCCTCCAGATGCTGGATCTTGGTCAGGGCCTCTTCGTGCTGGGTCTCATGAATGATAGACGAACGCGAAGTCACGTTCAGGACAATCGAGTTCACGGCCTCGCCCAGATTGTTGGTCACTCGGCAGGTGTACTCGCCGCTATCCTCCGCGTAGACAGTCAGAATGTCCAAGGCGGCAAATCCAAAGTCGTAGGTGGTACGGAAGCGATGGCCAGTGCTCAGAGGCTTGCCGTTATGGAACCACTCCACCTTCAGATTGGGATCCGGATAGGGCTCAATGCGACACTCGTAGTGGGCACTCTGACCCTCGACCAGATTGCTGGGTCCAATCAACTTGGTAACGAACACTGGGGCGGTGGTCACCGTGTACTCCTCCTCCTCCCTACGCTGGTACCTGCTGTGATCCTCCAGCTGGTGGATCTTGTGCATGGCGGCTTCGTGCTGGGTCTCCAGCTGAATCGATGTCTTCGATTGCACAATAAGCGAGGCGGAGGTCACCGCCTGGCCGAGTTCGTTGACAGCGCGGCAGGTGTAGGTGCCGGAGTCTTCGGGATTCACATACTTCATGTTGAGAGCAACATAGCCGAAGTCGTGCATAGTGGTGGTGCGGTTCGAAGCTTCAATGGGCTGACCATTGCGCAGCCATTCCACCTTCAACTTGGGATCTCCCACTGGGATCAAGCGGGCCTCAAAGTGAACCGCCTGGTTCTCAGCGACACGGACATCCCTCACCGGCATGGTGAACACGGGTGCCTGGGACACGAACTCATCCTGGACGCTAATTCGCTGGCGCTTGGAGCCATCCTCCAAATGCTGCAGACGTGGCAGAGCGGTCTCGTGCTGCGACTCCAGATAGATGGACTTCTTGGTGTGCACGACCGCCACGGCAGAGGTGATGGCCTCACCAACAGCATTGAAGGCACGGCAGGTGTAAGTGCCGGCATCTTCGGGCAGGGTGGACATGATGTCCAGGGCCACAAAACCAAAGTTGTTGGTCTCAGTGAAACGAGAGCCCGACTTCAGTGGCAAGTTGTTGTGGTACCACTCCACGCGCATGGACGGATCGGAAACGGGAATCAGGCGGCACTCGAAGTGAGCCCTCTGGTTCTCCTTGATCTCAACGTTCTTCAGCGAAGTGGTGAACACTGGAGCCTGCTTGGTGCTCTCGTCGATCTCCTCCCGACGGGTGTACCGCGAGCGATCCTCCAGGTAGTGGATCTGCTCTAAGCCAGCCTCGTTCTGAGTGACAGTTACAATCTGCTCACCGCTACGGCACTGCAGTTCCACCTGGGTTTCATCAGAGCCGATCAAATTAACGGCTCTGCAGGTGTAGACACCCGAATCCTCAGCAATCAAGTGCACAATGTCCAAAGCCACGTAGCCAAAGTCGTGGATGGGACGGAAGCGGTGACCCACGGTGATGGGACGACCGTTCTTGAACCATTCCACCTTCAGATTGGGATCGGTTACAGGCTCGATCTTGCACTCGAAGTGAGCGTGACCACCCTCGCGGGTGTTAGTCAGGCTCTTGGGATGGGTGAGGAATCGCGGACGAATGTTGACCACCTCATCAATGAACTCGCTGCGGCGATGACGGGTCGAGTCCTCCAAGTACTGAATCTTCTGCAGACCCGACTCGTTCTGCGTCTCCAAAATCAGATCGTTCTTTGCGATGATGCGCACGGAACAGGAGGTGACGGCTTCACCCAGTTGGTTTCTGGCCTGGCAGGTGTAGACACCCGAATCGATGGCGTAGCAGCCCAGCAGATCCAGGGCCACGTAGTCGAACTCATAGGCGGGTCGGAAACGGTGTCCTGTTTTCACAGGCTTTCCATTCACGAACCATTCGATACGCATGCTGGGATCGCCCACGGGTTGCAGACGGCACTCCAGGTGCACATTGGTACCTTCGATGGTTTCGATGTTGTGCAGGCCCCTGGTGAACTGCGGTGCCTGCATGATGGTGATATCCTCCTCCTGGTGATGGCGGCGACGCGAGTCCTCGAGCAGTTGGATTTGCTCCAGCGACTGTTCGTTCTGGGTCTCAGTGACAACATCCGTGTGATCAATCACACGAACGCAGGCCGAAGTGTGTGCCGAACCCAAGTGGTTGGTGGCCCTCACCGTGTACTCCCCAGAATCGGCGGCCGTGGCCTTGATAATGTCCAAAGCCACGAAGCCGAAGTCGTAGTAGGTGCGGAAGCGGGAACCCACGGTCACGGGGCGACCGTTGTGGAACCACTCGACGCGCATGGTGGGGTCACCCATCGGCTCCAGGCGACACTCCAGATGGATGTTCTTGCCATCGTGGATAGGCTTGGGATCGCTCAAGGGAGTGACGAACACCGGCTTGGACTTGGAGATCTCCTCGATGTCATACTGAGGCTCCACGAATGGCTTGTTCTCCAGGTTCTGGGTCTTCTCGTACAGGCCACGGTGCATGCTAGATGTGTCGATACTGGAACGAGCTATGAGAGGTATGAAAATTAACATGAATTTTTAAATTATGTTTCTTTAATTAAAAACTCTACTTACTTTCCACTATCATCGTTGCTTGCTGCTGAGCTTCACCTAGCTTGTTCCTGGCCACCACGAGGTAGACACCAGCATCTTCGGCGCGCACCTGGGAAATATCCAGGGCAACATAGCCGAAGTCGTAGTAGGTCTGGATGCGATTGGCAGCGGTGATGGAGCGACCGTTGTGGTACCACTCGATCACCAGACCCAAATCGCTCTGGGGCTCCACACGGGCTTCAAAGTGGGCGCGCTGTCCCTCGAGAATTTTGGTGGTGCCCTTCAAGGGACCAAGGAAACGGGGAGCCTGGGTGACGTAGGTCTCCTCCTCCTCACGACGTCCATAGCGCGATGAGTCCTCCAGATGCTGGATCTTCTGCAGACCACCCGGGTGCTGGGACTCCGAGACGATCTCGTTCTTGGAGATCACGGTTAGCTGGGCCACGGTGGTGTCCTGACCCATGGCATTGTAGGCACGGCAGGTGTAGGTGCCGGCATCATAGATGGTCAGCTGCTTGATGGTCAGCGCCACGTAGCCAAAGTTATGGTAGGTGGTGATCCTGGAACTGGCCTCCAGAGGCTGTCCATCCTTCAGCCACTCCACGCGCATGGTGGAATCTCCGATGGGTTCGAGTCTCGCTTCGAAGTGCGCATGCGCGTGTTCGCGAAGATCCAACTGGTTTTGGATGGGTGTCTTGAACTGAGGCGGGGCAATAGCCACGGCGGCCTCTTGGACATGACGACGTTGCTGGGACTTGCGGTAGTCTTCGAGTTCCTCCACTTTCTCGATATAGCGCTGCTGCTCGGGAATGCCCAGATCAGCAGTGACTTGGGAGCGTGAGTGGACACGAATCGTGGACTGACTAATGGCCTCTCCAATACGATTCACCGCCCGCACGGTATAGGTGCCAGCATCTTCGGCTCTCAGGTGCAAGATGTTAAGGGAGACATAGCCGAAGTTGAAAATGGCGGTGATGCGGGAGCTGGCCGTGATTGGCAGACCATCCTTGTACCACTCCACTCGCATGGAGGGATCGTTTACAGGTGTAACCTGGGCCTCGAAGTGCACGTTCTTGCCCTCCTCGAACTCTCCGAGATCGCGAAGTGGGCGAATGAACTGCGGAGCCTGGTTCAGTTGCTCCTCCGTGCTCTCCTGGCGCTGGTAGCGTGAGTAGTCCTCCAGCTGGTTGATGTACTGCAGGCTGTTCGGGTTCTGCGACGACTGCTCGATGGAGGGGCGCTGCACCACGGACAAAATGGCCCGGGATTCGGCCACTCCACTGGCGTTGCTCACGCGGCACATGTACTCCCCGGAGTCATGGCCCATGATGCTCAGCAGATCCAGAGCAATGAAGCCGAACTTGAAGACGGATGTGGCGCGGGCACCTGTAGAATAAACATAAGACATCAGCTTTCTATACTAAAGGATAACCAGACTAATGATTACTTACTGGCTGCCAGCGGACGTCCGTTGAGGTACCACTCGACGACCATAGTGGGATCGCCGACGGGTTCGATGCGGGCCTCCATGTGGACGCGTCCACCTTCGGTCTGCTGCACATTCTGCAGAGGGATGATGAACTGCGGCGGCGGATAGACGCGATCCTCCTCGCCAGGTCGCAGATGGGGCTTGGCGCGCTCCACATGGCGCAGGTAAATGATTTCAGGGCCAGGAATGGGTCTAAGGAAAAGATAAAGTTATTTCTAAGCATGATGAACAAATAATGATGCACAACACTCACTCTGGCTCGATGACTTTCGTTGGTCTCGGGAGATTGAGACGACGCTGCTCGTAGTTGGGTTCTTCCCTGGGAACCTCGACATACAGCCTGGCCCTATTGGCCGTGGATCCAGCGATGTTCTGGGCGGTGCACTGGTACCAGCCGGCGTCGCTTGCATTGACGCGTGGAATCTCCAGGCAGGTGGCTCCACCATCGATGCCCACAAAGCGCTCGGCGGTGGACGAGATCTGGACGCCGTCCTTCTGCCAGGTGATCCGTGGCTGCGGAGTTCCGATGGCATTGGCACTCATGGTGATGGGCTCACCCTCGCGCACAGTCATCGTGCTGAAGCGTTGAACAAATTGTGGTGCGACAACCTGTTCCTTCTCCAGCACATTCAACTGCGCCTCGATGGCCACCTCACCGGCCTTGTTGCGGGCCAGACATTGGACAGCTCCGGCATCCAAACGGGTCACATTGGTGATCATCAGCGAGTGGCTGCCGGATTCGTTGACCAGAATCTTGTGCGAGGCATCGTCGCGCACTTGGCGGCCGTTGATCAGCCAGAAGACCTCGGGATAGGGATTGCCAGTGACCCGGCAATCGAACCTGGTCATGCGGCCCTCGGTGACCTCGCGATCTCCGAAAGCCTTCACGAATGCAGGCGGCAAGGCCTTGCCGGCCTCCAATTGCTCGGCCATCACGTCCACGGGCTTCGGTTCGTAGGCGGTTTCTGCGGCGGGTTCCACGGCCAACACGGCGGATGAAACCACGCAACCCTGCAGATTCTCGGCCAGCAGAGTGTAATGACCGCCATCGCGAGCCGTGGCATTCTTCACACGCAGCGTGGCCACTCCACTCGAGTAGGAGATCTCGTACTTTTGCGAAGCCACCAAACGCTGGCCATTATGGAACCAGGTGAGCCGGGGCTTCGGGTTGGAACCCACGCGTGCGGTGAACACGGCATCGGATCCCTCGATCAGCTTGGAGCTGCGCGGCTTCTGCGAGATCTGCGGCGCCTGCGCAGGACCCTGGTTGCGATCCAGCTCCTGGGAGAGCTGAGAGTCCTGCTCGTATCCCGATCGACGGGTGATGGCCTCGCGGAAGGAGACCTCGCGCAACAGCCGGTACTCGAAGGTATCCACACGGAACTCCTCCTCAATCGAGGTGTACGAATAGCCGTTCGAGAAGATGTTCTTCTCCAAATTCTGGATGGGCTGCAGGGCGGGCATCGGTGCTCCTTCCGGCTGGATGTAGACGCTGCAGATGGCCTCGCCGTATTGGTTGCGGGCCGTGCACGTGTACTCGCCCTCGTCCCCGGGTCCGATCTGATTGATCAGCAGGGACACGTCGCCGGTGGCCTCGTTGTAGCTCATCCGGAACTTCTGCGACTCGAGAAGGGGTGCGCCTTTCCGGGTCCAGGTCACGAATGGCTTCGGGTTGCCACGCAGGCGTCCCTCGAACAGGGCATTGCCGCCCTGGGCGAAGCGAGCGTTCTTGAAGATCTGCTCGAAAACGGGCGGCGAGATGTCGCCCTGGGCATACACGTGGGTCAGCGAGGGCGGCACATAGGCGCCTCCGATGCTGCCACCATGGTGTTGTTGCACTGCAAAATAGACACTTATTAGGATCAAGAATTTCGGGATGAGCGTGAAGAATGAGAGCGGATGCAACAGTATCTTTTTATCATATTTAAAAAAAATCTAAAACTTTCGTATTGACTTAAACTTAAAAGTTAGGACTAAGCATGTCGGTTCAAATTTACTTTTCTTAGAGAAAAGTATTTGATAAATTTATATGTTGTATATATTGCATTAAAAAACCAATTCAAATTAAAAATATAAATTTAGTGTTCTGAAAAATATGTAAAATATGTAAAATAAATTATAAACCTTTTTAATTTAATTAGTTTAAGCGCAAATTGTATTTAAGAATCTAAAATTCCCTCACCTTCACTTCTATCATGATGAAAATACAAATCAGAGAGTAAAGACAATGACCCAAACCGACTCTTGATAGTCAAATTAATTATCATTTCGAACAGATTTAATGTTGTGTTTTGTAATAAAATATTAAAATTGTATAATTGTTAATTATTCAGATTAGCACATATGTATGTATCTAAAAAAATATAAATGGATTTATTGATTTGCACTTTTCCACTAATTAACTGATTTTATAAGCTAACCAAAATAATAGTGACAGGATTTTCCAGGCTAATCAAATGTTTAAAAATTATTTATTGGTCCAAGCCCATAAAGTATTATTAAGAATGCATTATCTTGTAACTATTTCAACAAGTCGGTTATTTTAAGATTAATCAAAATCTTCGGGATCTTGAATTAAACTGTAAGTAAAAGTTTATTTACTTTAGATACATTTAGTTGGCACACGTACCAAACTATTAATAGTTGTAAAAGTAAACACCTATAGATATAAATCTATATTCGTATCTCTACCTCTATATAAATATATATTATATATATATGCATTTGTTTATCAATTGGATTTCTTGAAGTGTGTCATTAACGTTACGTAGCTATAGGTGGACGACTTTTGAGCCAGCTGGTGGAAAGAATTGCGTGAGGTAAACAAGTGCGAAAATCAGCTGGCGCCACTCTTTCTCTTATCCTCTTTCTCTTATCCTCTTTCATTTCTCTTTCTCCCATTTCTCTCATCACCTTCGGGTGATCATCTTCGGGTAATCATCTTCGGGTCTTTAGTATAAGAGAATATGAAAACCCCAATTCTCTCTAACACCTTGCATTCTCCACCATCGGAAAATGTAAACAAATTGCTTGGTACACAAACTCTTATACGGTTTATATATAGTATTGGTATATGTATGTCAGTGCAGTCGTGGGAGATGAAAAGATAAACTTATAAATAAACCCGAAATGTTGGCTGTGTACATCAATTAAGATTTAAATGATGAAACACAAGTTGACACATAAATATATATTTAGGTGAGTTGGAAATTTTTACGAACTGTGAGGTCTGAATTTATTTTTGATTTTTGAAATTTTATTGGTGACACATGTGCGCATATATATCTATAATTATGTGTCTAATCCTCCTTTGATTTTTAATTTTCCTGCTTGTGTCTATATCTGCTGGCTCAAGGTAGATTAATCATGAGAAATAAAACAGATTTTTCTGAATTATGATCCAAGTGCTATAAACAAATGTTTCATTCTTCTCAATTTTGTATATTTAAATTATTCATCTTCTGAAAAGCTTTTCCTGTTTGTATTTGAAGCGTAGTGTATATTAGATATTTCGATATCACTTTGTACACTGACTAATTATCTGGGTATTAAGTTTTGGAGAAGTTTTTCGTGTGATTTTAATAAAATTTGAAATGTGATTAGCCCTTTTGTAATACTGCCATCTAATAAATCTTTACAAACACGCCACTCAAATGACTGAAAAAAGTCAATTGATTTCCTACTAATAAGGTATCTTTTGATGATATCAGTTTATATTCGGAGTAAAGCAGAGTTAACACAGGTGCATCAGAATTTGGGGTGAATAACTTTAAAACATTTTCTACTAAAATTATCTCTGCCCCTACTATCGAATCCTGCATCCCTTTCCTTGGATGTTTAATTTAACCGAATTATAGTTTTTCCAGTCCTAAACTTAGAAGTAATTGTTTTCGTTCTATTCAAAATAATAAGTTAAAAAAATAAAACAGCCCCATTTTCCTTTAAAAAGGGCTTAAAATGTTTTTTTAATATAACAACAATAGCTGGGAATAAAATTATACCGAATTACTTATTAACCTCAGATTCAACTAAAGCCCATTCAAACAAAAACCCTTGGGTAAAATATAAGTTAAACAATTATATTATAAGTTTTAAAATACAAACTAAACATTCAAAACATAACAAATTTATAATTTTTTTTTTTTTTTAAATTTATTTTTGAGTTGTTAGCTATTAGATTTTATTATGGGACTAATCGAACATTATCTTTTTTGTTGTGTAGGTTTTTATCCATTTTTTTGGGTTTAGTTTTTTTCAATTTCAAACAGCAAGTAAAGATATCAAGGCCAATTCGGTGAAGCAAGCAGGATGATAGAAAGCTTTATCCTAGATCCTTTGGCCAATCAGCGGAAATTGCCAAGGGACAGTGGGGATTCTAAATCCACGGTGTGAATCCCACCGAGCCCTGCAAACTTCCCCTGCGATTGGCCGCCCCAAAGGGGGACATCCAAGGACACAAGGACACAGGTGACAAGGACGAGGAGGATGGCGATGACGATGACGAGGACTGACCTTGCCGCTGGGTGGTGAATTGGCTGCGCTGGACATGCTGCTCGGTGCGGCTAATCCTTTGCTGCTGGTGCTGCTCCTGGCTGGAGTGCGAGTACTCCTGGGTGGAATACTGCTGCACCTGCTGCTGCTGCTGGTTTTGCTGCTGGTACGGGTTCGGATTTTGTCGTTGCATTTTGCTGCGTTATATATCACTATATATCATTTAAAATGACAACCAAATCGCTGCAGAATGAACTGCACTGTAGAATTGAACACCTCGCGATCACTCTTTCTTTGATTTGCTTCTTCACTTGATATACTTCTATATATATTTATCTCTCTTTGGTCGCTTCTTTAAATTGCTGAAATAAAAATATAAATTTTCATGGGTTTTCACTTTGATTAGGCAACAAAAAAATCACGACACTTTGGTTATTTATCACTGCGATTTTGGCAAACATTTCGTGGTTTTTCTATCTTTAATTTACTTTTATGTTTGCCTGTCACACATTTTGTTTAATGGCTTCGAATTTTCTTTTTTCGATATATGAATAGATATAACTCAGGCGAGATCTGAGATTTGTATCAGCCATCCTTCTTCATATTCATTTTCATATTCTTTGCCTGTGAGGCATTTCCAACTATTTTTAGACTTGAGAATATTTCACTGCGACACACAGATACGCACTCGCACACACTCTTTCACACACACACACACACACATACACAAACAGTCAGTGGTAGCTTCTTATTTTTCACAGGGCTATTAATAACCATTTTTCTGGTTTCTCCCATGGGAAAACCTTGCATTGGCCCAATGATCTTTGCTAAAGAAGTTTCACACTTTTCCGGCACTATTTTGGCTGTTCCAGTGGGTAATCCTTGCCAGGATCAGCCAGGCTAATGCACATTCGCACACATGGCACGTAGTCTACGGATATATGCAGGTTCGATTATATATATATATATAGATCGCTTGATATCTGTTTGCACACGATTTCACAGTCCATTCGTTGAATTGGGTGCGGACCCACGAAGTGGAGCCACCGAAGCACCGATCCGATACGATCCGAATCGGAATCCGAAACGAAGCACCCGATCGGGTGATATTTTTAGATATTTAGCGCACTGAAAAATTCTTTAAGCATTTTTCTTGAAGTGGTTTCGTAACCAGAGAAAATTTTCATGAACACTTGTTTCTTCCATTCACTATTCCTTCAGGATTTCGCTTAATTTTCACATTTTTGATTGATCCTTACTCGAAATTGCGTTATCCTTTCGACGTTCTATATATATTTGCGTGTGTGCGGGACTCTAGGCGAACGAAATGGCTGCGAACGTATACATATATCTGTACCGTGTGGTGCGTTTAGATATAGATATATGTATATTCTTTTAAAAAATATCTATTTTCAAACTGTTTCAAGTCATAATCCCCGAGACTGAAACCAAGACGTCGATCGTTTGTGAGGTGCGAGCGAAGAATGACAAAATCTCGCGGAGAATGCGATCAAGTAGCTGTGCCTGCACAGCCGATCTTCGCCCGATTCCACCCGATTCCATACGATCTCCCGCCGAGAGAGAGGTGGAGATCTCGGCGATGGACTATCGTGCTCCACATGAGATATTTTTGCATTTTCCTCGGTGGTTGTTGTTGTGGAAAAACACTCCCAGAGCGATGAATGCACTACACATCACTGCGGGGCATATGGGTTTTCGAGGACGAAGATCCAGACATATATAAGATATCTTTATACAAAGTTTATATTTACTTAAAATAAAATTTCCAACTGAATCGATGTATTAGTAGCTTACTTCCTTTTATAAATTTATGGTATTATTGTATTTTTTAATTGCAATATAGAGCATCTCCTTGCTGATATCATATCCACAATTCCACTTCCCAATGGCACACCAATTAAAGTCAAATTACTGGTAGTCGTTTGGTCCGGCCAACCGATAGTTTGATAAACATTTGCCCCAGGAGACTCGTCAATTTGCCTTGGATCGCCAAAGAGATGGATATCTCTGGGGAGTCTTGTCTAATCTCCCGCTGCTCCGCTCTGGCTCTCTCGTTGGGATTTCAAAAAGTGTTCGGGTTTTGAGTAAGTTGGCTAAAAATATATGGCGATTTATTTTTGACACGTATTTTTCAACATTGTGTGCACGAAAAGAACAGAAAAGAAGCCATCCTACCGAAATTCTAGATACTGTAAGAGTCAAATGCATACACACGGCACTGATCGTGTCTATTGATTCCAGCCGGAGATTCGTTCCTTATGTTTGCCCTCTATTCCGAAAATCGGGAGGAAATATCCATCAGAGTTGATCTTGTACAAATAAATAAGATACCAGTTGCAATCGAATCTTGGAATTATACCTTGCACAATATAATTAAAGGCTTGAGTTGGCACTGCCCTCGGGTCTTTTTCACATTTTCCACATAATTTATTTTATTTTTCTAAAATTAAAACCACATAGATGTATAGATATGTATAAAATTTGGCTCGTCCGCCCGTTTGATACATATAAGTTGATTATTCATTTTGTCTCTTAATCATCAGCACAGTGATGTGTTTCAGTGACCAATTGGCAAAAATGTCGCAACTTTCTATTTCTTTTTAGCCACTTCAGAAAATCTCAAAAACAAATTGCACCTAAAACGTCAGTTGGTTTTGGCCATTTATGGCGAGGAGTTGCCCCAAGGCAGCCACTATATGGCTGTATACGGCAACCCGGTTTGCAATGGTCATGCAATATTGTTTTTTATTGTGCACAAATTAATTGTTAACATGGCCAGAGTAGTAGTAACAGCGGCACAGTAACATAATCATTAAACTACAAACTCGGAGAAGTTAATTCTAGGCAGCCAAGCGCAGCGACGGCAAAGTTTCGACTGTCACCGTTCAGATACAAATGTATCTACAACTATTAGAGTGCCACGAGCAGAGATAAGCCAAGAAGCAGGGAACACGCATCATGCATAGCTTTCTTCTGGCCAAGAGATCCACTAAAACAACAGCAGGAGTAACCGTTAGCCGGTTCTGCAAGGCAGATTGCAAAGACAGTTTGCGTTTGTTTTTAACGATGCGCTACGAAAATTAATATTGCACAGTAAAAAAATTAATGAAAATATATGGTCAATTCATAATTATTATGATATGATGCACTTAAAATAAATTATAATATTTACTCGGGATATAAAATATTAAGAGGCAATTACACCCCGTTTTATTTAAGAAATAGACAACCATTATAAGACTATAATTCCCGATCGGTTCAAGCGTTGCGACCGCTTACTTTGAAATATCTCTATATGATGTAGTTAGAATATTTGAACTTATTTTGGTTCAGTGCACCCTTTTTGCGAGCACAGACCCGCTTGACAGTTGTCTGTAAGATTAACAGCACTTATCTATCTGTCCAGGCTGAGGCTGTATCTGTATCTTATCGCAGATGCTTTGTGCAAAAATATTCGCCCAATTATGTCACGGCCCGAGAATGTGCCAACAAACACACGACTTATACAAGAAAACATTTCACTTCTCTTTAATTAGTATTATTAATGGTTTAGTACATATAATAAGGCAACTGTTTAAGGCTTAGTTCATTTTAGTTTTTGCTCAAATATTAGTTTGGCTTCTCGCAGCTCTCGAACTCTGGCGATGCATTCAATTTACTGTAAAAACGAGAAGAATAATTCGAGTTCAATTAACGATCGTACAAAAGAGAAGATCGAAAGGATGAGAAACAGATACTGGATGAGTTGACACTTGAGTGTTGGAAGCAGGCAACATGCAACAGGCAGCGAGAATGATGGATAAATCTTGGGATTTCGAGTATGTATGTGAATGCAACCCCCCGAAGCCGCTGAGCTGGCGACCCCAAGCCAAGCCAATCCCATCTTGAAGTTATAAATACACTACGGTTTGGCTTTGTGTTTTATGTTTTACCCAGATGTAATGAGTCGCGTAAGCAGATCTGCATTGCCAGACTCTCGTTTTGGCATCAAATTTCGCGACCATTGCAGCCCGTCTCAATCTCAATCTCAATCCCAAGTCCCAGTCCCGCTCTTGAGCCCCCTCCATTCAGCAAAACCATAAAACCGAAACGGAGCGTCGACAACTGCCATGTTGCGGCGACTGCGCCCCAAGAGCACTGCATGCCAAGCGGCAATTTAGGTATAAAATGTCCAAATGTGGTCGGCTTAGACCCTCTAAAAGGGTACCATAACTATCTAATGGTTTTAATTTAAAGATGATAAAATAAATGGTTTACCCAATAAAATTTAAAATAATTGTGGGCTTAAATATACAATGACAAACACCTTTAAAAACTGGGAATTTATTTCTATCTATCACTTTTGTTTAAATCAAATAATAAATTGTACGTTAATATTTAATAAGAACCTGTACTGATTCTTTTCAATAGCAATTAATGATATATTTTAAATTTCCTAAGCATTTTTTATTTGTTAAAAACCAATAATAAATTGTTTGTTCATATTGAAAAGGGGTATATTTATTAAAAGTCTATACTGATTCTTTTCAATAGTTAATGAATTATAAATTTTAAATTTCTTATACATTTTTAGTTAGAATTAAAAAAAAGGAAGAGCATCCCAACTTCGACTCTCTGAGGATGGTTTCTAATTTTTCTTTAGCATTTTCATATCAATTGTTTATACAATTAGACACACGAGTCGCAGTCTTTAGCCCCCTCCCAACGCCACCACTGTCGAACCTCCCTTTCTGGTAAATGAAAGTTGCAATGTGGTCTGTAATCTATATTTAGTGATTTTACATGCGGTACCTCAAAGATATTCGAAATATGTGTGTATGGATTGCGTGACATGGCAAATGGATGCGAGATTGAGAGATCGCGACGGACCATTTTGTAGTTAGCAATTTTCCAGATCGCTTGAGGATCAAGATGATGCATTTGGCCGATGATTAATTATGGATTCGTTATGCAAACAACATTTAAATGTAAACAAAACGGAAAATGCCATTAAAATGATGGATTTTGTTTACCTGTTTGCTCACGGAGCTGCGGCTCCTGGCTGAAATCCGAAATGGACACGGTCTTGGTGCTCACGTAGCTGATGGACTCGATCGTGGTCTCCCATTTCTGGAACGTGTTGATGGTGTCGCTCCGAAGAGCGCGACTCGACTGGGAATGATTGTTCCTCAACGGCGTGGAGGAGCGCAGCGACATGGTCGATGTGGCCGAACCCATGGAGGAACTGGCCGGCGAACTGGTCGAAGTGGAGGAGAACGAGGCTGATTTGCGCAAAGGCGTTTTATTGACGCCATTATCCAGAGGCTGTGCCGTGGCCTCCGGCGCCAGTTCCTCCTCGGTTATTAGCAAGCTATCCGTTTGAGTGCCTTGATCTGCAGAAAAGTACAGGGAAAGAAATGAGTTCAAACTGCAGTAGTGTCAAGAAAAAAATACAATAACCCAAAACCAACCGATAACGATATATTATCCTTTTTATTTAGCTAAGAATAATTCCATAAATGTTGTGTCATCTAAAAATTTAGCAATCTCTTACTCTACAAAATCTTAATGATTCTGTAATTTCAGAATTAAAATACCCTGAGTGAGATTTAAAAAAGTAGTAATTAAGAATAGCATTATAAATATTTGGAGCTATAGAAATTTTGTGATAATAAGAGATTCCTAAACAATCACTGCCAAAATCTCTAAAGAGTTAATTAGCAAAAAATCTCAAAAAATTCTTTAAAGATGTATTGTAGTTTATAGCACCAACTTAAGGCATTTTTAATATAATTTAAAGTATTTTTTTGTGTGTAGGGAGGATTAAAAGTTTTTTCAAATTAAAAACGCGGAAATGATTGGGATCCTCGGTTTTTATGGCTGCACTGCTGCGTTTTTATATTCTTACTCAATTAGCTGGGAACAATTAAATTCTAACGCCTTTCTGGCAATTAGCGGAATTCGTGTTTATGCTAAAAACTTGGCCCCGATTTTCAGCGGTATAGGAATCGTTGCACATTTTCAACACACGAAATTGTCTATTGTCTGAGTTTGTTCGCTATTTTGTTTGCTAATTTACAGCGTGCGTATAAATAAATAAGTTGCCAAGATTCATTTCTTTTCGCCCCGAAAGAGTGACTGACTTGGCTGGCAGGGTCATCAACGCGTGGCAGCACGGATGTTTCAGAGTCCGTTCCCAAAAAAACAAAATAACCCATTCCCCAGAGGAGGCTACCTGTCATCGGGGATTATGCAACTGAATTCGCGGGTCTTTCAAGGCGCCAGTCTTTCAGTTTGTTGCGCCCAATTAAATTAAATCTATGCATAAAGACATTAAAATATTTTCTTGTTTGCACAAACGCTGGGCGAACTGAAGTGCTAAATGCTTTTGGCCAACATCTGCGCAGTTCTGGGCCAATTCCTTAAGTTTCTGAACTGCTGCTGGTTTATTACAGTTTTCTGCTGCCCGTGGGTGTGAGGAAAACAATTTTACGAGGCTCCCAACTACTTTATAGTATCGCATTCGAATGCCTTTGGCTCTTATCCAGTTTATAAACATATATAAATTTTGGTTAAATGTACCTATAGATTGTCGTGGCGGCCCAAGAATTTGACTGAAACCAAAGCGGAAATAGTTTTATTAAAATTTATATGAGGCAAGTGCGCCGGCTATACAAAATTATCTGCCAGAATGTATAAATTATATAAAACACATATCTATATTTCTGCAGTACGACGTAGTTAGCTTTAGGAACTATTCAGTAAATAGCTCATTAATTCCCTCATGATCATAAACATCCTAAATTATTCTGCATTTATTAAAAGTGCGACCACGCCTTTGCCATGTTGATCTAATATACTATCATAATAAACCACTCAACTGGATCCCAGAGAAAGACCCCAACTAATGGATCACCAAATTGTTTCCTCATCCACACAAATCTGAACAAAACAAAGAAAATCTAGGAAAATATGAACGAATTTTTAAAGTGGCAAAAGAAAAATTGTGTGCTGTGTGTGGTTTGTGACTTGTTGCGCTGAGTTCATTTGCTATTTTAAGAAAATTACCCAATTAATTTAGAAAAACACAGATAGCAGGGAAAAAACCATAATGCCAAATGTTTGTATAGCTGCGGAAAGGAATCATCACAAAAAAATGTAGATGGGACACTTTGGTGGTCAAAATATGTAGCACATATTTTGGCACTCTCTGCCGAAAAATCCAGGCATTTCAGGCTTTAGGTATCGGAATCTGCTGAAATAACATTTACCTTTTCGCACTGGCAAAACATTTGCCACACGATACACATATATTGTGTTTGCACTAAGCGAGTGAAATTTTGCAAATGTGCCAAATAAAAAAGAACATCGAAACAAAAAATAAATATGCTACACAGACACGGCCGAATATTTTAATTTCGCATTGCAAATCGCCACACGCGAAATGTTTTTCATAATTTTGCAACGAATTTTATTTTGACAGAGTTTTTTTTAATATATATCTAAGAGTGTTATCGGTGGGGTAAGCAATTTTATGATTCATTAAGGTGCAAAATGTGGCCATATGCTCGCATTCAAAATCGGATTTCAATTGAAATTACCACGCCATTATATTTTCGTAAACGATGCACTAAGCACTGGCCATGATGCTGCAAATGACTCAGAGTGCCTGCATTTGGTCCGTGAGTGGGATCTAATTTGTTTCTTGGACCGCTGCCTAATGACTAGAACACTTTGGCCAGGCACTAAGCACACAATTAGAATTGGCAGATTGGCAGGCGAGGACCTTGAACCCCCAAAAGCACCCAACTAACGTTTCAAACGCCCACCCACCAGCGACTAATCACCAGCAGAAGTGTGTCAAATGTCCCAAAGTAAATGGCAAATTCAGATGGGGTTGTAAATGGTGAGCATGGCTATTTGCTGAGGCAATCTAGTAATTTTATTGGTTCTTAAAATTTGTTACAATTTGTTTAGAACCTTGTTCCTATACTTGTATATATATGTATATTTCATTGTATATATATTTTCATTTCGTTCTTAAATATTTTGCATTTTTTCCAGGATGACGTGTCGTAATTTTCCACATTATAATATTTTATACAATATTATACAATATTTCAATAAAAATCCAAAGCAATTACTACGTTTTTATTAAAAAATATATTTTTAAAAATTCAAGTTACCAATTGTATAACTACTTTAAATGATTCCCATTGATTTATAGCTATTTAACCGAGCGATTCAGCTACTTCCTGAGATATACTGTAATAGTTGGCAACACAGCAGGTGCTGTGGGTCAGTGTCAAGGACTTTCTAAGGCCTAAATACTGGGCCCATGTGTACTCATTGCCTTGACAGCCGAGAGTGTTTATGTCTGGCCTGTCCGAGTTTCTTTGCTGCCCCTTTGTTTCTTGAACATTTTTCGCATTTTGCGCGTTTTACTCGCCGCTGATTCTTGGCAAGCTATCGCGACAAAAAGAAAATGCCATGAAATTTAGATAAATAAACATTGCAGAAAGGCAAATAAATCATTTATGAGTAGCAGTGCGAAACTTTGTCGAACCGTCAGCCGCCCACCCACAACATTTCATTCCACATAAAAATCCAAACATTTGTTCAGCCGATGGTTTTAAGTTTTTTCGAATTATCTGACCTGATTTTGAAAGTAGTTTTTTTGGCCTAGTTTAAATATTTATACAGCAATGAGTAATGAAAAGCAAAAGACTGAAATTAATTGATGGACTAAGTGCTTGACAAGAAAAATGTGATTTTAAAATTCTGTAATTCTGAAATTGAAATTAAAAACTTTTCCCAAGGCAGCAAATAAATGTGTGCTAAAAGAATAATTAATCTTGGAAAAAAGATCAAAGCATATCAGAATTAATGTCAAAACTAATCTGCAAGATTATTTTTCAGAGATCAGAGGGCTCAATAAAAATGTAAACACACTAAACACAAAACGAGAATAATAAATCTAATTTTGTGCACATTTCTTTTTCAATATTGATTATGTTTAAAATATTAATATATATATATGTTTAAAAATTCTGAAATCTGCGATCGTTTGGCGCCATCTAACGCCTAAATATCTCGAAAGCTTTTTCGAATAAAGATCTATAGCTTTTTCGAACATAATGCTTGATATTCTGCCTAGAGAGCGCCACCCATTCAAGCTTTTCACGATCAGCTATGAGAGAAAAACCCGGAAAACTCATATGCAAAAGAAACACACTTTCCTCCTTCGTTTCAATGTTTGTTTATTTTTTCGACAAAAACACAAGTAATACTATATTCCTTTGTTGTATGCATGTATAATGGGGACTTTGGCTGGGGTCTTTAAATCCCACCAACCCAAAAACAATAGGTCAGAAATAAGTGGCACAGTGAATACATACACACAATAAGGCGAAACTTTGGCATTGAACAAATCATAAAGCAAATAATAATAATAGTTGCATTTAAACAATCTTAGTATCTAAATCCACGGTTTGTGCTCGAAACGGTCAAATTTCCGCTGGTGGTTGCAGCTCCAAGTGGATTCATGGCGGTGCAGGCGTAGCTGCCGTTGTCATCTGCAGGATTCCGACCCATTCCGATGAAAGCCAAGGATTCCAGGCGGAAACGAGGAAGAGAGAAGGTAAAACGATTAATGAGCTGGTCTGATTTGGTTACACTCAGAGAAAAATAAGGGTGTTTTAAATGGGAGCATCATTCATGTTCCAGGTCACTAAGATTTTTTTTAAAGATTTTGAATCTAAACATTTAAATTGACTATCTTTTAATACTAAAATTAAACATTGATTTCAAACGTATATTATAAAGTCTTAAAATATTAAAATAGAAAATTAAAATGCAGCTTTTCAAAGTAAGAAAACTTCAAAATTTTCGAAAAACAGCTTTGCAGAAATCTGGCCTAAAACCTGCACTTCTAATCCCATAACTTTTCTCACAGGCATCCGAATTATAAATGGCATACTTCTAAATGATTGTGGTTTAACTCTCTAAAAAACTGTGTTTCCAGTTTGTTTTGTATTTTGGGGTCGATTTTCCGTCATTTTAATGATGTTACCCCTTTCCAAATTTTCGAAAAATGGCTTTGCTGAAAAGTCACCCAAAACCTGCACTTCTAACCCCATAACTTTTCTTACAGTCATCCGATTTACAAATGGAATACTTCTAAGGGATCGTGGTTTAATTCTCTAAAAAACTGTATTTTCAGCTTGGTTTGTATTTTGGGGCCGATTTTTAGCTATTTAAAAAAAATATATAATAAAATAAAGATAAACTTGTGTACAAAAATAACGTATTAATTACTTTAATATGAAATATTACTATTATTATAACCTGGTTATTCTGCTTTGTTCAAAACTGAACTTTAGAAGTGATGTTTCTTGCCAATATGTTTTTCCAGACCACTTGTTAATGAAAAGTCCTACAACAGAGCCCCCAATTTTGTTGAGTGCCTCTGTGGCTGACCCCTTTGCCCGCATTACTCACCTGGATAGGCCTGCGGCAGTGTTAGCCGGCACACGCCGTTCCGGTACTCGATGCAGTGCCTGCTGCCGGACTCCAAGTGACCGCCGTTGTGCGTCCAGTTGACCTGCGGCTGCGGATGCGCCTGCACAATGCACTCGAATCGGGCCGTTCCGCCCACACCGACTGCGATGTCTTTCAGGGGCTGTCCGTCCGGCGGATTTCGGGTGGATCAGAGGGAGATTTACGGGTTTTAGACTTAGTGGGTTCGGGGTTAATGACTCTGGCTTACCGTTATGAATAATGGCTGCCTTTGTGCCAGCTCATCGCGACTCAGATGCGCATTGACGGGTTCCGTATTGGGCAGTTCCGGCACTGGATTTGGAGTCGGAGTGGGGGAAACCATTAGAATCTCTGGCTCAGCGTTTTCAAAGCGCATCCATTAGTGGGATTAGCACGCGGCAAGCACGAAACACAAACACTTAGAAGTACGATTCACTTTAAAATTTAAACACGAAGAACGCAAACAAACATTTCATGCAAAAACAAGGCAGCAAGCTGGGTATTTTCTCTTTTTTGGTTAGCATGCTTTTCGAATTGGGGTTAAAACAACAGGACCTGCATATTTACACACTTAAACTACTGCCGATGACGTTTTGGAGGGTTAATCACAAGGGCACAAAACCACGATTGTCGCTCTTTAGTCCAAAAGATACAAAAGTATCTTTTAGTTTATATCTTTGGTAAGCGACAATCGTGTTCACAACATAAACTTGTCCTAGACTAATTGACAACATCGATAGCGAAATGTGATAGCGTTAAGCTCTGATTGGTGGCTTTCATCTGGTGACAGCCGTCCACTTTTTGAGTGCTTCAGTACCTGTGCGGATCATCTGATCCGGCGGCAGTCGAGGAGCCTGGGCATGGAGGCGGTCCAGGTGGATATCGAGGCTGTGGCAACTGGGCAGGCTATAGCGCTTCTGTTGGCTAGTGAAGCTTCGCGGAGCCTTTGGTTTACTGGCCGACCAGTTCCTGGTCTGATTCCTTCGCTGAACCTCGTTATCGGAACTGTATCCCTGGGTGGATCTCTCGTGCTGGACGGGAATCACCAACTCATTGCCGGGAGCAAGTTTCAGGGGATACGGGGAGTGGCGTCCGTTTTGGATTGGCCCGGCATTGCCGTTGCTATTGCTGCTGCTGTTCCACTGGCTACTCACGAACTTGTGGCCCTCGCCGGGAAACAGGATGCCAAACTCATAGCCAAAATCGTATTTGAAATAGATTAAACCGGTATTGGGGTCGACGCATTTGGTGCCTGATCACAGTTTACAGACAAACGTATACAATAAGGGGTTTATATTCATAATTGGGGAAAGAAAGCGTACATGAGCTTATAAAGGCATTGTTATGAACCACAAAAAATAGGGATTTCTGGATGATAACAAACTGATCACATGGGTTCCGGTAAATGTAAAAATAAAAGTCAACTTATAAGTAAACATAAATAAAATAAATAATTCTTTGAACGCTTAATGTATGTAATGTAACTCATAAGTCCAAAAAAATATAAATATATACACAAACACTATATATGTTCGTTGAATGAGTATAGATTAGTAAAGTTCGGATTGGAACCATTAAAATCATAAAATATATGAAATCTAAATAATAACAAATTAGTAAAGGTCTTAAATGAAATAACGAATTTTATAATAAAATAATGTCAACTCAATAAGTGATTATAGAATTTGTCTAAGGATTAGTAAAGATTTTGTTCCGAATAAGAAACTTGAATAATTTCAACCTAATAAACTCTGATTTTAAGGTGGATGCGGATGCAAATTTCTCAAACCAATTCAACTGAATTCTCAATTTTCAAATTTCAATTCTGATAATACCAATTCAAATGTGTGGGAGCTGGCTCCAAATCTCTACTGCGGGCTTTAGTCCGAGGATTCAATGAAAAGTGAAGACTTACCGTATTGAGAGACGCGCGATTCATCCCGGAAGGCCTGAGGTTGCTGGCTGCTGCCCTCGCTGGGAGCCCTTTTGAAACCTGGACGGATGCCATTCGAGGCAGTGCTCCTCACCTCCCTGCTCACATCATCCACGAATTGGTGAGACTTCTGGAGGAAGGTGGAGCCCATGCGACGTCCCTGATTCTCGGCCTGCTGTTGCAGGTTGCTATAACCATATCGGGGCAGAGTTCCGGCCCTATCTATCTGATCCATGGACTGCTGCTGCTGTTGCTGTTGCAGTTGCTGTTGCTGCTGCTGTTGCTGCCTCATGGTGGAGTTCCTGTTCAAGGACTGAGTACGATGCTGGGTGGTCACTGTACTTCCACCGCGTTGCTCCTTCCTCAGCGTGTTGATATCCACTTGGATCTTGCTGGGCATTTCGGGTCCACGATCAAACTCCATGGGCGACAACACCCTTTCGTAGGTTCGTGGCAGACTGCAGGACCTTCCGGCACCTTGAGGTGGCGCCACGCGCCTGAAACCCTTGGTCAGACCATCGCCATATGGTGACCACAGCGGTTGGATGCGTGCTCCTTCGATCTCACTCTCGTAATCACTCTCCCGGAATTCTCCAGGTATGAATTTCGTGGGAGTGGCTGGCGGTGGCAGATGGGATTGCCTCGAGGGCGTGCGGCTTGTGGCGGGACTGTAAGGAAACGGTTCCACAATCTGTTGATCCCGCTGCTCCTGCGGACTATCGAAGTGGATGACTCTCTTGGTCTGCTGCATATTCACCACCCGCTGAGAGCTCTCCGTGGACTCGTGCATCTGCATCACGTTCTTCGTTTCGGTGGCCACCTTGGCCAGGTGCATCGGAGCTCCAGCAACAGCATTGTAGTACATGGTCGGACGGGCGGTGTTGTTGGGTTGCTGCTGCGTGGCAGCTATGAACTTGGCTGCCACAGGTTTTGGCTTGAAAACAGGCTGACTTTGCTGCTGGCTCTGCATAAACTTGGACTGCTTCGAACTGCTCTCTGTTTTGATTTCGTGGCGAATCTCCTTGCCAATCGGTTCAAACTTGGGCCTGGCATAGCTGCCACCCAACTCCTGAGGAGCAGGCTCAAATTCCATGGGCGAGGGCGTAATCACCACCACTGGCGACTTATGCCCGTTGGTGGCAATATTAGTGCGGGGAGTGGGTGTAGGTGGGAACACCACTCGATAGCCCTTGATCTCCGCATCGGATTCATTGGCACGGGACACGGAACGGAAGCGTTCATCAATCTCACTGCTATAGTCGCTAAACTCCGCAGCCGGGGTTTTCCTTTGGGCAGGAATGGGACTGGGATAGGTGACCACTGGTGGTGGGGCCGCCGACGAGGAGAACTTGGTTTCGTGATGCGACGAACGGCTGCTGCTCTGCATGTTGTGGGAGTAGTTACTGGTCATACTCGACGAGGTGTACTTGTAGTCCTAAAGTGAAAATAAACCAAATTAATAATCATATTACCTTAAGGGAAGTCAGACACAGAGGGTAATGTGAGTTAACGAACGGGTTTAGATATCAGGCGAATGCTTAACTCGATTAGGTTGATAGTTAAAGTTGGAGTAGGGTAAATGAAACATCAATCAAATGAACGAACAGGAGGTCTTAGTACTCGAAAGTTCTTAGAACTTTTCAAACTAAGAAGGCATTAATGCTTAATCTAATGTAAAATGTGGATGATAATCAAGGAGCTTAGTGATTAATGGGCGTGTATTTCAGGGCTTGGGTGTTAGCTGGTTAACTAGTAAGAACAACAACGACACAGAGGCTGTTTGCTGGTGTAATAGGAAGCTATCTTTGAGCTCCCAGTGCTAGCGACAACGACAACAACAATGAACGACAATAGTAACGACACACAGATAGACACAGAGTTAGATCTAATGCGAACCTTCGCCTCCTGGCTGCTAAAATTCGATTGTGGTGGGACTTGAGGTTGAGCCTGCTGTTGTGGCTTCGGGGTGAAGTAAACCGGTGCCGGTGGTTCAGGCTGCAATTTTGGGAATTGCGTCTGCGGTGGTGCATTTCCCATAGTGGATGATGACTTGGTCTCGTAGTAACTTGTCTCCGATTTTCGATAGCTCGAATGCTCTTCTGTATCAGCTGCATAGCCACTGGACTTGAAGGAAGTCTCAGTGGTGGCCTGTTGTTGTTGGTTGCGATTTCCCGGCTCCACATCCGATTCACTGCCACTGTACTTGTACCGATCACTCTCGTAATCGCTTTCGTAGAGTCCCAACCGGGTGGGTAGAACAGGAGGTGGTGGTCTGTAGGTGGTGTTGCCCAAAGGTTTCGTCTGAACATGTGGTGCAGTGGTGGGTGTCAAAGTGGGCACCGAGTGAGGCAGGACTTTGCTGGGTCCTTGGATTAAGTTCTGTTCAAGCTTCTGTTCCATACTCTCGACAATAGAACGACGGCGAGTTTCTTCCACCTTGGGAGCAAAGCAAATCTCTGGTGGAGTTCCAGGTTCCAGTTCCACATTTACCATGTGAGTTACAGGCGCTGTGGTCGGAGCTATGCTCTTCACTATCTGATTCACCAGGAAAGGTGCATTCAGCTCCTTGGTTGGAGTAGGTGTGGTTAACTTGGTGATCACCGTTTTCTCCGATTTCTGCTCCACATCACTGGTGTAGCCAGTGACCCCAGAGGGTGTCCATAGCCTCGACATGGCCACTCCTTCGGCGGAGGGTTTTGGAGATGGTGAACGTGGATTCTGTTGGGCAGGAGTAGCCAGAACCGCTGCAGGACGCACAATGGGCTGTCCATACTCCACCTTCACCTCCTTAGTTGTTGTGGTTTCGTGTTGCACAGTTTGGAGACCCAAAGGCGGTGGAAATACGGGTACACCACCCTGCGGTGGTGGCTCCATGGGTTGGACCTCGGAAAGTATCTTGATCTTCTCGGTGATTAGTGGTACCTTCGGTTCGCTTCTTTCTGCTTTTGGTGAGTAGCAGAACTCCGGGGCATCTCCTGGTATCAAGTTAAGACTTCTGAGTTCCTCCGCCAGGGATTGCGCCTGCGGTTGTCGCACTACAGTCTCCAGGGGTTTAAAGGCCAGTGGCTTGGGTCGTTGGGTCACCGTCTCCTCATCGATCTTCTTGAAGTAGTCAAACGAGGACGAGGAGGTGGTCGACTTGTGCTCGCTCTGCTCGTATCTGGTGCTGGTCAACGTCTGCGGTAGTTGCTGCTGCTGTTGGCCAAAGGTGGTGGCCACCACTGGTGTACAGGGCTTGGGTGGCACGGGCGGTGGGGCTTTGGTTGTGGAGGTGGTTGTGGTGGTGGTGGGATGTGTCTGATCGGGCTGAACCATGCTGGCAGTGGCTGTGTTCGTGGTGATGGTGATGGTGTCGCTTGTGGTCGGTGTCTTGGGTCGCGAGGTCAGCTCGGGCAGATCCAGGTAGTTCGATTTGTGCTCTAGACGCATGGTTGCCTCGGTGGTGCAACGATGCTCAGTGATCACTTTCGACTCGGACAAACCGTGGAGATCATTGGCACTGGTCACATCGGTCTGACTGCTCTGGAACGACTGTTGGGTTCCGCTGTTCCCATTCTGAGTCGGCACCTGGATCGGTTCATTGTGTTTTTTTGTGTGATGATGGAGTGTGGTAAACCCGTGGAATGAGCAAAGCGAAACGAAAGAACGAACGACGTTGACATCATGAGAGGAGAAAATTCACAAAAGTTTGGTTTATTATATTGATCGATATTATAGTAAGTTAACAGAGTCGAAAAAGAAGAGATAGAATAGATCGGAGTAGATTGAAAGAGTTGTAGGTGATCGTGGAGGATAATGCATAGTAGTCGGTGGTTAGATATTGAGCACATGCACACTTACTTCGGTTTTGAATTCGCTGGACGGAGCCACTGGACCCGTCTCATACACGATGGTCTTCACCACTTCCTGCATCCGCTCCGGAGAAGGCTCCAAAATAGCGCAGTCGGCAATGCTCTTGGCCTCACCTCCTGCATTTGTGGCACGCACCATGTACTTTCCAGAGTCAGAGGTTTGCGCTAAAAAATTTAAAAATATTACATGTTATATAAAATTAAAACTTAACTGGGTCCATCATTACTTAGTCTTTGATTTATAATTAACTTGCTTAAAAACCCCATTTATAACTACATTATTAATTTATGTAACAAATGTTTATACATATCTGATGACTATATCTCAATTCACTTTAATTTAATTCCTTGTATTCAAATATTTGTACAAATTATATTTAATACGTAAAGTGCAGCAGTTCACATCCTTACACAATAAAATTTAATGGGCAATTAAAACTTATATAAACAAGTTTAAAGACCTAAATAGTTTGCTTGAGATGTTTGCAAAAACATGTTTATGCTGATGTTCGATAAATTAAACATTCAATAAATGTGGGTTAAATAAACAATTTGCTTGTGCTGCCATTTAGCTGTCATTTCCTTTCGATTTCGCTAATTTCGAAAGGAAATTCGAAAGTAAAATGTTTAAATACACAGCTTTGTGATGTGGGCGGTGATGATGGAATAGATAGTTACCCTTCTCGATTATTAGTCTGTATGAGTTGCCCTGGGCCAGCAGGCGATGCTCGGAGATGCCTGCATCCTTCAGTGGCTTGTCGTCCTTCAGCCAGGTGACAGTGGGTTCGGGCAATCCTGTGACCTCAACCTCCATGATTAGTTTCTCGCCCTTCTTGCTGACTTGAGCCTGCAGACGTCGCCCAAACACAGGCGGGAATATGGTCTCTAAATTCGATGAAAAGCATACCAAACCATTAGCATTAACATATGTGAACACAAGTATATATCAGCCTTTGTGTGTCATTGCAACAGATCTGTTGGTGAAAAATTTACTTGAACAGCCGTCCCAATAATCGGCCATAATGAATAATTCGTTTAGACAGCCGACAGGCAGTAAAAATAATCTCAAACACACATTGCAGGCAGCGACAAATCTGCAAACAGCCCGAGTAAATAAACGATCTCGGTCTTCAACGCGATTTACATAATAATAATTGCAGACATTATCCCACAGCCCCAACCCCAGAGAATATTTATAAATTTGTGTAAGAAAATCTTTTGCATTGGCCAAGATTCTCCCTCACCCGGGCAGCACCAGCCATACAAAAACGATTGAAATATAAACAAAAACAATATAGCTGAGAAGCATCCATCCTCCAACCCCGTCGACCACTAAAAACTCATCAATATTCTGGGAGGCAGTCGAGCGGCATTCAAGCCATTGACGTTTGAAGATCTATTGACGGTCCCCTCGTCCCTCGACAATGACACTTTAATGCTCTCCGCTGATTGATGTGGCGCATGGACAGACGGACAAACGGACACGGACAAACGGACAGAGCAAACGCCAACATATGATATAGGGCCCATCCCAGGGAACATGTGTATGTGGTTATTTAGATTTGTTAACACTTTTCGCCAGCTTTTTTAGTTCATTTAATTCTGGGAAATTGATTTCCTAAAGAAATAGCCGGGGTGGTCGTAATTTGATACGTTAAATTAGGTCGCGGACAAGCTAACGTTCGGCGCCATTAAAAAATAACATTTCCGTTTTTCAGAGATTTTATGTGTTGCCTAAAAAAGTTTCCAGTATTTCCTTTAAATAATTAGATCAAGGTTATGGTTGGGAATCTTTGCCATAAATATTTTATGTCTTATAAAAAGTAAATGGAAATCCTTTTTAGCCAAAATACTACAGAACCTACTTAAGTATTTAGTTGGCCTCCATATTATATTAAATTCTATTAATGTCTGTTTAGTTACTCTATCTCTTAACACCACTCTTGAATATATATTTCTGATACTCACTTTTAACTACCAAATCCGCAGTGCTGGTGGACTGACCCACCGTATTGGAGGCGGTCACGGCATAGCGTCCCGCATCGGCCACGCCCACCTGTTTGAGTTCGATGGTCACGCGATTGCACTTGTTGGAGATCTTGGTGTGGGCGTCGTCGAACAGCTGACCTCCGTTCTTCTCCACCTTGATCTCGGGCGAGGGAAAGCCGTCGTAGATGGCCTCCATGCTGACATCGGTGCCCTGGTCCACGATCTTTCCGCTGAGGGGAGTGGTGAACCTGGGTGCGATTTCCCTCCTGAGGCGAGTGGGCGAATCTGGGATGGCCACGGCGGATTGTCCATTGGAGGCACTGGACTGGATGAAATTAAAGGACTTCTGCTGCACACTGGGACTGCTCATCTCCTTGCTCTTGTGCAGCTCCTGGTAGTGATGACTCTCCACGATCTCGGGTCGCTGTTGGCCAAGTTGCTTCAGCGATTGATCAATGTGAGCGGAGGAGTGATGAACTTCGGTCTGGGGGGCATTTCCCTCATACGAGTTGACCTGCGATGTGGAGGTTGTGGTGAAGGTTTGCTTTTTAATAGTAACTCTCGACGACTCCGTGTTGTGTTCCTGGCTCATTGTCTGAACATCACTAGAGGCGGGCAATCCACTTCCAAGGATATTCAAGAAGGCCACACAGGTTGCCTTGCCTGCCTCGTTTTCAGCCACACAGCTGATTTTGCCCACGGCATCATGGGTCAACTTCTGAATGGTCAACACCTGACGTTCTCCACTTGTTGAGACCAGGAAATTGTGACCATGAACGGGTTGATCGTTGAAGAACCAATGGACTTTAGGTGTCGGTTTGCCCTTGACAATGCACTCGAACTTGATCACCTCATCAATTTCGCCTTGTTTGTCGCTGAAGAGTTCTTTGAATTCTGGACACTGATGGCGGTCGACAATTTCTACCGAAGACTGACTACTTCTACGATTTTCAGGTGCATTCACCGATTTCACTATCAGATGCGAAAAGCACTTGGCATCTCCCGCTGGATTGGTGACCTTCACCGTATACACTCCTTTGTCATCGCCACTCACATTGTTCAGGATAAGTTTAAAGATGCCCAGTTCGGAGTCGGATTGGGTGGTGATCCTTTGATCCAACTGGAGTTCCTTGTTGGTCAGGAACCACTGAGCGGTCAAGGGTTGATCACCACTGGCCTGGACTTCCAGGATTACCTGCTCGCCTTCGTCGGCCAAAACATCGGAGAGAAGTCGTTCGAACTTGGGCTGCGAATCCTTGGGCAGGGATTGCCTTTCCGCCTGAGCCCGTGTGGCTGGTTCCGCTTGATTCAGGGGAGTCACCTTGAGCTCACAATTGCTAGAGGCTTCGCCCGCAGAATTTATAGCCACCACTTTGTAGTGACCTGCGTCCTCTTGGTAAACCTCTTGGATGATCAGGGAGCACCTGTCCCCTTGGAAGAGCAACTGCACGTCGGCGGATTCCTTGACAGGTCGCTCATTATGATACCAGATCACCTCTGGCTCCGGTTGACCCACAATCACGCAGTCCAGCCGCACAGGTTTGCCCTCGAATATGGATACATCCTTCAGCGGCAGATGCACGGCCGGCTTGATGGGCTCTATGTCACTGGCCATCTCGGAATCGGAGGTCTCGTTGGGCAGGCGACCCTTCACTATCACGTTGCAACTGGTATAGGCCTCGCCAGCTAAGTTCTTGGCGCTCAGGACGTAGGATCCGGCGTCGTTTGGATAGGCCTGCGGGATTATCAGCGTTACGCGGCCGTATTCGTACTGAAAGTACAGAGAAAAGCACGGAAAGTCTAGTCAGTTTGAGTTTCGGTACTCACCACACCATCCGATGAAAATGTGGTGAATTTTGAATGCTGTCGGCTCGTTCTAGTTTTGTGCTTTTTTTTGCAATTAAAAATTTTCCTTCTTTTTTACACCGATTTAAATCTTATTTACGATTGTCTATGTGTGCGGATGAGGCACATCCGGCGGTTTGGAGAGGCAGAGTGCTCGCACTTTGTTTATTTTCCCACAACAAATGATCTTTGTTTTGCCCCAAATTGCAGGAAGCACCTGAGTTCAGGTGTTCAACGCATCAATGGAGAACAATCGGGGATTTGTTCGAATAATTGAAATGATTGAAATTCAATTCATCAAAATGAGAAGTGAGATCATGTTTTGTCAAACAAGCGACGACGCGGCAATTAAAAGTGCGGCCAATGAAATCATTTCTTAATTTTTAATTTTTATTCGTTTTTTTCGGTTTTCATTTGCCATATGAAAATGAAAATCTGCAAAGATATATATTCGCATATTTGTATACACAATGTTGGCGCCCACAATAAACAAATTGCCTGGCCTGACTGTGGTGAATTGGATTTGCCATGCTCGCATGGCTCGTTGCACAGAGGCTTTCTGCCAAAAGTTGCAGCCATTCGGCTATTAGATATTATTATTATTATATGGCGGCTATATGCTGGCCAAACTTATGCAGTGCTCTGTCTGTCTGTAAAGTGCGTTGGCGTGTTTTCAAAAAGATCGCCTTGAATTCTGTTTGACCAACGATCATCTTCAGTGGGGAGAGGCGAAATGCGTGACTGACGTCAGACAGAGCGTTTCTTTTGAATTTTGGAACTACGAGTCTGTTGAGTCCAAACCGCACATGCAACGCCCACCGCAAAAAATATAGAATTCTCTCTGCTTTATCAAGCCAAAGATTTTCATGTGGTATATACAAAGTTTCTGTGTATATGGAAATGGTCAATCGCCAGACAGTTGGGGGAATTGTACTAGGTGGTATGCCTTCCAATTTGTTTACCCTTTGCAGGGGGGATCTGATCACACTCGAGAGAAAGTCGGCGGAAATCTTTGGGGGTTTCCTTTCAAAGCTAATTTAATTGAACATATTTAAACAATTTTTCTACAATACATTTGCTCAGGAATTTTTCGAGTGGAAGCATAAGGAAAATAGTTTCATTCAAATATTTGATTCCTCTAGCTCTCATAACCGAATATGTTATTCTGAATTTAAATAATTTATGTTCCATTTACTAATATAGCTAAATTCTTCAAAAATTAATTTGTCAACACTTGTCTTTTCAATATAATTTATTCATACCCAAAGGAGACAAAATATTGGCAGACTTGCAAAAGGCAAAAAATATAAAAGGAAAATTGTGGCAAGAAAAGTGTATAGATAAAATACGCAAATAATGATCTACCCGAAATTTGAAAATATATTCATAGATATACATCCAGTAAAATTTATAATTTACGAGATTGTTGTCTTTTTATGGAACTAACCTTGGAATCGCGTGGCTGGAAGGGTTTGCCATTGTGCAGCCAGTAGACTTCTGGCCTAGGAATTCCACTCACGATAGCCTCCAGTTTGATCTTCTGACCCACTCGAGCCATTGCATTAGATAGAGGAACCTTAAAACTGGGCAACTCTGTGGGCTCCAAAGCTAAAAGAGGAGAATACATAATGATGTGAATAATATGTGGCATATCTTTAAGTCAGAAAATAATAGTAAAATATGTTTATTTAACTTACGTTCCACAATAAGTGAAGCCGAACAGTGTTCAATACCCGCCGGATTTGAGGCACTGCAGGTGTACACAGCATCGTCCTCTAGGAAAACCTCCTCGAACTTTAGAGTGGCCTCTCCATTGTTGTAGCTAATCACGTAGTCAGGAGAATCATCGATGCACTTGTCATTTTTGAACCACTGAACTGTGGGCAGGGGAACTCCAGCCACCACACAAGCGAAGCGAAAGGAACTGCCTTCGGTGGCCTTGCCGCTCTCCAGGAATCGCAGGATCCTTGGTGGCACCAACTGGACTTCAGCGGCATTTTCCCGAACAGACAAGGTGGCATTAGTATCGCAGGTTCCCACCAGATTCGAAGCACGGCAACTGAAACGGGCTGAATCGGCAGCAAAGGTCTCCTCGATCACCAGCTTGCAGATTCCCTTGTCGAAGGTGGTTTTGTAATCAGAATTATTCTGGATACTGATGCCATCCTTGAACCATTCCACGGCGGGCTCTGGAGTTCCCGTGACTTCGCATTCGAACACGAAACGATCTCCTTCGCGAGTTACGGCATCCTTTAGAGGACGAATGAAGAGTGGCGAGGCATAGCGCAGTTCCGTGAAAATGGAGTTCACCTGAATGTCCTTTCGGATGTTTTCGGTTACCGTGCGCTGCTGATCCACCTGATCGCGAAGTGATTGCAGTCTGGAGATCTCCTCGCGCTGAATGCGTGCCTCCTCCTCGCGTTTCGAACGGGATTCGTTTTCCCTGCGGAATCGCTCCTCCTCCTCGCGACGAATGCGAGTTTCCTCATCCCGCTTGCTCTGCAGACGCACTTCCTCCTCCCTGCGAGCAATGTCCCTGAGTGCCTGGATGCGGGACTCCTCCTCTCTGGCCGCATGTTCCCTGGCCAACTGCTCTCGCGTGGCCTGCTCGCGAATGGCCTGCAAACGGGACTCCTCTTCCCGCACAGCTTGCTCCCTTAGAGCCAACTCCCTGGCCGCCAGTTCCCTTTGGGCCTGCTCGATGGCCGCCTGCTGTCGTTGGCTCTCCAGTCGGGATTGCTCCTCCCTGAACAACCTTTCCTTGGCCTCCGCCTCCCTCATGGCCTTGTCCCTTTCCGCCTGATCCCGAGCCTCCCGTTCCCTCTGCTCCTTTTGGCGCTGCTCTTGCTGCAGTCGCTCCTGCACCACATTGATGTCCATCTTGAGCTTGATGAAGGACTGGAAGATGTTCATCACATCGTTGTACAAGGTGGAGACCTTGTTCATGTCGTGGGCACATTGCGAGGCACTGTCCAACTTGGAACGCAGGGCGGACTCTCGACTGGTCACATAGTTCTCGATATCGTTGACCAAGTTGCCCGCCTCCACGGAATCGCGGAGGTAGGGAACCTTATTGGAGACGCTGGTGTAGAAGTAACTAATCTCACGGTACTCCGCGTCGATCTGGGTAAGGTAATAGATATATTGAAAATATATTTTAAGAGATCATTGTAAAAGAAATAATTATTAATAGCTTTTCGATTGCAAACCATGAATCACAGGCCCTTAAAGAATATTTCGAAGACTCTCAAAATGTAATAAGTGCTTGTTATTCAACAATACTTTTATAATAACAATAAGTACCTTCAAATTGAGTAAGTTTTAAATGATTTATGTATTTTGATTTGTCATTTTAAAATACATTATAAAAGTCACATAAAAAGCGTTTGGCAATAAAACTTTAATACTTGTCCAAATGAAAAGGCAAACTCGCTTGTAACGTAATAATAATTTAAGATCCCCGTATAAAGCTAAATTATGTGATTTTAAGTACCCACCTTTTCGACCACCTCGAAGAACTCGGTTGCCTGGTTGAGGCTCTTTCGTTTTTGCTTCACCTGATCCTTGAAGCTCTGCCATTTGTCGTTGAGTTTTCGCAGTTCGTCCTTGACGTAACGCTCACTCTCGGGATTGCTAATCAAAAGTTGCTGGCTCGTGGACTCCGTAAACTTCTCGATCCGCTTCTCGAGCAACTACATGTGTGGGTAAGAAATGTGAAGAGGTAATCTTTAGAGACAGCCAAAAATATACATATATCGCCAGCAAATTAACCCATTAGGCAGCAACTAAAACGCAGTGTGTCTAGGCAGAATGCAGCCAAGCAGGAATATATTCATTTACACAGAAAAAAATTGTTGGTAAATGAGAAATTATCATTACAACAAACTTGTTTCAATATCCATGAAATTTCAATTGAAGTAAGTTGAAAGTAAAGCCAAAATATAAAAATGTGATCGGGATACAAAAACTCAAATACCTATTCATTACTTTTAGATTTAAACCAAATCTTCGGGAATGGAAAAAAGTGGTGGTATACATATTATATGAAAAAAATTAAAATTTGATATGATATGATCCTTTTTTTTTCTCCGTGCACATCCACCTCCGCCTGCTTTTTGGCTTAGCTGGTCATAAAAATCGGAACGCTAGAAGCAATTTATAACAGCAAATGCCCAACAGCAAATAGAAGTGCATTGAAAAGTGGTCTGAATGTGTTTCTGTTTCGTTTTCTTGCTGGTCGACTGTATCTGCTGTATCTGTATCTCTGAGTTGTATTTCATGTATTTGGCCCAGAGTTTTTAATTACAAACTAACGACAGCTGCCGCTGTCTGTCTAAAGCCCATCGTTTGCCGCTGACAGCGACAACATTTTGAAAGTTGCGATATTTTCGAAATGTCATCCCGGCAGTGCGTCGTTTCCCATTTGGAAATTTGATGAATGTTGCGGGGCTGCCAGTTCTGGTGACCACCCAAAAGGGTAAGCGAAGGGAAGTGATGCAAAAATAAAGACACACAACTCTGGTCGCATGCAGGGATCGATCTGTTCTACATCTATATATCTTTAAATCTATATATCTATAGCTATATATCCATGACTGCGACTACCTCGATCGTGTGGGCTGTTTGGCCCCAGCGTCGCTGATGGCGCGTTGATTTCAATTGCCTGGGCATTGAACACTAGAATTGGATTAGATCATTCAATAATTTTAAGCCCATCAAAAGTCGACTCGAAATCTATCAGAGATCGCGTCGTGTGGTGTCATCATTAAAGAAAATATGTAAGCTTGTTCTCAAATAAATTGTTTTTAATAAACTTTAGAAATTTTCTATAGGAAAAATCTATTTGGCTCTGAGGGTGTTTTATGTTCTTTAATAAATGTGTTTAAAAACAAACAAAAAATATGGTAATTTTAAATGCTAGTTTATAGTTTGCTACATGAATATGGTATCTTTAAAAATAAATCGTTTTTTAATGGCACTTTCCTGAACCCTAGAATCATAAATCAAAAGCCACCCATTTAAGTCACTTGCAGTGAAAAACTTTCAGATTCCCTGCTTTTCGTTACTTTGTGGCTACATGTTTACCCAATGAAATATATAGTTTCGCACATCGGCCAACCCGACCGATCCTAACCCACCTCAATAGACCGATACACCGATCGGCGGCAGTTCACTCACCTCTATGGTCCGTTCAAAATACTCGAACGCCAGCGACGTGGTCTTGGCCGCCGCCAAACTGTCGACACTCTGGTTGTTGATCTCGTGGAGCTGCTGGCTAACGCTGTCCAGACTCCTGTCGATGTCCTCCAGATCGGAGCGGAACTGCTCGATCTTCTCCAGACGCTCCAGCGTCGACATGCGGGCACTGCTGTTCGACTCGAAGTGCAATCGCAGGTTCTCGAGCAGTTTCAGTATGCGATCGGTGTCGATTTCGCGGGCTCCCGGCGGCTCCAGTATGCGCACCCGATCGATCAGCAGTTCGGATTGTGTGATTAGCGATCTAAATTTATCCATGCACTGATCGCGGAATTTCTCGTGCTCCGCGATACTCCGATCTGCGCCGGAAGCGGGCTGCTGTTGGTTGTTCCTCGCAAAGTATTCGTCTATTTCGCGACGCAACTGCACTATGTTCTCCAGGAACTGCACCACACTCTCCACCAAAGTGCGGTAATCGTACTTGATTCCATCCAACTTGGCCTTCAGCATGCGCAGGTTGTTGATCACCTGCTCGATCTTGGCCAGCGATGGCTGATCCTTCGTCTGGATGCCCAGCGTGGTCTGGATGCGCTGCTGTATCTCATCCTGGGCCCTTTCGATGTCCTGGGTCACATGAGTGAGCTTTTCGCGAGTGCTGATTAGCAACTGCTTGGAGTCCACACTTTGGGAGGTGAACACGGGATACAACTGGGTGTCCACCTGAGTGCTCTTGGCCACGGTCTGAAATGGGAGAAAAATTTTTAAATTTTTTTATACTATTTTCGTTTATGTTTTTTAATTAATTGCTTAAAAACCAAAACAGTTTTTGAGAATTTCATTTAAACTTATTTGACAAAAAAAAATCCATTTTATATCGACACTCCAGTTTGATTACGGGCATTTCTGACCAATTAATTTTGAACAGAAATCCTTTGAACTAAAGTCTTTAAAGCACAGACAAATCATTAACTAAATGACTCCAAAAATCTAATAGGCCTATGTCTGTACTTGAAATTTCCTCGAAATGCACTTCAATGAAACTTCTTTGGGGAAATGCGAAAAGCTAAAAATATATATGTATACTCCATAATATCCTGACTAGACGCAATTAAACTGAGAGATCCCCCGTACTCACCTCTTCGTTGTCGCTCATGACTTTCTCGAGCAAATATTCGACTTGGCGCTTCTCCGCAATGTTCGTCGTCCAATTCTCCAAACTGCTCGTCACGTCGACCTGCCGCTTACTGAAGTCGTTCAGCGCGTCTTGCACCGCCTGTGCCGAGGATTTGGTCTCGAGGTATGGATCCACAATCTGCGCGGCGCGTCGTTAAAAATAGCATGGAAATAGATGATTTTTATTTTTATTTCTATTTGATATTTGGTCGTGTTTTGGTTTTTATTTTTTCTAGTGTGTGTTTTGTCGCAAGCAAACGTTTTCTCTTTTTTTTTTTCTTTCTTTTCTTGAGAGGGCGAGAGAAGGGAATTTTCCGAGAAAAGGCGGCGCGTGGCACGCTTCTGACTTCTGACTGTGGCCAGGGTCTGCTGCCTTCTGCCTTCTGCCACTCGAGTCCAGGCCAGATCCGAGCGACCCGAGACCAGCCACATACTATACTATACAACCTATCTATAGCCGGCAGGCAGCGCAAATTGCCATCTTTATTTATGGACCCAATTCGAGTCGAGCCAACTCTCTACGCACAAAACTCGCAACTGAATCTCCGCGAAGAGCGAAATTTCTGATTTCAAAAATTTCTTTTGCGGCTGTATGACCGCTTCTTCCCGGTTTTATGTGCACGTATGGGCCAAATGACGCTGTCGTTTTGAATACATGTTTATGGCCAGCCAAATCATATTGTTTATAATTTATAGGCCCTGAGCGGGATGGCTAAAAATGGGGGGAGCCTGGAGTTGCAAACTGGAATACAGTTGCGGATCTATTTAGTTTGTTTTAAGAAAGTCTTTGACAAAAATAAACTTTTTCAATATTGTCTAACTTCAATTTAAATTAAAAAGTTTTCTAAGCAATAAAATGATTATATTAAAAATTATATTCTCGAATAATGAACAGATTAAAATTAATATTTAATTTTGTACGCTATATCTCTTTAGTTGTATAGTTAACTTTAGTTGTGCCTAGGTACATAACCAAATCTCATTTAATAATCATTACAGAATTAATGTTTCTTTATCATACGTATAAAAAAATGGCAATAATGTTACAAATAAAAGATAAAGAAACATTTAATTCCTCAACTATATATAATACATTTAATGGAAAAATCTAATCTAAGACTTTTTTCTATATCCCTGATGTCAAACTATCTCCCATAGCTGGAATACCCTATCTTGCCCCAACTTTTTCGCGATTGTTTGTGCAGCGTCAGCAAGTTGCTTCTGGGAGCTGATGGACAGCGTGCAAATGCGCCAGCTGTCAGCAGTTAGTTGTTCCAAAAGCAAAGTTTGCGAGCATAGATGAAGCATAAACAAAGTGCAGCATGCATAACCAAACAGCGCCGCCCTGACATTAGAGAATTCCGCAAAAACTTAGATTAAATAACTTATGGAACTAGCAGGAAGTGCAGAAAGTAGTCCCTCAACCCGATACAGACTTTCAAGTTGATGAATCGCTGTCCGCGGGACTTCAGTTCGCCGAAAGTGGCTGCAATGCCCGTCCAAGTGGCCTGGAGGAATTGCAGTTTGTGCTCGTCAGGAGTTTGCTGGAGTTGACGCTGCAGGTTGTCCAGTTGACTGGAGAGCTCGTTGGCCAACTCGAAGAAGTCTATCAGCAGGGAGACGTAGTCCACACGTTTGAGCACCAGGTCCTTCAGTTCAATCCAGTGTTTGTGCAGGGATTCAGCCTTGGAGTCCACGTCGTAGCGCTCCTGCGGACTCAGGGACTCTAGATGGACCTTAATAGACTCCAGCAGCAGGTTGATTAGTTCACCTTTTATCTAAAGAGTGAAAATAAGGGAATTATGTTATAAGTTTTTGGTAATCTTTCGGTACTCAGGTGTAGTCTTTAGCAGTGTATCAGTATTACAATTTTGTGAAATAATTCAGGTGAATATAAGCAATCTCTGATTTGGGGATTCACCTGAATCCAAACACAAGTGAATCAAAATCTCTGTTACATATTTCGCTGATTATCTAATATTCTTGTAATGACCGTAAGTAATAACATACTATCCATTAGGCTTTCAAATCAAAATGAATTGCATTTAAGTATAGTTTAAAACATTATTTTATAGTGTAATCTCCCTAACTAAACGATATTAACTCGTATTAATAAATCCTTATTTAACACAACACACCTCCAAATCCTGCATGAGTTCATGATGCTGGAGTAGAAACTGCTTGGCCTGCTGGAGATTTCGGCCCATATCCACACTCTGCTGGAGTTGCAGTTGTCCTGAGGCTCTAAGCCAGGCCAAAAGCTCGTTGTGATGGGTCAGGAATTCGCTCAGTGCCCTTTGAACCTTCTGCTGATCCTCGTTGCTGTGGGCGCAGATGCCCTGGATATAGACCTTGCGGTTCTCCAGCTCATCCAGGACCCTCTTCACACCCTGAGTCTCCGGCTGAGTCCTGCCCACTTCGTCGAGGATGCCATAGCCCAAACGCAAGGGCTCCTCGGTGAAGTTTCGCACATCCCGATCCACTTTCGTGAACATGGCATAGCTCTCGGGGGAATGAGGAGGTAGTTTCACGCTGGCCAGCTCCAGTTCCAGTTTCTCCAGGACACTCAAAGTGTGCTCGGCCTTGGCGAAGAACTCGCGGGATTGGTGCAGCCAGTGTTCCCGCTGATCCACCAGATCCAGGTGCTCCGTGCAGCCACTCAAAACGGCATAGGCTCGAGCACATGCCTCGTCCTCGGTGAAGTGTCCAGCGGATTGCACCTTCTCCTTGGCCCGCGTGATCTTCAGAGCTCGATCTCGGAGGAGCAGAGCTTGTTGTTTCCACTCCCTGTACTTGGTGAGCATTTCGTTGGCCGTGTGCTCGCATTCCCCCAGACTGTACATGGTGTTCAGCTCCATTCTGGCTTGTTGAAGAGCTGCCTCCAAGTCGACTAGTTCCCTGCCCAGCAAAGCCAATGCCAGACACTGCTCCATTTGGGTCTTCCTCGTCTGCCAGGCAAGTTCCAGGGAGTTCCTTCGATCGTGGAGGGCCTCCAGCCACTGCTGCACCTGGTGCACCGCCCTCGTGGCATCGCGTTTGATGTGCTCCGGTCTTGTGTCGAGGGTCTCCAGCTTTTCCAGCTCCTCCAGTTGGGCCAGCAGTTCGTTGCCATCTTTCAGGGCGGCCATCACACCGGTCAGCATGTCTATCCGCAGTTGCTTGAATCTGTTGAGGAACTCTTGAACGCGTGGCACATCCGGCGGATGGAGGGTCTCCTCGCAGGCCAACTCCAGTTGGTCCATCTTTCTGAAGCACTGCGTCATCTTGTCGTGGAACTGTGTGCACAGGATCAGAAGGTGCTGGCGATCTTGCAGCAGATTCAGGATGTCCTGCCAGATGATGTTGAGAGTATCGGCCATGGCGTTGACCAGCTCGGAACTGATCCGCTTGCTGGCCAGCAGTTTGTCTGCCTTCTGGACGAACTCATCCATGGGTCCGGGCAGGCTCTAAAAATAATTTAGATTATTTAATTAATTTTTATTTAAAAGAATGCGGTAGTAACTCACCTGTAGATTGCGGAGTGTATCATCGTGCTCCCTTTGCATGCGCACCGATTCGTCTAGATTTTCTCCCAGTGCAGTGATCTTTGGCTCCAGTTCAACCACTTTGATGTAGATTTTCTCCGGACTCTGGAAGTTTCAAGGAACTTATTATAGGATGATATATGATTTGCGATGTTAAAGATGATCATTTTTAGGGGTTTGTGATGAGTGTGTTTTGTGAAGCGGTCCAGATATTTAAAGGAATATTGTTTGTTTTTCATTACCTAATTACACCATGAGTCTCTCTTTCACATAAACAAACAATTTATTACAGGTATATTATTTTTGTAATAACCAATAATTATTTGACTTCCAATCTGTTTTATTTATATTGATTTCTGGAGCACCTATAAAAGTCTTTTTATTTGATGTCCTCTCGTTCACGTTTCGCTTTAGACTGCGTGATCGCAGCTTTCCAACAACCCTGTTCTCTTGTTCCCTTTTCCAGATAGTGAGATAGCTATATATGTTCTAACAGATTGGTTAACATGTATAAGAGAGAGACAACATCTTATACATTCTAACGGAACTTAAAGGTGAACAACAACAATATCACCGAAATGTGTATACTAATGCGTAATTCTAATATAGCCTGCTATAATTAGTTCCGAACCCAAAATATAACCATCCTTAATAACCATATTCGAAATCGATTTCCAAACCCATTTCTAAGGACCTTATTCCTAAGCAAGTGGTATCAAAATTGATTTAGCAATAAATGTTTCTGTATCACCCACATTCCATTTAGTTATTTTCACATTTCCCAGCTATTTCGCATAGGACATGAGCTATTCGAAGAGTTTCTCCAACAAGGGTCCCTGGCATTCTTCAGCCTGCCCCCAAATCCGTTCCAGTCACGTTCCTGGGCTCCCAGCTCCCATCTCCAGCTCCCAGTTCCCAACAGTCGGCTGCATTCCCATTCATGCGGCTCGCAGTTGACATCGGGCAACCAGGAGACGTGCGATGATCTCGTGCAGCGAGGGAAAACCTGCTCTCGAACCACAATATGTGCTGCACAGTAGAAGCAGCTTCTAATTTTGGTAGCACGAGCAGAAGCTGGCTCTGAAGTAGCAGAAGTGGCACCACAACCTCAGCTCTGTTTGATTGCAATGAAGGTCAGCATCGGCTGTTTATGGTAATGGCATCCGTTAGTTTTTCCTGTTGGGATGAGCATGTGTCGATGGAGCTGGGGAAAAGTGCCACATGCCATGGCAAACCAAGTAGAACCCGGCTGATGGTTCACGAACTGCCTCTGCGCGTTTGCTTCTGGTGGGTTTTATGCCCAGGGAAAGCTGCGTGGGCGTTAATTTGAACAACGAAAAGGTCTTGGGGCAAGTTACAGTAAAACTTGGGTAAATGGAACTCACACTCGTGATTTTTACGAATTCTTAACGTTAAGAGCTTTTAACAATTGATGGGGACATCAAAATTTTTCAAAGAAAAATGGCATTAGAGTTAATGCTTTTAAACTAAAAACCATTTAATTTAATTTTTTAAATCATTGTTTGTTTTTGTATTACACATCTCTTAAGCTTAAATTGATTTTAAAATACTATATAAGTCCATATTCTATTTACTGACTGAGCCTAGTCTAAAATTGACTTCATAGTTAGTTCTTTCATATATCACAAAGCTGTTCTTGTCCCAGAGGCTCCACTGTAGATTTCCAATTTAGTTGCTGCAAGGGTTTCGAGTTTGATCTGCGACTGCCATTAATCAATTACAATACAAATTAATAACCCTGCCATTAAATTAAATTGTGTGCCCCACTGGCAGCGATGTAAAGCGATAAAAAAAACCAGTCGAAGTCACTGACTCAATGCGAACGTGAGTGAGTTTTCAATAATGCACACCAATAATTCTCTAAAATCTGAATAAATTTTGAATTGTAACGGGCAAGAGAGGGGGGCTTAACCAAGTCTAACTGAAATATGAACCATAAATGGCATGACATCACTATAAACAGTCCGACCATAACAGAGCTTATATGTTCATACGTATGAAGCATAAAATAAACCATTATGCATATGGCCGGGCGCCTCAGTCTTTTCCCTCCCCAACATACGTCACTCATTGCGAAATTGAATCGTATTTCAAGTGGCACACAAACACGCACCGAGCCGTAAAGATTCATAATATGCATTTGGACATTTAGAAGCGTCTTCGGTCGGCACTTGTGCAGCTCCGAATGGCGGAAGTACTCCAAGATCGTGGTCGTCTTCCAGTGGGAGTGGGCAACCAGGAGTGGGAGTGGGAGGATTGTGTTCGCTTTGGCCCCCACCCAAAGACACAGCGATGATATAATGCCAAAAGACCCAGCGGCGGTTCAAAAACCATAATAATAAAGGAATTCAAGGGGACAAAGACGACAGTCGAAATACCCTTGCTGACAAGAAAATGTCATTAAGTCGTTCAAACACCAGTTTTATTCAACAGAAACTAGTAACTTCATTAAACTAATTATTTTTGAAATCAACAAAATTATGATCATTTCGACACATAGCGTGTCATACAAATATTCATCATACTTCATGTCAGTATGATGAATATTTGAATATTTCCTTATTAATTTTCTTAAACATACTGTCACTATTAGTACTATTAATTTCTTTAATATTTAAATTCCATTACAGCTTTATGACATAGTGTTTTAAACATAAACACCACATAATAGCATATTTTATTTAAGCCTTTTCTTTAAAGCAGCACAATAAATAGTCGTAATTTCATATATTCCAAAGAAAATACAAACTAATGATTATTTGAAACGATTTTTTAAACGTCTATTAGGTATGGTACTTTGATGGGCTTTTAAAAATACCAAATATTTCTGCAATAATGGTAATGGTAACAACATTATAATACCCTCTACCAGGGTAAACAAAAACTCTACAAAAGCCTGATAGAATGATCCAGGTAAAAAAGCGAAGGCAAGAGGGGCTACAATCGTCCACTTTGAGGCGCTTAGCGTGAAACACGTTTTTGGCTTTAAATTAATACTTTGTGGCAGCGGATAGAACACGATTTCGATATGAAATTACCTTGATGCTGTTGCTGTTGTTGTTTTTGCTAGTGTTATCGTTTTGTGTGAAATCATTGCGCATTTTTATAGAGCGCCGGCCTGGTCCGCTCTTTCATTACGGCCATTGGCTACGTAATCCCGAATAGCGATCGCCGATTTAATTGGGAATCGCAATTTGCGGGGGCGTTGGCTTGTTTTACCTGATTTATTTTACCAGATTGCGATATGTGTTGTTATAGCATCCTTTTCAAGGAAAATTGGATCAAAGTGTTAAAGACATTACTTTGAAACGTTACGACTTCATTCGAGTATTCAAAGTAAATGTATCAGGTTTGACTGACTTATAAAGTCGCAATAAAAAATAAGTCCTTTCTTAAGAGAAATAATACAATACTATGTTTTAAAGTGCCCATTTCATATTTATTTTTAAATTTGTAATTATACAAAAAGACATTTTCCGCCACAAAATTATGCCACCCATTTACCTAGATTTTTAGAATGAGCAACATGCATATGTGAAATTTAAATGTTGTGCATGTTTCTCGCAAAAGTTCAGTACACAGCCTTGACCTAAAACCCAATGCCTCTCATCTGCCCATTAATATGCAATTTAGGTACATTTACGTATCACAAGTTTGTCTTTTTGCGACAATTTCATTTTGTGGCTGTGCGGAGTGCTCCAATAAAGGTGAGCTAATTGAATACAAATTGAAATTGGCTAATTAAAGCGACATAAATCAAATGTTCGTGTGTATGTTTTGCTCCTGATCAAACATAGGCCACAGGGCTATAAAAATCTTATATAAACAGACTAATAAAAAAAACCGCATCGGCATTCGTGTGTGTGAGCGATTTGATAGAGAGCAAACAGCATTAATGTTTTGTACAAATACCCATATGCAAATGAATTTACTGAATTTACTTTGCACACATTGTTTCTGTTTTTGTGGATAGCACGCTCTGACGCGTTTGTGCCTCCATTAAACTTAACTTGATTTTGTCATAAAACAAAACAGCACAAAGTATTCTGTTATTCTGTGATTTTGTTATTGTTTGTTTAGCAGAGGTTCAGCTTTTGCCTCGATCATCAGAGCGGTGTGCTCGAGTGATGTCAGACTTTTGGGTTCTATAAATACCGAACGAACATTAAACAATTTCTGTTCAGGTTTTTGTAGGTCGCACTTTCCCAGGCCAACCAGGCAAAAATTATGAGTAAACGTATTGGGCAATCTCGCCGCTGCCATCGAATGCAATTTAAATTTCAATTTAATTCGCAGCCAACAAAAAGATAATTTCTATAATTGTTTCTACAAATTGTTGGCCACGACTCTCGCCGCGGCATCTCCCATCTGCAACATCTGCAGCAGCCTACCAGCAGCATCGGTTGCTGTTGCAGTTGCAGTTGCAGCAGCAACATCAGCAGGAGTCGCCGGCAATGCGCGACTTTCATTGAACGTTTATCGGCGACTATCAGTTGCCATGTAAACATGCAATATATTTCGCGTCTCTAACTCGAAAACCGCCGAGCCGTCGCTTCCACTCTGGTAATTACAGCAGCTGGATCTACAGTGGACCCCCGGAAAGAGGAAATTATAGGGTATTATTTAGGATACCATCCCGTGAAATTAGATATGCTTGACTTTAATTGAGTGGATACAAGAATCTCTTATTTAGCATAGCTATTAAAAGCGATAATAGGTTAATTGATGGTTTCAAACAGAGCGATCGAACGACATTGTTTGGTTGCCGTAGATCTTTGGAGGCTTAGTATTGAAGAAAGTTTTGTGTTACTTTGTTTTTGTGATAGGAAAGTAAAGAAAAGATTTTGAAACTTATCTTATATTTTGTTAAAACATTTAAGTTACCGATGTCTTGTAGAAAGGTGACCCATAATTGGACTTCTAGAGTCCATAACTTTACCAAATTTAAGCCCATCTCAAAGTGGCATACTCTTAAGATTTGTAGTTTGATTCTATAAAAATCTGTATTCAAATTTTTTATTTAAACCAATTTTTTCACCCATTTTTGTATTAGTTATTATGACCTAGCAGAGAGTTATTTTTCA